ATTTTGGCAATGAATTCCTTAGGTTAACTTAAGCATTTGTAAATGACCCCTATACAATACCATGCAAATTAGAGTTAGAACTAGCACATGAAAACTCATCTGTTGTTTTTGAGATTGCCCTTCTGTTGAAGTCTCTGTGGTGCTTTCTAGAGGGGATTCAGATGAGATTGCTTTTTGGAGGTGGGGTGCACGCGATCAGATGAACAAAGGGAGCTAAAAAAAGTAAACTTGCTGCTTCCTAGCCTCTTTGATTTTAAAGAAGGGATGTTAATGATATTTAAGAGAAGATGATAATGCTTGGTTGGGAAGGGCAACAGGAACAGAAATAGCTTGCACATGACAGCTCAGATGTTAGTCCCATATCCAGCTTTACCTATATCAGCCTGACCATAATAAGGTTTCACAAATCAGCAGGCAGCTTTGATTTATGTGCTGTTATGTCTCAGGAAGACTTTTCCCATACCCCACGCACCCTTCGTACCATTCCTCCCTGGAGAGATCTTGTTGAAACCAGTATATAAAAATTATTTGAAAATGAAACAGCTTCTTTTGCTGTTTCTTAGATGTGTGGAGGATTATATAATGTTTCTGAGCCAACTTGGTCTCCTGCTTCCTTATTTTCTGACAGCCATTAAATTCTCTGGTTCAAGGAGCTAAGTTAGCTGTTTAGAAAACAGAACTGTTGGATGACAGAGTTCCAGCACAGGAAACAGAATTCTGAAAAGTAGATAATAGAAATGCTAGCCTACCCATGTTGGGGGTTAGAAGGGATTTGGGCCAGGTTTTGTATAACATGGGCCCTCACATTTTTTAGCTGGAGTGCAGTTGTACAAAGTGAGCATTTGTTGTCTCCTCTTTCCCCTCACCTCAAACTCCTTAACAATGTGCTGTAAAACAAAATGGGGATTGCAGGCACTGCTGGTAATTGTTGTGCAAATATAATACTCCCTCCAAGCTGCTAAATAGGCCAGTGCTCTGTTTACATGAAGAGGCAGCCAGCTTTCCAAGTGTAATGAGTCAGCTACATGAACAGAAAGGGTGCGGAATTAATCTGGCATCCTTTTGACTTTCTCTTAGTGAACTCAGTTTCAAAGCTCCCTGTAAAATAGGTGTGTACCCTGGCAACAAATGGCCACATTGACATCCAGAGCAAACAGATTTAAAAAAATAATCATAATCATAATTGATCTCTGTGCATGGGCAAATGCCTATGGTTCATTTTGATTTGGAATCCTCATTTGGATGTGGTTGTCAGTGACTGAGCCTCTGAGAGGATTGAATGTCCTGAGTCCCATTTCCCACATGTTTCTTTTTATGTTACCTTAACTGTGTGGCCAAAGGAGTTTAGTACACATGATAATATGCAATGTAGCCTGCATCTGAATTGGCATCAGCTGAGGCCAAGTTATTTTGGGTATTTATTACGCGCCTGACGTATTTATTATGCGCCTGACGTTTAAGAAAAGGTGTAGGATATAATGGCAACTTCCCGTCAAAGGGCTCTGGGGTGAACTATCTACCTTTGGTTTCATATTAGGTACTGGTGGGGGGTTGCTTATCTAAAGATGAATGCCTGAGTAGCATAGAGTGAAGAGAAGACAACATACTTTCACTGTTTGATTTAGCAAGAGAAGACCTCAAAAGCTGTTTAAGCAAGGAGCAGTGCACTGAAAGTGATTGGTAATTGACCCTGCAGCCGGCCTTTCAGATTATATCATACAAAATGAAATACACACCCTGCACCATTCCCCTTCAGTTGATTATTATGTTCATGGCATTGAATACACGAAGGCAATCTTACTTCAAGGGTAGGAAATGTGATGCCCTCCAGATGTTGCTGGACTCCAGCTGCTCAGCCCCAGCCAGCATGGTCAGTAGTTAGGGATGATGTGAGTTACAGTCCAGCAGCAACATTTAGAGGGCATTGTATTAGCTACTGCCTCTTAATTCCAGTTTAGGTACTTTGCCAGACTTGCACAGCACTGCTCAAATTGGTTCTGCTCATTCCTGGGATGGAGGTTCCATAAGGTGTTGTTTGTCATCCAGTCAGAACCTTTCCTATAGAGCAGGCATGGCCAAACTTGGCTCTCCAGTTGTTTTGGGACTACAACTCCCATCATCCCTAGCTAACAGGACTAGTGGTCAGGGATGATGGGAACTGTAGTCCCAAAACAGCTGGAGGGCCAAGTTTGGCCATGCCTGCTATAGAGGCTGGTAGGTCAATCATTTTTCAAGGAGGCCTATTAACTTCAGAACGAAAAAGATGGGTTTAGTGAAGAGTTGAGGGGTTGGTGAGAAAGGATCTGACTGCCATACTTACTTGTAAAGATTATTTCTTTTTCTACACAGTTGCTATGTAGTTGCTACACATGTCTTTCAATTAATTTGATCTCTCTCTATCTTATCACTATCATTGCATCCTCAGTCTTGGGGGGGGGAATGTAGCAGCAACAGTGTGCATGGAACTTTTGCAGAGATATAGATTGTTTACATATTACTGTCAGTTTCTTCTTGCTGTTCCATTGGAATGCTGAATCCATACTTCAGACACATGAAAAGAGTGTCTGTCTGAATATCTTCTGAAGTCATCATTACACTTTTTGTTTGCTGAATTTTGGTAACTGTATTTGTTTGCTTATTTGATCCGATGTTTACATCCCGCTTGTCTACCCAACACCATCCATTCTAGGGAATTATTAATTTGTCTTGCATTAGGGAGGACAGGGGTGTGGGGATTTTATCAAGTTGATGTTTTTTAGCGTTAAGTTTTGTAGGATAGCATTTTTTCTTCTTAAAAAGAGTTTCCATAATTGGGCAAGAGCTCTTGAAATAAGAGTAAACTAGATGTCTGGCTGAAGTCATGTGATGCTCACTCAGACTGTATGTGAAGTCACTACTGTTGCTGTTCTATAGAATATTTTATAGTGAATATTTGTATTTGAGGAAGCTTAGCATGGTCATAACTCACTGTGTTCTTTCTCTGGAGTTAGTTAAGTTAAGCAGGTCAGTTTGGGATTGTTGTGCTTTTCTCTTTTTTTCTCAGTACAGCTACATGTGTGCTCTCTTCTGTGTTTGATATCCTACTTAAGCTAACATTATGTATGAAAGTGATGTTTTGGTTTGATGAATTTCTCATGTTGCTGCCCAAAGAGGGCGCATGAAGCATTTTGGATGTATGATGTATAGGGTCCACCCAAGCCTTCGGGTGGATTGGGGGGAAAAAGACTTTATGTAGGACTCTATGATGTACCCACTGCTGATGAAAGGTGTTGAGTAGAAAGTTGTTTAGGCTTTTGACATCTTAAATTGGGGCCAGACACTGCAAAAGCCACTCCTTTCCATCCAATTTCCCTCAGGTTTTTGTCAGTTTCCCCAGATTTTAAAACTCATATTTGGGGAGGGGAGGGGAGACTTTTTCATTTTTTCATTGTCTCTCCCCCTTACCAAACCTGTTCCTCACTGACAGTGAAATGGCGAGTTTCCCTGTTCCTGGACCATTTCCTTTATTTGTTTATTTAAAAGAGAAATAAAACCCTGATGCTTATGTAGCTATGTTGCTAAATCTTATCAGGTGGCAGTTAGATTTTTCCAGTGACCATTTCAGCTTCATGGCAAGTAGCGTAGGGTTGCCATATTTCAAAAAGTAAAAACCAAGACATCCCAAAAGTTGTTTAGCTTTTTTAAGAAAACCCCCAAAATTGTTTAGCTTTTTAAAGGAAAACCTCAAAGTTGTTGAGCTATTTTTTTTTTATTACAAAAACGCCAAAAGAACCTGCAATTTTTCAATTGACATGCATAAAATCCAGGACAAAGCGCTGCCTTTTGGAAATTCCCCCAGACATAAATTCCACCTTTGAAATTCTGGTAATATCCAGGAAAATCCAGATGTGTGGTAGCCCTAAAGTAGAGTAAGAACTTTACACTAGCACTTAATTGACTGCTCATATGATATTTACCACAGGGGAATGATAAAGATGGCTGTATACCATGTTTCAGATCTCTGTTACAATGCACACTTCTTATTGTATATTGCAGGTGTCAGTTGTCTTTCCACCCTGTAACTAAGCAACTCATAGCATGGGCAACAGAGTTTTGTTGCTGTGCTTCTAAATTGTGCCTCACCCAGACTTATATACAAAGGCAATACCGACCCGAACAGGGAAGGCTGCATATTAACTCTGCTGAGAATATTAGAAGTTGCCTTTATGGTTTACTATCTTTGCTTCAATCTAGAAATGGTTCTGCATAAGAAACATATTTCTTAGGCAGATTGCAGTTCACAAATTGCTTTATGTGATAGTCATGTGAGAATCAGGCAGATTAAGTTTTAATTGCCTTAACCATGTGCATAGGACACCAAGGTATCACAGAAGTCTTTATGTGTGTCAACACAAACAAAGTTTTTGGATAGCTTTGGTCACTCTATGGGCACCTAATACCTGTCCCTGACAGCTATAATGTCTAAAGGAACCATAAAGTATTACAGCCGTACCTTGGCTCCTGAACACCTTGGGAGTCAAATGTTCCAGTTCCCGAATGATTGAAAACCGGAAGTGAGTGTTCCTGTTTTCAAACTTTTTTTGGAAACCGAACGTGCGGTGTGACTATTGTTTCTGGAGTGCCTGCGCAATCAGGAACCAATCAGAAGCCATGCCTTGGTTTCTGAACTTTTCAGAATTCCGTTCAACTTCCAAGGTACGTCTGTATTCACAGTTGGCATTTGAGGGACTGTTGTCGATCTTCTATTTGTACAAAGGAAGACAATGTTGGTTCCTGACTCTCTTGCAACTCCTGTTTTGGGAATTTGCATCTTTGCCATAGAGCAATACTTCAGTTCATAGAGCACAGTACTTCAGTTCATTAAAACAACAATTACTATGCCTCACCCCCTCTTTTTGTTAGCTGTGGCTTGAACATCTGTGTATTTCCTTTATCATTGCAGACTGTTGATGATGAAGCGATGGCAGCATAAATGAAGGCCAAGTAAGGAAGGCAGAACGATGCCCAAGGGTGGGTGTTCTAAAACACCACAACTGGAAGATTTCTCTCTCAGCAACGACATGGTGGAGAAACAAACTGGGAAAAAGGTACTGTGCCTTTAGTATACTTGTCTTCTTCATACTCCCCCCCCACCCACCGTAGTGTTTTTGTTTTATAGTGAGATGGTAGCACAACAGGCCTGTGTTCTCAAACTTCTGTGTATGCTGTACTGATTACCTCCTGTGAACTACCAAACAGAATACCTTTCCTTAATTTATTTTAGATTATGTCCCATTTGTCTGTCCCCCCCCCAAAAAAATAGTAGTCCATGGGCCATGAGTGGTCCATCAGCTTTGTTTAAGTAGTCTCTGGCATGCCTATGGATTTGTAGTTGAAGACAGCAATGAGTATATCCATATTATTAAATATTTGTGCTAATTTTTAATGACATTTTAATTGCTTATTTTATTAAATAAGGCTGTGAGGCGTGAAGGCCGCTTCCTGCAAGGCCATTTCCACCTGGCCTAGGGGGCAGAGCCCAGACTCACCCAGCCCTACAAAAGAGGCTCCTCGTAAGGCTGGAGGAGCATCGCCTAGCTGTGAGGGGTGAAGGCCGCTCCCTGCAAGGCCCTTTCCACCTGGCCTAGGGGGTGAGGCCCAGACTCACCCAGCCCTACAAAAGAGGCTCCTCATGAGGCTGGAGGAACATCGCCTGGCTATTGTTTTATTGATTTAATATGCTGTAAACCGCTTTGAGATTTTTATTAAAAATATAAAGCTGTATAGAAATAAAAAAATCAAAAAAATCTTTTATTTTATTGCATTACAGTTTGAATTCTATGGAATTACATTTGCTTCAACAGGCAGACAAATGATTAAGTGATCCACCAAGACCCTCAGCAATTTTCAAGTGGTGTGTGAGGGGAAAAGCTTGAGACCCACTGATCTAGGTGATGCTACATTAAGTTGATAACTTCCCCCACAATTAGCTTCTGTCATGGTCCATAGCATAGCTGAGAATGAGAAAGCAACAAGAATTAAGCTAGAAAAGGTACTCTGTGATACTTTCACCTTCATCCTACTCCTAGCTGTGAACTATTGTTTTAGTTAGGTAGAAGCTTTGTGTCTTTAGGCCTCACCTACTGTTTGCGTCTGTTGATTTGTTTGTTTGGTAGTGAATTCATCACTGCATTGGTCTGAGATGGTGTTCAGTAAATGAATATCCACACTGTCTTTTAGAGTTAGAGTAGAGCTTAGAATCTGTCAAGATGGTTGTGAAAGGTAGCAAAAGGAGACCTGAATGTTGAGGCATAGCTGCCTAGTGTTAACTGATTGGCATAAGGAGAAAGTGCCAGTGTGGCCTAGATCATTTTGTGCAAAATAAAGCTGAAACCCAGGAATTATGAGTGCAGGAAGTTGCAAAGGGAAATACCAGTTTCGTGTGGTGTAAGGCTTTTGCATTAAGAAAGTATGCTGCACACTTGATTTGTTTCTGTTCTGCTTTGGTTTTTTGCCCTATTTCAGTTATTGTGTCTTTTTTGAAAGATAAAGCTACATGTCAAAATTTAAAATTAATAAAAGCTGAGAAGAAAAACCTGTTCTAACTTCAGGCTGGGTTTTGTTGCTCCTACTCATAGCTGAGAAGCTGATGTTTATATATGATAGTATGAATCAAAAGGCATTCCATTAGCTGTGAGGGTACATTATACATGACACATTTTCCTACCTACATGAATTTGGGGTTTGTGAAGGGGCCAGTATGCACACATTAATATTTGAAGATGCTCCACTTTACCAGTGTAGCTAAAATGTGTCATATGAAGCCGTCCTGACTTGCGACTTTTCAGGCTCAGGAGCACTGGGAACAATAACCAGTTTTGTAATAAAATAACCTGGATGTGATTAAAATGACTTTCCCACCATATACAACAGTGCAGATTTGACAAGGTTTAGCAAGAATAATAGAATAGAGTGTCCCTGCATTCCTATCGCTGAACTTCTCAACCTGTAAAGTGTTCAGTCTAGGGTTCCAAAGGGACTGAGCTTTAGAGCTTAGTTAATTGGCTGAAGGAGACTGCACCAACATATCATTGCTTTCTATTTAACTTTAGTGCTCTGAGCTGAAACAATGACTAAGGGGAAAGGGAGTTGGCCATTAGACCTTTGCTTCCAGGGATTGCTGTGTGGGAGCATAGCTTTTAATTTATCTTGTGTTTGTCAACACTTCCTAAAGGCCTCTCTGCTTGCATGACTTCAGCTGTCTCAGATTCACTGCTGTGAATACTATTCCAAGACTGCGTTTGTGGAGCCAAAGGGCCTGAAAGCAGTGATAGGGGCTGTGGTGTTGGAAGTAAAAGTGCGTGTGTTGTCCTTGCAGAGTGAAGAATTTTTGGAACCTAGCTGCATTGTGGGATACCAGCTCTGATAGAAATGGATTAAGAAGTTCAGATCACATTTATTCATGACTGAAGTACCATTCTAGGTTCCTCCTAAATTCAGTTGTTCTTATGACATTCTGCAGTAATCACACACATATCTGTCCAATTGGAAACGTCAGCCTTTGCAGCAAAATAGTGCTGGCATTATGTGAGACCTCATTGCAATTTCACAGAATTTGGCTTAATGGTTACATGCAACCAAGTTGAGTCAATGGAGTGACTGGTTTTTTCCTTCTCAGTTTCTCTTCATTCTACTGTTACTTTTCCACTTTGCCTCAGTTAGGCAAATTATCTCAGACCCTGACATTTTCTTAGTTTTATTGAGTCAAAGGGCAGGGAAGAGGGTTCCAACCTTAAACAGTAGTTTCCTGCTCTATTATTGAAGGCATCTGAGAACTTCATTGCTGCAATGCAGTGTTGGTTTGGGGAAAAGCTGACTTAAATATCATTATTATTTTCATTTAATTGTGCGAATTGCAACTTTAATGTACATGACACTTTATAGAGTGTTGTTGAAAAGGTCAGTTTGCTGAGGAGTTTGTAGTTGTAAGGTTCATTAGAGAGGAAGATGCCATGGATGAGGAGCATGGCAAAGGCACAGGTAGTGGGGGTCTTCGAGCTATTCTCTCTTCTCAGGTAGGACAGCTTGATTGTATGGTTGCTATGCAATCTTTGGGCACCAAGAATTTGCAGAATATAAATGTTGACATAATCTGGCTATCCTGTATGGAAGCTCAACTCATATATTTACAGTCTCATGTAGTCCCAACCACAGTGTTGCAAGGATATATGAATCAGCCTTTAGAGTTTGGGGCTGCATGTGAGAGCTATTCCCTACACACACTCAGCACAGTGAAGCTGATGAATACACATCTGTAGAGCATGTGTTAACCATCGTCATGAGCCTATAATCTGATGTACTTATTCCAGCCACAGAAGAAACATTACATTCTAAAGGATGTTTCCACTTCAGAGTGTTGTTAAAAAGGAGGTGCAAATGCTGCTGGGAATTGTTTTGGCTTACAATTTTGTCTTCAGGAGAGGTGGGGTACAATGCATTACCTTTTTAGCTTTGCTGTACATTTCTCTGAGTAGTTATAGTCCAAAATGTTACTGTGGAACTTGCCTTGTTGCAGCACAGCTGGGATTGGGGATTTCCATCAGCCTGTTATGCAAAGCTTTCAAAACATACTGGAAAGTTCATTGGTTTTTAAGCTTCAAAGTGAAACTAGCATCCTGGATGAAGTGCAAAGAGAATCAGAATTGTGTTGCCCACAAGCATGCATGTAATAGTAATTCAACTTTTAGGATAAAACTTGTGATGCCGCTGTCTTGACCAGCTGGATTAGACCAAAGATTGATCTAGTCCTTCATCCTCTTTTCCATAGTAGCCAACCAAATGAATTGGTTCCAATCCATTTTTACCCCGCCTTGCCAATAATAATAATAATAATAATAATAATAATAAATAATATTTATACCCCGCCCATCTGGCTGAGTTTCCCCAGCCGCTCTGGGCGGCTCCCAATCGAGTGTTGAAAACAATACAGCATTAAATATTAAAAGCTTCCCTAAACAGAGCTGCCTTCAGATGTCTTTTAAAAATAGGATAGCTGCTTATTTCCTTGACATCTGATGGGAGGGCATTCCACAGGGCGGGCGTCACTACTGAGAAGGCCCTCTGTCTGAATAATAATAATTTCAAGGAACACAAATTAGTTTACTTGATTCCTGTTATAAAAACAACCCTATGAGGTTGTCATGACTGTCCCAAGGTCACCCAGAGAGTTTCATGGCTGAGTGGGGATTTGAATTCAGGTCTCCCTGGTCTTCATCTGCCATTCTAACCACTGTACCACACTGGCTCTGGAAAGTACACAAACATGGTACTTTCCTGGAAAGTACACAAACAGGGTATGAAGTCACCAGTCTTTCCCAGTGCTCAGCATTATGGAATTCATAATACATGCACTTCATTCTTAGGTATAGACTTTTCTGTTAGATTCTTAGTCTGGTACACTTTATATTCTATCTCGTCCATCATCCTGCTTCCCACAGTGGCCAACCAGATGCCCCCAGGAAGCAGCAAGTAGGACATGGAGGCAATAGCATTTTCTCATATTTGCTCTCTAGCCACTGGTTTACAGTAGCATCCTTGTCTGAACATAGAGTTGCGATATAGCCACCATGACCAATAACTGCTTAATATACCTGTCCTCCTTGAATCTGTTTAATCCTCTTTTATAGCCTTTTGAACCTTCAGCTACCATCACTTCTTGTAATAGCAAAATTCCTTATGTTGTGCATTGTTTGTGGGGAGTTGCACAGGAATCTTCTTTTGAGTGGCTTGCAGGGTATGTAAGGGGACTTGGGGCCAATCACTGTAGAATTCTATCCCAGGGATAGCCAACATAATGCTCTCCAGATGTTGTTGGGCTTCAGCTTCCATCATTCCAGCCTGCATGGCCTGTGGTCAGAAATGGTGGGAGTTGTTTTCCATGAACACCATATTGGTTGCCCTTAGTCTATCTTGTTCAGTAATCATGTAAACTAGTTTGTCTTGTTGGTTGAGACTTAGGCAAGTAGTTCCTCACTCACCCTTGTCTACACAATTTGCCTCTTGCAGCCTGTGTTTTACACTTCATGATTAAGTACAAGCACCCTTCTATTTTATTTTGAAAATGTGCACCCTACCTTTCTTTTGCAAAACCCCCTCAAAGTGGTGAACATTATGTTTGAAATATAAATAGGACAGTAACAAAAACATGGTATTGCAGTAGCAGCAGCCAGCAAAATTTCTGCATTAGCAACAACACAAATAACAAAACTCAGTCAGCAGGTGCCACCATCATCAAAGGCCGTTTTTCACCTGGCAACACAGTAATGACAGTGTATGAGGCCAGGTGTGCCTTTTGGGTGGCGTGGGGGTGAGGGCATTTCTAAGTGAAAGTGCTGTGACTTGTGTAGCTGCTCACTAGTGGGTCAGATATGGAGTAGGATATCTGATATGGCTCAAAGCATATAGAAGGAAACTAATGTCTGGGGACAATAAAGTACTGGATAGAAGTGAACAAATGTACTCTGTGCAAGACAGGACTAATACCTGGGGGAACAGTAGGTCTATGGATAGGTGTACAACCAGCCTTGAATGAAATCATACTCCCTCCTTGAAGATGCAGGTTCACAGCTTGGGGTGCTTCTTGACCTAGCGCTACTCTTGAATGCCCATGTGGTATTAGTGACTTTCTTTTACCTGTCACATTAGTTTGTTTTATTGTATTGCATGATGAAAAGTTTCAATAAAATATATGAAGGGGGCAGACATAAGGTCACATGCAATGAATCTTAAGTTTCCTAGCATATGGATTTACTGTATTTTTCCATGTGTAAGACGCCCCAATGTATAAGACACTCCCCTATTTTGGGGGACTCCAAATTAAGAAAACACCTCTTAGCACTACCTGTGTTTAAGACGAGCCCCAATTAAAAAAAAAAAATTGGTAAAAAAAACCTAGTCTCATACATGGAAAAATATGGTACTTGCCATGGCATCTTTTTGAAGTAAGCTTTATTAAAGTTGCTTTGGCAAGTTTATAACTGTTTCTTAAAACTATGAGCAAAAAATGGAAAGCAGGATAACAAATCCAATTTTGATTTCAGAAGGGATCTTCTAGGGTTCTCTTCATGAGAGACAGAGAGCACCAGGAATTTTCACCCACTGAAATTTATTCTTAAATAGCAAACAATGCTGGAATTATAATTTTTGGCATGTATACACAAGCACAATTGACCCCTTGTTACTGCTGTTCTGAGATTCTCTGCATCAAGCTTTCTACATAAGTGTTTATTGTTTAAGAAATCCCAGTTTTAAGGGTTTAACTGGGACTCTGCCTTTCATCACGGAATGCGCACACATGCTTATGTACTTCAGTAAGCGCTCTGCATTCTCCATGTTCTAGAAGTGAGAGTTGTAGCAACTTATGTTCCCAGGACTACATGTACTATGAAGCTGATATTATTATTCCCTGTGATTGAAATGGGATTTCTGAGTGTATTTGAAGAGGTACTGGTACATTTTGGGGGGAAGGGTGATTGATTCAATTAACTCAAGGTTGTTCTTCAAGAACCTGCACTGTGGGAAAATACTTTTACAACGTTGTTAGTTTCCAGTGTCAGGATGGGCCGGAGAGACAAAAACACCCATGAGTTTGGTAGTGGGAAAGATTAACTGTATTGTTACCACACTATTTTTCAGGAGGACTGAAGAAAGAAGTTGCCCATATTAACATCCTAAGGCTTTTCTTGATCAGAAAAAGGCAAATTGTGTGTGTGTGTGTGTGTGTGTGTGTGTGTGTGTTAAGACTGGAGTCTCACTGTGGAGTTTGCCAGTCAAGTTTCTGGCCCATTTGTTGCTGAGAGATTAGAAAGGTGGGTAGGAGCTGAGAACTGTGTACATGGATTAGGCAGGGCTTCAGTGCCCTACATAGTTCTGTACCCTTTTCCCTTGGCTAGTCAATTCCACAGTTTGCAACCAATCTTGTTCCTTTCTGCCCTAAATGAATTAAAAACTTAGAGGCAGAATAAACTACAAATATGAAAATATGTGCAGTACACTGATGTACATCACTACTCCAGTCAGAACCTTGAAGATAGTATCTTCCATCTCTCCTACGAATGGTTCACAGGCTAGAGAATGCTTTTTAAAAAGAATGTTCATAAACAGAAATTATAGTTTTTATTTTGGCTCTTGCAAATTTGTTCTGACACCCTAAAATTTCAACAATGAGAGAATTTATTTTAATAAGGGCACTTCTCTTTTTTACTTACAAATATTAATAGCATGTCCCCCTTTCTGAATGTCGCTTAATTCTTGACTGCCCACAAAAGCAGAGTTAGACTCTTGTTACATGAAAGTAGTTTAAGAATTCTTGTATGAAACTGAAGCTGATCATAATGCATAGGATTCCTGATTTATTAGTTTGGAACCCATTTGGCAAATACTTTGACTGAAATGTACTTTTTGTTGCTGGTGACTCTGAGCAAGTGGGGAGTAAATAGAACAGACCAGTGGAGGAAAACATATTTTTTAAAATCCCCATCCAGGGCCCATGCCAGAGAATAACCAAGAAAGAGGAAGGAGTAATGTGTATTCATTAGTCTTATGACTTCGAGTCACCTGCCACAATCTTATGAGTGATGCAGTCAGCATTGTTGTGTTGTGTCTCTCCCCCCAATCCCAGCAGATTGAATAAATTGTTGATACCATTACCCATGTTTACTTAAAAGCAAAATTAAAGTGCATTCCCTTTGGTCTGGTACATTCTTGAAGTAAAACAGAGTCCCAGACACATATACACAAGTTTTTGGTGATGTTTGTGCAGGTAAACAAATGGGCCCATGGCCTGTGCAAAACACATCCCAGAAACATCCTAGAGTTGACGCTTTGGTGCTGGCACTCATATCTCCTCTCCTGAATGATAGACATTTTGCCTAGAACAAGTGACTTCCTACTCAGTTCTAGTGTGACTGCTACAAGAGCAGCATTGCAGAGAACTCTCACTGATTTAAAAAGCTAAAGTACTCAAGCACACGCCAAGCTTAATAAAATAATTTATATTTTAAGCTTCCAAATGCAAATTCAAGAACAATAACTGAGCTGGGTTGATGTGAATGTGAAGTTCCTGGCAAAGTCTTCTTTTGGAGATCTAACCACTTTTATATGTAGGTTTCTTACAAGTGCTCTGGCCCATCAAATTGTGTTTGCATATGCATCAGAAATGAGGGTAGCCATCATATGGAATGCAACTTTGACAAAAGACTCATTTTAAATAAACAGATATAAGGCCTTGGTAGGTCCTTGATAGCTATTTGAATCATTGGTCTGTAACCTCTTGTTCGTGCCATCCTTAAAACTTCTGAGTTTATAAGACATGCAATGGTACATGGTGCAGTAGGTCATTTAGCAGGTTATTTTGAAGCATTTCATTCTGAGGGAGAGGGATCTGTGGTACCAAGAGCTTCCGAAGTCTCAGAGGAAGAATATGTGTGTATGTGTGAGAGGTTTTCCATAAAAGGCTTCAAGCCTCAGTGATCTAGCTGCTTAAGATTATAGTAGATGCTTCTAACAGATTTGGATTTAGAAAATGTATACTCCCTTTATGGGGATTTTTTAAAAGCTGCCTCCCCACCCAGATGTAAAACCAGAAACAGGTTTGAGAGTTGCCATTGTTGTTTAATGGGATTCCTCAGTGACAGTGAAGAGTGAAACACTCACTGAAGTGGGATGTTCATAGGAGATTGTTGCCATCTTTTCCTTCTGGTGGGAGAACTGACCATCCTTCTCCCCCCTCCTTCTTCCCCCATCCCTTCCTGCACACAGTGGGGGCAAGATTACAAGCTGATGTAGACAGAACATATGCTTTAAGTACATTTTTTTCTGGTAGGAAGGGTGATCCTATAAATGGCTGGGAAGCTTTGCAGCAGGCTGGTCAGATGCCAGAATATTCTAATAGTTTGAGCTCACAATGTTATGTGCCACAGGTAAAATCTCTGCCATTTTGGAAGAAGGAATTTCACTTTTTAAATCATAGGATGTATTTCCTCCCTATAAACACCAAATAAGTTTTCAGGAGAAGAAAAGAGCCAGTAAATATTTTTATTTTATTAAAACAACAACCCTAAGCAATGGAGAGGATGTAAATAGTGTTGCCCACTGTAGGCAATGGCACAGACAATATTCAGTGGTGCCTGCACCACTCATGTTCAGAATCACAGTGATTCCTATTGCTGCCAGGATGAGTACAGCCAAGCTGATTCCCACTCCCCATCCATTACATGTATATTGGATGTAGCACACTTGCTACCTAATCAGGTATTTCAGGACCATTCTACAAGGCTAAAATGTTGCAGGGGTACCCTTTAAATCAATAGTCTGGTCAATCCATTGGTGGTGGAAAGTCCTGCAGCTGCCATTTTGGCTTCTGGGACTGTGCAAATGTGTGTTTCTCTATGGACAAACAGGTTTGGTAAGGTCTGTTGAATATCCTCTGGCACTATAAATTTGCTTAGCAAAAACAGCCTTGCTGATTGCAAATATTAGATTCTTATGAAGATCTCTTATTTTCCCTTCTAGGATAAAGATAAAGTTTCTCTAACCAAGACTCCAAAATTGGACCGGAGTGATGGCGGCAAGGAGGTGAAAGAGAGAGCTACAAAACGGAAGCTGCCTTTCACTGTTGGAACAAATGGAGATCAAAAAGATTCGGATACAGGTAAGGGACTGTTTTACAGCTGATTTTTATAAGCCTTTCTGAGAGCCTCTTAGGCTAATGAGCAGGGTATAAGCACTTGAAATAACTTCGTATTTGCAAAATGTGGCCTCCTGTGTGGAATGGTGCAGGAGGAATGTCTTAAGCAGCCTTCCTCAATCTTGTGTCCTCCAGATGTTTTCACCTACAACTGTCATAACCTCCTGCCAGGATATTCATGCTAGCTGGGGCTGATGGGAACTCTAGTCCAAATATCTGGGAGGCATTAGGTTGGAGAATGCCGCTCTGAAGGAATGTCAGTCTTCTGGGTGCCTCCATTGTAACTGAGGTGGGGCCAACTGGGGAGAGGAGCTTCTTGGTGGTGACACCCTATTTCTGGAATTATTGCTGCAAGTGGCTTGTTTGGCTCCTATTTTGCTTTCTTTTGGCGCTAGGCAACTATTTCCTTAGTTTCCCAGACTTTAACTGTTAAAATGTGTTTATTTTGTTGCTTAGTTTTTATCTGATGTTCTGTGCTTATTGATTTTTAAAATTCAGTTATGTAGTTTTTATTGTATGAGATTAAATTGAAGGACAGCATATAAATTTTACAAAGAAAATAATGTCAGCCTCACTGGATAGATGAGAAGCTTTTGACTTCAAGGGTTCCAATTACTTTTTTAATTACGGTAACTTATTAAGAAAGCTGTTCTGAATGACATGCTAGCATGTGCTTTTGACATACTGCGTAAGGCGTCTTTCTTTCTCCTCAACAAGCTGCATCTCTGTTCACTCTGTTCAACTTACATTGTTTGTGGCCTGGACAGACACACCGACTGTCCTAAATAGTATGCTTTAGGAAGTTTAATGTTTCATAGTAGTTGGATTTACTACACTTTTGAGCCTTTGCTATGCAAAATTCTGAATTCACAACATCAGTTTACACTTTCTTCTCTCTGTGCCATGTCTTACTGTTTAAAGTTTAAAGTTATGTTGGTATAAATTGTAAGGAGGGTCTTGTTGGAAAGAGGAACCTAAATTTATAGTTTACCAATGGACTCCCACTACCAAGAAGAAGCCATTTGCTTAACATTTGCACACCATATGCAAGTACCTAATCTGTGCCAGGGATATCAATATGGTGGTAATTGAACATTGGATACAATTGAAAAGGTGGTATTGTTTGTTTTGTAGGCAGTCGCTGGCAGTTTACAGGAGGAGGGAGTGGTGCCAGTACTATGTGTTTTGATACATTTGTAGTTATCATACACTTGAACGTCTTTGCTTCTGGCATTGTTGAAATACACTAAGGTGTGCTTGTTCTTGCCAGAGGAATGGGGCAATTTACAGTGCTTTCTTCTTGTTTTGGTCTATGCTAGCTTTCTCCAGTCTGCTATCCTCCAGATGTTTTGGACTACAGCTTGCATAATCCTTCACCCCCTTAGCTGCACACATTCACTTTCTTGACCCATGGACGTATCTGGCAACTGGATCTGGGAAGCCACCTTCAGTTTTATGTACCCAACATCCTCCAGAGTAACTCATGCCAGTCAAATTGTAATATTGTGGAAAATAATGCTAAGATCTTCCATCTTCTTGCACAATAATTTGAGTGCGTGTTCTGCAGTCTTCCTCTAGGCTGAGCTTAGGGCAGTGAGGTTGGCATTCAATACCCCTGCCAAAAGAATGAGGAAGAGCTGCATTTGTTGGTCAGTCCAAACATATTGGTTCAAATAGAGTTCCAGCAAACCCCCCCCCAACTTAATACCATGTTAATGTCCATTTTCTTCTGCTTTTTGCTTGGTTTCTGGTATTGGGGCAAAGCAATATTTCTGATAGCTGCCAATTTATAACTTTCAGGGGTTTTTTTTGGGGGGGGGGGGAGGAATTAAGTTGCACTTCTCTATCTTCTCCCGCATCTCCCATCTCAATGAATTTGTGTTGTGTTACCAAAACAGTGCAGCAGTAAAGTACATCGGTCTCCTTTTGCTTCTTATGATGAGTGTGCTGCATAAATAGTGGGCAACACAGGAAGGCTGTTTTCAAATGTATTTTTACTGTTGCCTGCACTAAGAAGCCACAGTTGGCCCCATTATGCTGAGTGCAGTTATCAACATGGCTAGATGTGTCTCACAGATGACTAATCATTCCTATGATGCAGCCTTCCCCAAGCTGGTGCCTTCTGGAAGGTTTGGATGGGTGGGAGTTGTAGTCCAAAACATTTGGAGTGTACCAGCTTGGTGAAAGCTACCATAGTGCATCCTTGTTTGTGAAAATGCTGCCTCTGTGATTCAATGTCTCCAAGGACTTCTTTTTCCCCCAAGTGTAAAATTTGCTTCTAAATATATATAAAGTGGGAATTAGGAAGTCTCACTTGATGCTAGATTTTCTCTGTCCCTAAAAATCACAGTAGAAATTGGTGGAGCCCTTAGTATAGCAGCAGGTATACTGGGAATTAGAGGTGCCTTTAGCTGTAAGCCACTATGTTGGGCATGTCAGTCCTCAGAATGTAAGGTTGCCAACTTCAGGGTGACAAGTTTCCCAAATGTCATGGTTAGTAGGAGGAAGAGCACCAACCCCATCCTACTTTTCCTATCAGTGCAGTGTAGGGGCCTTATGCCAATATTGTGTTAAGCTGCTTGTGGGCCCCCTCATTTTTATGAGATTTTTGCTGTGTAAGCTTGCAGGGTTGTGTGTGTTAAGGCAAGTGAGCAGTGATCCACAATTTATGCCATGTCTAGGTAGCCAAGCCAAAAATTATGCTTGCCAGGACACTGTGCCCCTCCTCTGGTCTCTGACCTTATGAGGTCAGAAACAACACCTAGCTTCATGTCTGGACCTGAGAAGGGGGATAGCGATCATACCTGCAGTTGCATCAGGCTTCTACAGCCCAATGTAACTCCTGCAATGTTCACTACTCCCTGTTCCCTGCTCTAGCTCCAAATGTGGAACTATGGGAGGGAGGGAGAGCAGGAGATAGTTTTTGTTCCTGGCTGCCAGGGTCCTCTTAGTGTTGACACCCAAAATACTGAGCTGTCCTCTCCAACTTAGAACTGGAGTGGGGTCTTGGGTTTCCCCCATTGTTGCACTGTGCTTCTTTGTACAGTGCAACTGCAGGGAATATTTCAGACCTTTTGAAGCTGGACAGAAAGACTGGAGTTACCGTATTTGATCACAAACAGGGGCTGATGGAACACTCAATACAGCAAGCAGACTTGTGGACCCCTTAAGGATGCAGACAAAACTAGGTCTCATTTTTTTAAAAAAATTGCCCCAACGCACATTAGAGAAGGGAACGAATGCTACAACTTCTCCTTCACCCCCGCCCCGCAACTTATACTAAGTCAGTAAAGCCCAAGTCCTTAGATTCCATAACTTCAAGAACAAATCATGACAAATCAAACTTGTGAAATAAATGGACACATGAGAGTGAAGTGCTTGTTTGCCATCTGAGTTGATTAAGCCATTGTCTCCATGGCTGCTAATCCTGGGATGACAATCCTCCTCCTCCTCCTTCTTGTTGTTGTTGATGATGATTATTTGATTGTTACACAAAAAATCTTTAATAAATACAGTGGTACCTCGTGTTACAGATGCTTCAGGTTACAGACTCCGCTAACCCAGAAATAGTACCTCAAGTTAAGAACTTTGCTTTGGGATGAGAACAGAAATCGCGCAGTGGCAGCGGGAGGCCCCATTAGCTAAAGTGGTGCTTCAGGTTAGGAACGGACCTCTAGAATGAATTAAGTTCTTAACCCGAGGTACCACTGTACTAATAAAAAACCCAAAGTGAATTCAGCACTTGATTTGTTTACAAAGAGAGAATTGGCATTGATGTCATTTGAAAAAGGAGGGAATACTTAAGGATTAGAAGAACTCTGGGTGGAGATTGCTCTTGAAGCAACTCTATATGGCTGTTGCTTCTGGTGTATGAATAATGCATGGTTGCACTTAAGGTCCAAAAGTAGTCTATGTGTTCTGTCCATAGTTTCCCTGATGTGACAGATTACACATGGTTCCTTCTTTCTTGTTTATCTTACTCCCGTGTCCACTCACGTGAAAACTACAGCAGCCTCCAGAGCTCTTTCCTCCACTCCTAGTGGTAAGATGCAGTTAGTAGGCATCTGTTCACTGGAAATGTTTTTGAAGTCACTCCCACTCCTCAGCATGAGCTGAAAACATGTAGGACACACAGGAAGGCTGATGTGTTGAGGAGAAATAAGCAGCTTTATTATTGAGCTGCGTTATTTACATCTCAGTGTGATGATTTAGAAGCACATTCTCAGAATGCTAAACAAAGGCTTTTCCCCCACTTAGTATGACATGTAGAAGATGGCCTGCACACAGTGTTCAAGCTCATGTTACACTATCATTTTTTATTACTTGTAGGACAAATATCATACTTCTTGAACCCATTCAAATAGTCAGGTTTATAGAATCATAGAGTTGGAAGGTACCTTGCAGGTCATGAAGCCCTGCTGGTGGGAAAAGCACACTGCAGGATCCCTGATGTCTGCTTAAAAATCTCTAAACTAAGGTGAGTCTGCTACAATTGAAGTCAGTTGAAGCTTCAGATCGTTGTGCTGCAAGCAAAGCACAAATGTTGGTGATGTGTTTGTTTTAAAAGGCAGACCAGTATTATACAGAATGGTAGAGGTGGCATATTTTTATTGGTTCACAGAATTCCTGAGATGGTTTCCTGCCTTGTTCTGTATAAAAAAGTGTAATCTGTTTGGGATACCTGATACAACACTCTCTGTTTTGAGGGAACAGTCCATAAGTCTACCTGATATTTCCCTCTTCTGATAGGTCTCACATTTTGTTCCTCTCATTCCCCCCCCCCATGCCACACCCAGCAGCCTCCAAAGTGTGCTAGAAACATTGGCCGTTCCCCATTTTGGGCAACTGTATTCTGTATATAATTATGTATGATGCAGCCAAGACAGAATGGAACAAGAAAGCAGAGGCCAAGAACATATTTTAGAAATCCTTTCTCACTAATGCGGCCCCAGGCAGCTCTTTGGTGCTGTGTTGAGACAAGGGCTTGGAGCTCTTCCAAATCTAAGCTCGGCACTCTTCAGATCACTAAATCTGGTGATGGGGTGTCTCAGCAGCAGGAGCCATAGTAGAAGGGCTTTGAAATGACCTGAGTGATGGTAAAACTGCTGCAGTTGGTCAGCAGGGGAAGCTTCCAAAAATTCTGTCTTTGCTCTTGTTGGCTGTAATCTCCTGCCTGATTTTTTGTGAGCTGCTGGCTGAGTCATGGATCTGACTGAAGGTGCCAAACTCTCCCTCCTAGAGCTGCATGTCTTCTTCCTTTCTGTATATCTGTATTGTGTCATGTAGTCTGCTTGCTTCTACAGTTTCAACACATGCTATTTAGTGGTTGGCATGCTATTTCAGTTAGGCCACACTGAATGCTTTTAACGTATGCTCTGAATTCCCTTGAGTCTTCTGTTTCTGGTGGTTGGAAGATGCAGCTATGGCTTTCTGAAACTTGACTGGGTTGCAGGGCATAGAGTATGGATGGAGAACCAGTGGCTTCTAGGTGTTTTCAGACTCAACTCAAATTAGCCTCAGCCAGCATGGCCAGTGGTAAGGGATGATAGGAGTTGTGGTTCAGCAACATTTGGCAGTCCATAGGTTACTCACCCCTGGCATAGAGAGAGGCCTGTTTAATATTAAAGCCTTCAGGAAATTGGCCATTTTGAAACTGAGGAACAGAGCAGCTTCTCAAAGCCACACACAGGCTACCATAGTCCTTTTTGCTCTTTCAAATGAGAATAATATGGCTGCTGCTGTTACAGAAGGAGGAGAGAAAGTGAGTGGTAGACTTTGTGAGAAGAAAGCCTTTTCTCTTTATGGAGGTCCAGATGGTGGTAGTGGGCAAATGTCAAGTAATTATGGGAGACTGTTTATTTCTCTCTATATTAAATATTTATATCAAATATTGATATGCCACCAAGCCCTCCTAAGGTAGCTTACATAAAACTCTTAAAATAAGCAGTTTCCTTTAAAACATAAAGAATTGTTTATTTTTTTCAAAAATCCAGTGATACAGCTAAAAACAGCAGCACTTTAAAATATTATGCATCCTGCTCGCAGCACTCATAATAAAAATACTGAAACAAGCCTTTGCAAATTCTTAGTTCCAGATTGCTCCAAGGTAAGCTATTGTGATCTGATGTCTAGGCTTTTAAGAATAAAAAAATAAAAATAAAAAATTGTCCGGTAGCACCTTAGAGATCAACTAAGTTTGTCTACCTGAATCTAGGCTTTTAGGGTTTAGTCTTGTATTGAGAATGCAAAATGGGTTGCAATATTTAACAATTAAATCCTTGCAACAATACCATGAAAATTGTCATTCTGTTTTGTAGAGGTAAAATGACTTTTCTTAGCTACAAGGGTGCTCCATGGTTGAACTGTTGTTTAAAACTAAGGTCCAAGTTCAACATTCCTGCCATTGGCTGCTATTTAGTAATGTTATTTTGAGGGGGAAATGAACTTCAATGGCACTTCTCCCTACCACACTTTTATGGGGTAAAAGAAATCCACAATACTAGAGAAATAAATAAAAGATTCTACATTTCCTTTATCTGTCACCAAAACATCTTAGGGAACTCTTCCAAATATTAAATCATTGCAACATCTCTCCTAAGGTGCAAGTGAACAGCATGTTATGGGCAGTCTTTGGGTCAGTCAAGCTTGGCTATCTTTGGAGTGGAATGCAGCAGTTGTTTACCAGCACAGTGCAAGATTTCACTGTTGGTTACTGTAGGAAGGGAGAATCCAATGCTCATTCGAAGCTGGGGGTGTGGGGAAATCTTCAGAAGGCAGAAGGCAATTTAAACCCAGTGTGTGGTAATCTGAAAACTGCTGCCCTTAGATCCATCTGTGGAAGATTGATCATTAACCTGCCTTTTTGCCTGTCATTCTAGCAGCTGCAGATTCTGCCCTGTCATTAAGCTGCTGTGTTTTAAGCTGCTTGGGTGGTTTTATGCGCGCGCACACACACACACGCACACACACACACACGCACACACACACACACGCGCGCGCACACACACACACACACACACACACCTTGTCTTGTTTTAACTTTAATCCTGTATTCTGCAGTTCCTTGTTAAGGTAGAGGAGGGAGTAGATGATGCCTGACTCATGATGTTTGTCAGAGGTGCATAGTCCTTGCAGTGTGATAGCAATGCCGATACTGTGAATGTAAGAGATTGTGTTGCTGGCCATGGTCATCTTCCTGACTGCTGTATCAGTGCATTCAAGTTGTGAGTCACACTTCAGTCCAAGTCCGGAGTTCTCTTTAGCACCAGAGCAAGAGAGAGTACCATAAACAAGCACAGGTGAAAATAATGGAATTTCCCCAAAACAAATAATAAAAGGTCCCCAAAACCTCACACTGCCCAGCTTCTCATCTGTGCAGCTACTATGACTAAGACTTAGTTTAGGTGGAAATAGCCAACCTGTGTTTGGGCTGTGCCACTTCAGGCAGCAGGGGTGTGTGCACATGACAGTATGATCCTTCATACATACAATCAATCAATCAATCAATCAATCAATGCATTCACGCACATAAGAAAACTATCAAGTCAAAGAGAATGACAGGCTTGAACATTCTTCCTGATATACCTGCAGTCTGAAGTGGTACAGCCCAGCCACAGATTTTTTTTAAACAACAACAAAAAAAAACACCTCATGAGGACTAGACATAAGTTTTGGTTACCTCCCAGCATTGGACATGTTCATAAAAATTGGAATTTTGCATTGCACTTTACCCAGTACATACATGTGATTAGGGAATTTGTGGAGGACACTTAGCCTGGTAGATGAAGGGAACGCAGTGGATGTAGCCTACCTTGATTTCAGCAAGGCATTTGACAAGGTGCCCCATGATATTCTTGTAAAGAAGCTGGTAAAATGCGGTCTTGACTATGCTACCACTCAGTGGATTTGTAACTGGCTGACTGACCGAACCCAAAGGGTGCTCATCAATGGTTCCTCTTCATCCTGGAGAAGAGTGACTAGTGGGGTGCCACAGGGTTCTGTCTTGGGCCCGGTCTTATTCAACATCTTTATCAACGACTTGGATGATGGACTCAAGGGCATCCTGATCAAATTTGCAGATGACACCAAACTGGGAGGGGTGGCTAACACCCCAGAGGACAGGATCACACTTCAAAACGACCTTGACAGATTAGAGAACTGGGCAAAAACAAACAAGATGAATTTTAACAGGGAGAAATGTAAAGTATTGCACAAATACAAGATGGGTGACACCTGGCTTGAGAGCAGTACATGTGAAAAGGATCTAGGAGTCTTGGTTGACCACAAACTTGACATGAGCCAACAGTGTGACGCGGCAGCTAAAAAAGCCAATGCAATTCTGGGCTGCATCAATAGGAGTATAGCATCTAGATCAAGGGAAGTAATAGTGCCACTGTATTCTGCTCTGGTCAGACCTCACCTGGAGTACTGTGTCCAGTTCTGGGCACCACAGTTCAAGAAGGACACTGACAAACTGGAACGTGTCCAGAGGAGGGCAACCAAAATGGTCAAAGGCCTGGAAACGATGCCTTATGAGGAACGGCTAAGGGAGCTGGGCATGTTTAGCCTGGAGAAGAGGTGGTTAAGGGGTGATATGAAAGCCATGTTCAAATATATAAAAGGATGTCACATAGAGGAGGGAGAAAGGTTGTTTTCTGCTGCTCCAGAGAAGTGGACACGGAGCAATGGATCCAAACTACAAGAAAGAAGATTCCACCTAAACATTAGGAAGAACTTCCTGACAGTAAGAGCTGTTCGACAGTGGAATTTGCTGCCAAGGAGTGTGGTGGAGTCTCCTTCTTTGGAGGTCTTTAAGCAGAGGCTTGACAACCATATGTCAGGAGTGCTCTGATGGTGTTTCCTGCTTGGCAGGGGGTTGGACTCGATGGCCCTTGTGGTCTCTTCCAACTCTATGATTATATGATTCTAGATTCTTGACTCCAAGTGATGAGAAAAATGTTTTCTGCTTCTTCAAATACAGGCTTTTCATGCTGCAATAGGATGTAAGTTTCCTCTGAAGTAAAGAACCATAAAACACACCGGTGGTCTCTGAAAGCAAGCCTTGTATTTTCACTTATCTGTCTTACTCCAGTCCACCTCTGTTCAGGCTCAGGAACAACTTTTCACATACACAATCACAGTAATCCTTAAAACAATCTGAATGACCAGTATTATCATCTTCATATTGCACATGGGAGACTGAAAGGAAGTGCTTTGTCTAAAGCTAAGGGTTCATGCCTGAACTGAGATTGGAACTGAGATGCACTGTTGTGATCATGAGATACTGGGTTAGGAGACCTGACTGGAGGCTACAATGAAGCACTAGAACTTACTGCAATGTGTTGCAGGCTTTCAGATAGACTTCTTCACATCATGAGAGCCAGAAAAAGTCTGTTGCTACTTTCATGAATACACATATGCACATCGTGTGTCAGATTCCAGGACTAGGAACCATATTTAAATTACTTTAGAGTCAGTATTGTTGTTTTTGTTGTTTGTTATTACTATTATTGCGAAAGTGACACAAAGTGACTTACAATGCAATAATAAAAACCTAAAACCAATTACAGCAAACATACGTATTAAAAGCAAAAGATCCTCACATCCATGATATGACCAAAAAGACACGTCTTATAGAATCTGTCCACTAAAAGAGGCCACATGTATTTGAAATCCGTCAAATAAAGAGCAAGGTCCATATCAGTTCATAGTCAGCTGTTGAATATTTCCCCTAATAAATTCCATGGAAAACTCTGAACAAAATCAACTTTGGCTACAGTGTTATATTTACGATATGCCATTTCTGGCATCAGCAGCTGCTCCTGTTGAAGTGATGTCACATCTTCATGGCCCTGCGAAGCACCTGATACACTAAGGAGAGGTGTTGCCTAACCCCCAGATTGTCTTCATTTAGCAAATAGGTGGAGCTGAATCTTTCAGGCTTTGAAAGAACAGGGTTATATTGTGACCTACCTTGCTCTACACACCTGATCACCTTTGTGGCATGAAGAAAGGCAGGTCTAGTTGACTCCAGTGTCTTTACAAAACACTGCTGTGTTTCAGCATCCACTGTGTTAATCTTTAAACATGTTTGTGATGCTAATTAGTGGATTAGCAATGCGTGATGAGTCAGATGAACTGTCAGCTATTATTCCCCACCCCCCCATCTTGGAATATGAACATTGTTGGGTTGCTTAACTGGCTGCTGCTGATATAGGTTGAACTGGCTTCCATGGGAACAGGCTTGTTAGTCACAAGTTGCTTAATTGGCTGGAGAATCCATGAGAATTGCTGGCGTATTGAGAAATGTCTTAGTGTATGAAACTGTTACTTGTTTGCATTTCTGTTGCTGGCTTTAATACCATCCGTGCAGCTGTGGACTCCAATGGGCTGTTCTGCATTGGGTCTTTATTTGTGTAACTTTAGCCCTTTTGCTTAAGGGGAAAAGCCAAGAGACTGTCCTCACCTAGCAACCATAGAATTAAATGAATGGGGGGGTGTCCTTCCGAGCCGCACCCTATAATGGTAGTACATTGTACCTAGTCTAGCACACATCATTCTTAGAAACTGCAGCACTAGTTACTCAGCCATCTGTGAAATTTGGCATTGAGGATCTGGCTTGGGGGGGGGAGGGGTGCTGTCCTGTCGTTTTGGCCCTGGCAACTTCCTTTCTGAAAGGAAGAAATTGAGAGCAAGCTTCAGGGACCGAGAAATATATCCATCAATACTAGCCTTTCCTTGTTTAACAAATGCTGTTATGAACAGTGTCAAATACTTCCCAGCCTGGTAGGTTGGTTTAGGGATAAGGAATAGAAATGGCTTCTTTTCATTTCCTGATGGGCTACAGTAAAAGTATGAAAAATATTTTAAATTCCTTGGCAACAAAATAATTTTTAGGAGACTGGGCAGGAATAGAAAGTATGTCAGAAATATTTTCATGCAACTTGTCCCTAAGGAGGGAGTGGAAACCTCAGACTCAGAGTCTAGAAATGGCCCTTCAGCCTTCTCCATGTGGCCCTGAAGATGCTCCCCAGTCCACACCCATTACTGGCCCTGCTCTGTGTTCTCCTTGATTGATTTTGGCTGACTGGAGTGTGTGCTTGAATTGTGATAAGGCCTTGCTTGCCCGGATGGAAAGGTGTGAGGGGTGTGTGGAAACCTCCGACTTCTCTGTGGCTGTATGTAGCCTGCTGCTCAAAGGCAAAAGTCGTACCTGTTGCTCACTTTAGCCTCTGTCTGTGGTCATCACTGTGAAATGCTGTCCACAAGTGAATTCAGCTGTTAGACTGAAAAGGGTCCCTCACCACTGCCATACATTTGTGAGTACAAAACATGCCATTTGACCCACACTGTTTGTGGAACAAACCACAGCTTCTAAGTGACAGTTTCCACAATTGCAGAGAAGCATTTTCCAGCTGTTGTGATCACAGGGATAATTTTCAACTAACTCTATCTGCATTCAATCAAATGCTTCCCCAATAGCAACCAGGGCACATCTCATTTTGGATGTCTGAATCCTCCCTAAATTATTGTATTTGTGTGTCTGGGGCTGCATTGATCACTCTACTTTAGACAAGAGCTTGAAGAAGCCTCTAAATGGGACCACGGGGCTATCTAAGCTGTGAAGGGTGGTTGTTGTTTTTTAAATAATTTTTATTGACATTTTCAAAAAAAAATCCATTAATACAATAATACTTCAAGCATCATATAAATCATTTCTATCCCAATTTTCCCCCATCCCCCTGGACTTCAATCAACTCCCATTCTGGTTTATTTTCATATTACCCCAGTTCTTGCTATTTCCCTAGCCTATCCTAATTTGAACTTTATAATCTTTTAATAACAATTAATGCTGCTATTTGTAAGTGTTTACTCGAAACTTACTAATGAGTCCAATTCCTTATATTGTTTTTGTAAATAAGCTGCAAATGGTTCCCAGTCTTCCTTAAAGGATTTTTTGTCCTTATTTCTTAATCTGTCCGTTAATTTTGCCATTTCGGCGTATTCTGTAAGTTTTCTTTCTCATTCTTCTTTAGTTGGTACTTTATCACTTTTTCATCCTTGCGCCCATAATATCCTTGCTGCTGTAGTCGCGTACATAAAAAGTCTGTGTTTCTTTCTTGCCAAATCTTTACCTAAAATTCCAAGCAAAAAATCTTATGGGGATTTTACGGAAGTTATCTTGAACATTTTTTTCATTTCATTATATGTCATTTCCCAATAACTTTTAGCTATATTACAATTACACCATAAATGATAAAAAGTACCTTCCTTTTCTTTACACTACCAGCATTTGTTGGAACTTGATTTATACATTTTAGCCATTTTTCTTGGCGTAATATACCATCGATACATCATTTTGATGTAGTTTTCTTTTAGTAAAATACAGTCAGTAAATTTTAAATTTACTGTCCATAATTTCTCCCAATCCTCCAATTGTATGTTATGTCTGATATCCTGAGCCCATTTAATCATTGTAGATTTTGCTTCCTCGTCTTTAGTCTCCCATTCAAATAATATATTATAAACCTTTTTTTAATAGTTTAAAATTTTCATCTACAATTTCCTTTTGAAATCTAGCTGTGAAGGGTTTTTGATTTCACTCGGATGCCTATTAGAACAATGAGTTTGGTGCCTCTTCATCTTTGCTTTAAATTGGATTTACAGGTAATCTAAATGGGATAGCGTGAAAATCTATACTTGTCATCCCTGTTTTGAATAGCTTGGATGAGGAATTGCAATCCTTTTTTCTTTTTCATGTGTGTTAAGATAATGTGCAGGTCACCGGGGTCTAACATGGAGGAGGCATTTGAGTAGGTAACGCTGAGATCAACAACTCAGCTTTGTTTTGTCATGAGGATATCAGCCACGTACTACATAGGTCTGATGGTGGAGGAGAAACATAGGAGACAAAATCCAATTTTTAGGAGCCTGTATTTACCGTATTTTTCGCACCATAGGACGTACTTTTTCCCTCCTAAAAAGCAAGGGAAAATGTGTGTGCGTCCTATGGAGCGAATGCAGGGGGGAGGCAGGCGGGAAAAGCCCCCAAGAGCCGCACACAAGCTTCATGCACTCTTGCGGGCTTTTCCCCAGGAGGGAGAAGGGACTGACTGGCTGCATCAGTCCCTTCTCCCACCTCCCAGAAAAGCCAGGAGAAGCCGCGCAGCCCCTTTAAAGAGCTGGCGGCTTCTGCCCCCCCCTCCCAGAAAAGCCAGGAGAAGCCGCGCAGCCCCTTTAAAGAGCTCACGGCTTCTGCGGGCTCTCCAGGAGGTGGGGGAAGCTGCAGCGGATTCCCTCCTCCCCGGCTCCCTTTGAAGCAGCAAAGTGGGAGGGGAGCAGCTTACACTCGTGTAAGCAGCTCCTCTCCCAGCTTCCTGCTTCAAAGCAATCACGGAAGATGGAAGGAAGGTGATCCATGCAGCAGATTTCCTCCTCCTGGGCTCCCTTTGAAGCAGCAAAGTGGGAGGGGAGCAGCTTACACTCGTGTAAGCAGCTCCTCTCCCAGCTTCCTGCTTCAAAGCAACCACGGAGGAGGGAAAGAAGGGGACCATGGATCCTCCGCTGCTCGTGGCTGCAGCGGATTCCCTCTTCCTGGGCTCCCTTTGAAGCAGGAAAGTGGGAGGGGAGCAGCTTACACTCATGTAAGCAGCTCCTCTCCTACTTTCCTGCTTCAAAGTGGAGGGAATCCACTGCATTTGCGAGCAGAGGATCCATGGCTCCGCTTCCTTCCCTCGAAGCAGGGTGCGGGGGTGCAGGGGGGGAAGAGGGCAGGAAATAGATGCCGGGCAGGAAGACACAACCACACTTTGACCACTGGAAAGTCCACCTCAGCTTCCCCAGATTTCCACTGAGATGGCCAGGCTAATCTCAATGGCCATAAGTCAGGCTCAGCATTATTAACTGGACTTAGATAAGCCATGGTTCCCCTTCCTACCCTCCTCTGAGGCTCGATTTAAAGCAGCAAAGTGGACAGGAGCCGCCCGCTTTGCTGCTTTAAATAGTTTAGTGCAACATTTGATTCAAAATATTTTTGTGTGTGTTTTCCTCCTCTAAAAACTAGGTGCGCCCTATGGTCAGGTGCGCCCTATGGTGCGAAAAATATGGTAATTTTCAGGCATGTGGGATTTTTTCCATAATTCACCTGTGCATGTGAAGCATTTGAAGATTCTGCGCATTGCAGTAGGAATCATAACTACCTTCAAAAGCACCAGGATGGTTAGAACTAAGGCATATACTTAATCATAGAACTGTAGAGTTGGAAGGAAATTTGAGGGTCATCTAGTCCAGGGCCCTGCAATGCAGGAAGCTCAACTATGCCATCAAACAGGACATCACCTGCAGATCCTGCAATAAAATTTAGGTCTGACCACACCTGAAATACTGTGTCCAGTTCTGGGTGCCACAATTTAAGAAGAGTATTGACAAGCTGGGACATGTACAGAGGAGGATGACCAAGATGGTAAAGGGTCTGGAAACCATGCCATATGAGGCATGGTTGAGGGAGCTGGGTATGCTTAGCATGAAAAAGAGGAGACTGATAGCCATCTTCAGTATAGGAAGGGCTGTCACATGGAAGATGGAGCAAGCTTGCTTTCTCCTGCTCCAGAGGGTAGGACCTGAACCAATGCATTCAAGTCACAAGAAAGGAGCGTTCTACTAAATTTCAGGAAGAACTTTCTGATGGTAAGAGCTGTTCAGTAGTGGAATGGACTCCCTCAGAAGGTAACGGACTCTCCTTCCTCAGAGATTTTTAAGCAGACATTGGATTGCCATCTGTCAGGGATGCTTTAGTAGAGATTCCTGCATTGCAGGGGGTAGAACTAGATAGTTTGCAGTAGCTCCAAATCTGGGAGAGTTTTGTACAGTTAATACCAAATGGTTAATACCAAATGAAAAACAACAAAGCCAGCGGACCTGATGGGATACCTGCCGAAGTCTTCAAAGTGGACAGAATTGAACTTACACAACAACTTCACAAGCTCGGGGGGGCTGGGCTGGGAGAGAGAGGAGATCCCAGCAGACTTTAGGGATGCCAAAATTATCCATCTCTTTTAAAAGGTGATAGAATGGATTGTGGACACTATCGAGGCATCTCTTTATTAGCTGCGGACAGCAAAATTCTTGCAAGGATCTTAGCAAACCATCTCCTAACAGTATCTGAGACTACCCTTCCTGAATCCTGAATCCCCAAATGGTTTTTGACCTTCTAGGGGGACAGTGGACATGATTTTCACCGCTCAACAGCTTCGCTTCAAGAAAAATGCAGAGAGCAAAACCAACCCCTGTACATGGTGTTTATTGACCTGACTAAGGCCTTTGACACTGTAAATCATAATATCCTGTGGACTGTCCTTCTGAAAATTGGTTGCCCAGATAAATTTGTGAACATCCTTCGGCTCCTCCATGATTATATGACAGCAACAATTGCAGATAACAAGGGCTTTCAACGTGAACCACCCACAGTGGGATCAGGTGTTAAACAGGGCTGTGTTATTGCCCCAACTCTATTTGTTATTTTCATCACTATTATCCTACACTTTGTCGAAGGGAAACTCCCCACTGGAGTAGAAATCATATATCGGACACATGGAAAGCTCTTTATTCTGAGCAGGCTGAAAGCAAAGAGTAAGGTTACCATAACTTCTGTCATAGAGCTTCAGTATGCTGATGACAATGTAGTGTGTGCACACTCAGAGGATGACCTCCAAGCCATCCTAAACATCTTCGCTGAAGCTTACGAAGAGCTTGGCCTATTGCTTGACATCTAAAAAACGAAAGTGCTGCACCAACAAGCACAAAACAACCCCTCTGCAGCGCCACAAATCCAACTCAGTGGTGTAACGTTGGAAAGTGTTGATTGCTTCTTCTACCTGGGCAGTTATCTTTCCACAAGGGCTGACATTGATGCCAAAATCCAGCATCGCCTGAGCTCTGTGAGTGCAGCTTTCTCCTAATTAAAGTGAAGAATGTTTTAGGACCGGGACATTCACAGGGAAACCAAAATGCTTGTTTACAAAGCTATTGTACTATCAACTTTACTCTATGCTTGTGAAACATGGAGCACTTAGAAACGCCGTCTCCAACTCCTTGAAAGATTCCATCAATGGTGTCTCTTCTCTGAAAAATTTCACACATCACTTGGGAAGACAGGCGAACTAATGCAAGTGTACAGTGGTACCTCTGGATGTGAACGGGATCTGTTCCGGAGTCCTGTTCGCATCCAGAAGCGAGCGCAACCTGCGTCCACGTTGCGATTCACCGCTTCTGCACATGCGCATGACGTCATTTTGACCGTCTGTGCATGCACGAGCGGCGAAACCCGGAAGTAATGCGCTCCGTTACTTCTGGGTCGCCACAGCGTGCAACCCAGAAATACTTATCCTGAAGCTACTTCAACCTGAGGTATGACTGTACTGGAAGAAGCAAAGATCACCAGTGTCGAAGCAGTGATTCTTCAACATCAACTTCATTGGACTGGTCATGTTGTTTGGATGCCTGATTGTTGTCTTCCAAAGCAACTACTCTATTCTGAACTTAAAAATGGAAAGCGTAATGGTGGTGGTCAACAAAAGAAGTTTAAAGACTCTCTCAAGGCAAATCTAGAAAAAAGGTAGTATAAACACCTACAATTGGGAAACACTGGTCTGCGAGCGCTCCAGTTGGAGAACAGCCTTTACCAAAGGTGTCATGGACTTTGAAGACACTTGAATTCAGGATGAAACGTGCTAAGAGGAAGGCACATTTGGCAAACTCTCACCGTTATCAACTCCCACACAGAAACCTATGTCCCCACTGTGGAAGGACGTGTAGATCCAGAATTGGCCTCCACAGTCAGTTAGGGACTCACTTCTAAGAACATGTCCATGGAAGACAATCTTACACGGCTACGAGTGATCGCCAAAGAAGAGTGGAGATTCCTGCGTTGCAGGGGGTTGGAGTAGATGACCATGTGGAGTCCCTTCCAACTCTACAATTCTATGAGTCTGTGATTCTATTAACTATTTGTATTTTTGTTAGAGAATTTGTGTGAAGCTCTTCTGTTTATTAAGGTATTTCAGGGCAACTTTTCAGGTTTCCTCTTTTCTTGATATCCTTCTCTTCTTTCACCCCCTCATTTCTCCTTCTCAAGCAAACCTACTTGGCTCACCAGCCTGGCCCCCATTTTCAAACTGGTAGCTCTCCCATATCAACTACTGACATGTTTGGCAACTTATTCCATTTGATTGGTCAAGCATGCTCTAGGCTTGTCCTTCCTCCCCTGTCAGTTACTTTGTGCTAATTATGTACTGCTCTTTCAGTGTCATTGCATGTTCCTCTGGTCCCCAGCCCATTTTCCTCCTCCTGCCTTTTGTATATTGTGGTCATATGTTTGTGCATTTTACATTAACAAGCTTCAGCAATCTCTGTTTGTGTTCTCCCTACATGCATTCCCTTCCTGATTTCTTGCACTATGCACGGCTGCCCATAGAAGCTGGAGCTCCAACCCACACATTTCAATTCTGCAATCCCCCTCTCTGAGTCTTGGATGTGCTCAGGTAAAACCCACTTCCGTCCATCTGAACTGACATTTGCTAAAGCACAAGCATTTTTATGTACTGCCATGCCTACTGTAAGAATGAGTCACACTCTGCATATGAGACTGTGAATAAGAAATGCAAGGCCTGTCTTGTGCTTCCTCCCAGGGGCATAATCTATCCTTCCTCACTGTCTGTGCAGTTCTGATTTATTCTTATTGATCCTTTGTTTGGCTATGTACTTGGGAAGGCACTCTTCAAAAATGAAAGTCTTTTAACAGGACCAGGAGGTGGTCCCTTCTCCACAGTATCTGTAAGATATTGTTTGGGGTATTACCTGCCTGTGCTTTTCTTGCCTTGTCTCTGCAATGATGCTTCATCTCCCTCCCCCCCAAAGTCCCATCTTTTGTAATGAGTGGAATGCTGCCTTTGGATCTTCTCTACCCTGTAGTGTTAAGAGATCAGTATCAAACCCACCCCCCTGCTATTGCATTTAAACATTCCTCCTTCCATACCCCATCTCCTCAACCCTGAGCGTCACCTGTGATTTAGTTCACTTGTGCTAAAAATGAAGTTGTAAATGGATTGGGGTGGGGGGGAATTTCTGGTTAGATCTAAACTAGACTTATGACTACCAATTCCAGATTAAAGCATGTCTGTTTAATGTATAACCGGAAACCTAATAGAAATCCCAAGAACCATTTGAATGTAAGTGAGCAAAGGTTTTACTGTCCTCAAAATTATATTTATTCTCTCCTCTTTGATTTATATGTAATAAAAAAAAAGTTAAAAGCAAATTCCTATTTCTCCACTGTAGAGGAGCAGCAGAGTTGAATCCTGAATTCTTGGCTTGTGTACATTTTTCATGCCAGTATTGACTTAGGATGAAGTTTGGAGAGTTGCATCGAGGAAAGAAAGAAAAGCCACTGAGCTGGAAATAATAAGCAGAGCTTGAAAAATCCCAAGTGCCTGGTTCCTAGAAATTTGAGACTGATGCCTAATTTTATTTCTGGCTGCTCCAAAGCACATGTTGGTGCCAGGATATTCAGCACTTAAAGTCTGCATTCCTGAGAGTGGCAGGCTGTCCAATCCATGCATGGCCCCAGCAGTTTGTGCATGCTTGTAACTTCAGGTTAGGCCAGGCCTATTCTACTGTTCCTGTCCACACCTGAAGGATCAATAAGAGTAAATTACAATTTTATAGACAGTGAGGGAGCATGCACAAGTTAGGTTTACCTATCCACATTGCAGAACAGAAAAGTTGTGGAATCAGCCCAGCCTGTTTAGTTCCTTTAACACGAGTCCACGTTTTTCCTTTTACTGATGAGCCACATGGATAGCTCAGGAACAAAGTATGCAGAGGTGCCTTAACCAGAAATAGAGAATATCAGATTAAATTTCAGTGGTGGGGAATTATAAGAAATATCCCTGACTTGGCTTAGACTGGGGAAACTATGCTTTTGCATCTGTTTTCTGGCAGGGAGATTACTTTGCGAATGAAGCAGTTTCCTTGATACGTAAAAAGCCAATAACAACTAGAATTGAGTGCCATGTCATTGGCCTTGTTCCTCCATCTGTGCTGTCTTTTGGTCTGTGCTTGCTTTTGCTTCTCTTGTGCCTATAAAATGGACTTGAGGCACGTGCATGTTTCTGATTATGATTGCCCAGTATAGAAGAGACGTGGATGACATTGCCCTAGCAATAGACAGATATATATATATATATATATATATATATATATATATATATATATGGGGTATATACATGGTTCTCATTTATTCAGTGTAGGGAACCTTTGGTAAATTAGTCCTGCTGTTTGTTTATGAAATAGATTCCAAATCACAAATGTTGCTGTAAGGAATTATGAAATAACTATGACCTTTCAAAAACATCTTCAGCTTCCAGTTCTGCAAAAGATAGAGAGTAATAAACCAGCCAGATAGCAAGTTAAATCTATAGTACTGTGTTTCCATTTGTAAATCTAGTGAAATTCAGGAAGGCCTGTTCAAACTCCTTTTTAAATAGAAGTTGTGGGGGGAGGGGTCACAACATAGAGAGGATGTACACATTTTTATCACAGATCTCCTGCAAATCCTTCAGTATATTTTCCCAACCACTAACTATTTCCTGTCATCTGCCTACCTTCTAGGAGAGTAGAGTCTTTTCAGTTGATTTTTCTGTCTCAGTTTCTAAACCAAACACAAGAGGATGACAGCACATCCTCTGCAGTTTCTAGTCAGCTTTTCCCACCCACTCTTTTGTCCTTCCTGTTTACATACATACTTGCTTGCAGGCCAGCTATGGGTCTTACTGTTACACTTAGTTGACTTTGCCAAAACTTTTCTGAGTGACTTATAGCAGACTTAACCCCTTGGTTCTTCCACACAGGACGGATATAAATCCAGATTTAAAAAATGCTTTTCAAAATTTAAATAGGATCTTTCAGATTTCTCAAATCTTCAGTTATAGAACATGTATACTGTTTGAAAAAATATAAATTTAATACAAATGTGTTAAAGCATGCACGTAGTATCTTACAAATGAATTATGACCACCTAACAAACATACTGTGTTAAAAACTCCTTTTTTGGAGGTGGGGAATGGAAACCATGGGCACAGCGGAATACTTAATTCATAGGTATACAGGAAACTGGCTTATATTGAGTCAGAGAATTGGTCCATGTAGCTCAGTATTGTCTACACAGACAGTGGCTCTTCAGGGTTTCAGACTGGAGTCTCTCCCAGCCTTACTTGGAGATGCCAGGAATTGACCTTCTGTGTGCAAAGCAGATGCTCTACCAGTGAACTGTGGCCCTTCCCTGAGGTTATTGTTGTGGGGTGTGTGTGCTGACTTTTCTAATTCCTGCGGTCCTGGTCCAGCAAGGGTTAAAACAGTTTAGTAAGTCTAGAATAGATAGAATTTAGTAGGTCCTTGGTTGAGAAATGGGTCTGCCTGATCAAACTGTCCTCTTTCTTGTGTGTCATGTTAAGACCAGAAATCAAGCAGAGTGATCAACATGTGCCGTATCTCTTTAACTGAGCATCAGCATTTTGAGGTCAAAGGGGCAGTATATTTCATATACTTTTTCCATCTCCAGGGTCCCAAGCATTCCTAGTATAGTTTCACTGAGCAGTTTCCATGATTTGCAGCTCACTAAAATACAGATCTCCTGAGCCTGAAAGTCCTCTTCAAATTGGAAACACAATTTGCCACATGAAGCAAACTATGCAAGTGAACCAGTTTCCTTTCTCTGCATAGTTTATTCTAACTAGAAAATATGTAGTTGTATTTAGAGCACTTGGAGTCAGGGGCTAGGTCATGGGTAGGCAAACTAAGGCCCAGGGGCCAGATCCGGCCCAATCGGCTTCTAAATCTAGCCTGCGGACAGTCTGGGAATCAGTGTGTTTTTACAGTTTTTACATGAGTAGAATGTGTGCTTTTATTTTAAATGCATCTCTGGGTTATTTGTGGGGCACAGGAATTGGTTCACCCCCCCCAAAAAAAAATAGTCCGGCCCCCCCACAAGGTCTGAGGGACAGTGGACCGGCCCCCTGCTAAAAAATTGCTGACCCCTGGGCTAGGTGAATGAACAAAGGCAGATGATAAGCCTGACAGGAGAGAATAGCCTCACAGATATGGAACTAACTAGGCAGAGAAAAGGCAGAGCAAAAATAGCCTGTCCCAGCCAATCGGGAGGCAAAGCTGAATTTGTAAAAAGGCAGAACCACATATCATTTCGCTCAGTTTTGCTGTACTGCAGTACACCTTATAGTTCAATTCTAAAAGGCCTTTCCCACTCAGATACACATCTGATGCTATCACTGTTTTCCCCCTGACAGAGACCCTAACCCTTCCCATCACAAGTGGTGTAAGCTGCTCCTTAGCTCAGAATTCCCAAGGTGTAACCTTTACGGTACCTCAAACTGCCACCAATTCTCCAGACACAGTGAGGTAAATTTGAGTTAATTCTCTCCCTCATAGCATCATTGGAGTGGAGCATTTCTCCTCCACTAATGATGTAGGCCCTTTTGAGCTGTCTCTCTCCATTTCATAGGTAAAGAAGGTGAAATGCCAAAAGAGACAAAGAAGATGGTAAAAAAGTTGAAGCAAGCACATGACAAGGCTAGGAACCAGATTCTGCATTGCGTTTACTGTAACCACAATATTCCTTCCTATGAAGGATGTAAATTGAGCATCTCCCAAAGTCTGCATTCACTCAGTCAGGTCCATCTGTCTAATTCCAGCATGTTAAAGTGAGAGTGCGGAAGTCTCTTCAGTTTATTTTTATCCCTATCGATTTCAGGCTTCTAATGTTAAGTGTTCCACAGAGGAGGAATTTTCTACAGTTGCAGAGTTGGTAAGATTAAAAATTTAACAGTCGCAGTCAAACTTCAGAGGCAGAGTTTTTGTGCGGAGGGGAGGATGACTGGGGGCTCGCTCTGACAGCCCGGTAGCATCTCAGTAGTATTAATGAAAGCATTGGTGTTCTAATTATATACTCACTTTGTAGGAATATGCAGAAAACAGCCCTTCAGCATCTATTAACCTTCTACTTCAGTTTGTTAGTATTTTGTAGATCTTGGGTAGAAGGGTCTGTCTGGGATTTGTTGGATTTCTTCTGTTACACAAGTATCACCAAGGAAAATCTTACCTTCCTTGAAAAAGTTACGTAGGTGAAGAAAATGCTTGCTGCTTGTTTCACTCTCGTGGCTCCTGTTACTGGTATTTTTCCCTGATCCAGGCACTGGCAACTTGACTGCAGCACAGGCACACATGCAGAAAATATATGAGCTGGAAGACTGTAGCTCACTTGCATTTCAATATACAGACAGTTTAGCGTACTCTGCATGAATGATCATTCTCCCCTGAAAATCTTGAAAGATGTTGAAAAAACTTACATTGCTCTGCTTCTGCTGAGTGGCTCCCCTTTTGTCTTTCATGTCCTGATAGGTGGCACATAGACAGAGGCTTCGGTGAGCCATGTAACGATTTGCATTGAATCAGGTGTCTTTGGTTAATTGCCCACTATACTTGTTTTGTAATTGTCCCAAACTAAATCTTTTCTCCAGTGAAGTCATATTCCAGTTTGGGTTTAGATTCAATAGGAATTCTTTGGAATATACATTATTCTAGAACATGCTTATTTCCTCCAGTAAGTGTGGGTGCTCACCCATAGCGCTGGAGGCATGTTCCTTCCTAAATATTTTCTATGTGGTTCAGAGTCCCCTGCAATCTGTCGCATTAGAGGATATGAAGGGGTCTATTTGGAAATAATTTCAAAGAAATTATCCACCATGATCTGGATGCCACAGTTAATGCAGATCAGCCAAGGGATCTGCTCGGGAAACCATCTGGTTCAATTTTGTTGGGTGATTTTAATTTATTAAGGAACAAGATTCTTGGCTGAATCCAGCCAACCACCTGTCTTCTCAGTCACTGCCCATCTTGGCTTATTGCATCTAGCAAGGAGCATCTAGCAGGGAGGGAGGATGGCTGAAACCAGGAAATAACTGTTATAGAGACAAAGAGAAAGAAATTCCATCTACCTTTAAAGGAGGCTGTAGTAAAGTGCTCCCAAAGAAACCTACCTTGGACTCAAAAGCTGAGAATAGCTGTTGGCTAACATTCCATTATTGGGTGAGGTCTTAAGAGGGTATTCCAGAAGGTGGTGCTTAGAGGGCTTCTGCTGCATTCCATAGCATTTATGCTTTGGGGTCCTTAGGGTTCCATGTTATTCCCCATGCTTTTTAACATCTTCATGAAACTGTTGTGGTCATCTGGAAGTATAGTGTGAGGTGTCATCTATATGTGGTTGGCACCCAGCTCTACATTTCTTTTTTATCTTATGCAGGTGAGTTGGTGGGAGTGCTAAATCAGTTCCTGGAAGTGGTAATGGGTTAGATGAGGACTAATGAACTGAAGGACAATCTAGTCAAAAGATGGAACTAAGTGATTCATCTGCCTAAGAAAGTGGTGTTCAACCTTTATAGAGTTGGCTACATTTCCCCTAAAGAATCAGGTTTGTAGTCTGGGGCACTCATTGATCCAGCTTTGTCATTGGATCCACAGGGTATCTAGCCTTGAGCACTTTTTATCAGCTATTACCCTTCTTGGACTGATAGCCTTGCCTCAGTGGTAATCTTCTGTTCAGACAGTTGAAATGCGTTGTATGTAGAGGTGCGTTTGAAAGTGGCTGGGAAACTTCAGTTAGTTCACTATATGGCTGCAAGACTGCTAACTGGGACAGGGTAATATGAGGCACATCATTCCAGTGCTTTGCCATCATTGCTATCACACAGTTTGTTTCTGGGCCCAATTCATTGTGCTAGTTTTGACCTTTAAGGCTCTTCATAGTTTGGGACTAGGGTACCTGAAGGACTTTCTGTCTCCACATTCACTACCTGGACTTTAAGCTCTTCTTCAGAGGGTTTCCTCTGAAGACTACCATAGAATGAGGGGGATTTTCCAGTGGTGACATTGTGGCTGTGGAACACCCTCCCCAGAGATAGTAATCTAGCACCTATCTTTCAGCACCAGGCAAAGACCTCCCCCCGCCACCGCCTTTTACAGTGATACCACGGGTTAAGTACTTAATTCGTTCCGGAGGTCCGTTCTTAACCTGAAACTGTTCTTAACCTGAAGCACCACTTTAGCTAATGGGGCCTCCTGCTGCCGCCGCACCGCCAGATCACGATTTCTTTTCTCATCCTGAAGCAAAGTTCTTAACCTGAAGCACTATTTCTGGGTTAGCGTATGTAACCTGAAGCGTATGTAACCCGAGGTACCACTGTAATCTGGTTTAGTTTTAAGCCATTTTCACTCTCTGCAGTAATGCCTGGGGTTGACTGTGTTTATAATTTTATTGGGTTTATGGTTGTGGAATTTTAAACATTGTTACTATTTGTTAGCTGTCCTAAGAACTTTTCTTTTATAGAATGGCCTATAAATACTGCAAAAAAATAATAGAAAGTTATGGTTGTGGTTGTGTGGTGGTAAAGGAAATACTCTTCACACATTCTTCTAGGCCACATTTTCCAGGGTTTAGTCCTTGCTCTGGAAGCAGGTACTGTATTGGAATCCCCAGTAAACTGTGGCTTAAAGAAGCTGTATGTTATTTTGGCCTGCATAAACTGCTTATGCCAGGGTGGTCTTGTTAGCTTCTGTTGAAATTTATGTCTACAGGCTGGTCATTAAACTGCCTGCAGAGTGCAGGATGAATTGGGGAAAGAGTTTTTTCTGATACAGGACAGCAATATGTTTCTTTAAAAAACAAAAACAAAAAACTTAAAACATCAAAGGAAACATCCCAGGGAATGTACCTGCCTTCCCCTTTTGTTGTTGCAGTCCTGTATATGCAAAAATAAAGTAAAAAGTAATAAAAGGAGCAGCTGACTGTTGTCATACTTAATAACAGGAATCTTTCCCCATGTTTAGTACTAGCTAAATGACCACAAAGAATAGAAGAAAATGACCAATAAAGGGGTTGTTACTAATGAACTCTAGGGATTGGTGCAAGAAGCAACATTTGGTATGTACAATATAAAAATGGGTCAGGAAAGGGCTGCATGGTGGGGAGGCAAAACTTTGCTGACTAACAGATTTTAGAGCTTTCGAGGCTTAAGGACGTGACAGAATTGGGTAATGGCAGAGAAACAGGGACAGAGGATGCAGGAGGTGTTGGAGAGAACAGTATGCACCCATTGTTCTTGCTTTGTTTTGATCAAGTGGCAGCCCAGGGAAACATCCAAGTGTGTTTAGCTGGGTTAGATCAAGGAGGCCACAAAAATGATCGCTGCTTTGACAGAAGATATTCCCCTCTCCCCTTCCAGTAGGAAAAGGGCCCCAGAGAGAGCACGTAACAATCTTGTTTTTTTATATAGAAATGGTGTATATACCCTGCTTCAGCAATCTCTCAAAGCAGCTTACAAAAAGCAAGATAAAATACATAAGCTAGCACACAAGTAACATTAACTGGAGACATAGAAAGTAGACCCAGAAAAAGTACTACTTCGTACAGCCCCTTGTTGTTTATGGAATCCATTGCAACTAGATATGGTGGCAGCCAGTGTCACAGGTGGCTTTAAAGGAAGTCTAGACAAATTTTTATTGAGGATGATGGGGATTTTTTATCAATGGCTATTTGTTAGGATTGCTATGTGGAACCTCCATTTTCAGAGACAGTCTACCATTTAATTCCACTTGCTGAGGGACAGCAGTGGAAGAGCTGTTGCCTTGTGCCCCGACTACTTGAATCTTGTAGACATATATCTGGTTGACCACAGTTATAAATAGGATGCTGGACTAGAGGGTATGATCCAGCAGGGCCTTTCTTACATTCAGTACAAGAAGCAGTGTACCTACAAAATGGCAGCGAATATCAGCAGCCTTCCCCATCATCACCCCAAAGCATTTATGAAGTTGGCAAAAATGAAAGTGCTGAAGGGAGGGCTTTTTACTTTTGTTCCTAATTTTTAATGGAACCACCCCTGGTGGTGGCTGAGGTACTGGAAATTTGAGGCAAGTAATTGCAAAGTACAGGCTACTTCCCAACACAAAAGTAACAAAGCCCTTCTCAGGCCCTCTAAGAAGGAATCCAGCAGGTTTCCGTTCCTGTCCTCAGCCAGCTATGATGGGCTGGTAAGTGGAGCACAAGATTTCCACATCTCTTTTAAGTTATTTGATCTCTAATATATTCAAGTGTTGACTTTTTGGTGTCTGAATTGTTGTAACAACCATTCCTCTTTGGGGCATGAATGAAAAACTTTTCCTCTATAGAAAGTAATTCACATTTTCAGCCCCTGAGATCTCGAACCATTTTTGTATCAGGAACAGAGTCTGTCCCCCCCCCCCCCCCATGCTAAGTTCACGAGTCCATCTCCACTGAGTCTGAATTATGTTTATATTTTTTGCAGTGTCACCCTTGTGTGATGAAGGTTCTTTTTTCTTTGTTTTTTTTAATAACAGAACTGATGCTATGATTCATGCTTATGAAAAGGCTGTGGTCAGTTTAAACTGGTCCTGGTAGCCCAGACTTCATTTCCTCAGTCAGCATACACCTCTGAATATGGCCACAGCCTAGTTAGGAACAGAGTGCTTGGAGGTGGCCTGGTGGGGAATGGTGTTCAAACAAACTCCAGCTATCCTTTCTTTGGCAAAATAGGCACCCAGGGAGTGTAAAGAGATGTGGCAGGTAGCATCTGGAATCTCTGCTTCTTAAGTGACATTTTTTGAGGGGAGAACTAGATGTTAAACAATAGAGGAAAGTGTTAATTTGAGATGGTGCAATAGAACCGAGTAAAGCCTGAGGTTGGCTGTCTTGAGAGCAAGCATTTTGCTTCCAAGGCATTGCATTGCCAATACTCTGGGTTCAGGAGTTCACATTTATCTCTTGACTTCATTTTAGTCAGGCTATTGAAGACCATCTGTCCACTCACTAGGTATGGTTTATCCCACTGAGGCTTTTGTTTTCAGAGAGAAGATGTCAACCAAAAACTTGAGCTATTTAAGCAGTGTTGTGTTTGGTATGTTGCTGGCTCAACTGTGACTTCGCTGATAAGGCATCCAGACACAAGCACAACTATGCAGTGCCCTGGTTTATTTGGTGCCCTAGTTCACTTTAGCCACTGAAATGAGGCAGCACTCCACCAAGACAGGTTTTGTCACAAGCAGCATTTTTATAAGACATCGAGGGGGGAGCACAAAGTCAGAATAGCCCATGCTATTCCAGAATCAGAGCAGCATGCTCTTTCCCAACACGAGATCTTTTTGCTCTATCTGTAGTTACATTGTACACTGTGGATAAATATTTGTCAGTTAGGATATGTTGTGGAAAGGACTGAACCAATGAAGAGGGGAAGAAAAAAAAGAGGCTGTACGTTTCTTTTTCTAATAAATTTTATTTTATTTTACTTTTTCCATTTTGTGGCCTTTTATGCCACTGATTTCATTGTTGGCTCTACTGCATCAGGATGAAAGAGCATTGGTCAAAGATTTATTGTTGAAGCAATATAAATTCTCTGTTTAACCAGGCTGTGGAACATAATTTCTTTTCTTTTCTTTGTACAGTTGTTAAGCAACATATGCTACAGTTCAAACTGGTGTGTGGTGTGTGTGTCTTTTCATTTGTTTTTGCCTGGGGAACACATAGTTGTAGTTCCCTTCTTGGAACAATCTAGATGGTGTTTGTTGTGGAGGAATCACATGGTCCTAGCATTCAAACTGCAACATTGAGAGGGGAGGGAACTCTTGGATGGGGAGGGTGGAAAGACAGGTGTTTGGGGAGGGTGTGGAAAGAGAAAAATAGGAGGTGACAGATTGGGGTCCAGAGGTCTTTACTAGTAAAAGAGAAAAGAGCTGCTAAGGAATGCAGATAATAAAATGGACTAATAGAGATGGAGTGCAATGAGAACTGTGGAGTATTGAAAAGCGGGGGTGCCAGTTAACAGATGGGGAAGAGAGAGAGAGAATGCTATAGGATGCAGAGGGGAAAGGAGACACTAAGAAGCAAACAATTAAAATGTGATAAAAATGTTTTTCTATTAGCTGTGCAGCCCTCTTGAAATAATGAAAAGGATCCTCAGTGATTTGTGTAACAGGTCAAATAAGCACATCAAGGTTTTGATTGGATTTGGTTGCATATATATCCTTCTCAGTGTTGCTGTGCATGGGATGTCTAAATTGTCTCCTATCAGGCACTGACCAGTTTGAGGCCTGCTTACCTTGTAAAGGTTAAAAGTATTGTTTGTGATCTGCCTAGTCACTGGTTGGAAGCAATTTAGAAAAGGAAAGAGGAAGTCTTATGCTATCTGTTCTGTGGAGATTTTAGGAGATTGGCTATTATACTCAAGGATTCCAGTTGTTTAAAGCTCTTGCTAATTCTGGACAGAGGCTGTGAGAGATAACAGTCTAGGGGATTTCCTGTCCTCTGGAACAAGATACTTTCAGCCCATCTACGGCAGTGTCCCTAGATTTATTTTCATTCTATGAAAATCCTAGTTGTCTTCTGCCAATTGATAACGGAGTCATCAGGTGTGATCTGCTTTAAGAAGCAAGGAAACTTGCTTAGTTGAAAATTATATTTCCCCTCAATCTTAGGGCTCAGTTTTGAAGATAGCAATGTTTTCTGATATCAGCATAATCAATTAAATAATTGCATTTCTATTTATCTATTTATCTAGCTCCTGTGCAAGAGTGTTGTATTTTGTGTTCCAGTATTTAGTTTCTTGATTTCAAAGGAAGGAGTGCTCACTTAAAGTTGAGTGTGTGTTTGTGCATTTAATTTGGGTCTTTCAGGAGCCATGAGATGCTTGCCTGTTTTTTCTCTGGATGCCTAAATATATTTGTTTACAGTGAGCCACTGCTGTGCTGGACTAAAACTTTTGGTAAAGAAGTTGCTTTAGATAATGCTTATGTTATTCACATTGTAAGCCACACAAAACTAGTTGGCACAGATGTGTCCAGTATAAGTTCAGTGCAGCATCTGATGTGGTTATACCACCTTTTTCTATTGAGTCTTCAATCATCGTATGTGTTAAAACTGAACTGGGACATGCTCTACTCTCTACTCCCTATTCGTTGATGCTTCTCTAACATATTCTGGCATTACTAAAGCATATTTAGGCTTGTCAGGACTAGGTTTTTATTCTACCGAGCACGGAAAAAGTAATAGGAGTGAAACCTCCATGGAAAACAGAAGTGTTTACTAGTAAGCCATGCGATGTGCATGACAGTGGTTGTTCCACTTTTCTCATAGAGTGTAAGCAAGTATGATTTTGTTGACTTATACCTTCTTATTTGGACAGTGTACAATATAAACTTTTTTATTTTCTACATATACCTTTGATTACATATTTATTGATCCTGAAACTTTAATTGCATAGAAATAGTTGTGTCATGCCTCCTGTAACAAGTTAGCACTTGAATAAGAGAGTATTGAAATAGCCACATTAATTTTAACTGCTTAAAATGACCGCATTAATTTTGGGGAAGGTGGAGTGGGAGCTATGGAGAAGATAACTCTTCTGGCAAGGAGGAAATTAGAATGCTCCTGAAGAGGGGAAAAAATCACATTCATTGAAATTTGCACACTCAAAGCTGAGGAGAATGGGCGAAGGAGGAGACTTAAGGGAGGGAATGGAATAGCAAATCACTTTGTCAGGTCCTGCCTTGGGGCTCAGGGAGAATGGTGTTCATGCTCGGCCACTCATTCAGACTTGAAGGCTGCTGCTGCTTATGCCATAGGTCTGTTTGTTGTACTAAAAATAAAGCTTCCCATTAAGCCATCACAAGCTTTCTGAAATATAAATATGGGCCTTATGAACAACTATGTAGCCCACAGTGACCTCTCAAAATCTGAGTGCTCCAGATGGAAACTGTTGGTAGATGTTCAGTGAAGTAAACCCTTTCCCTCAGAATTTGTGAGTGGCAGCACTTACCCATTGCTATTGCAGTGCACACGTGTGTGTGTGTGTGTGTGTGTGTGTTGATTTGTCTTGTTATAATGCTGTAAGTCTGTATGTGGAATGGCAGATTTAGTTATACTGTATTCTGATTTTTTTATCTCGAGTGGCTGATCTGGCAAACTCTTCAGACTACCAGAATGTTAGCTCCATCCGATACAGTACCATGAGATTAACACTCCCCTTTAAAAGGAATGATTTGGGGGGGGGGGCTGGCTTTGAAAAGCCAGGCAGAGCAGGGCCTACTTTTGGAAGTAGGAATAACACCACAAGACTGAGGGAGTTAACAGTACCACTCTGTTCTGCCTTGATCAGACCACACCTGGAATACCGTGTCCAGTTCTGGGCACCACAGTTTAAGAAGGATGTTGACAAGCTGGAATGTGTGCAGAGGAGGGTGATGATCAAGGGTCTGGAAACAAAGCTTTATGAGGAATGGTTGAAGGAGCTGGGTATATTTAGCCTGGAAAAGAGGAGACTGAGAGGAGATATGATAGCCATCTTCAAATATCTGAAGGACTATCACATGGAAAATGAAGCAAGCTTATTTCCTCCTGTTCTGGGGGCGGGGGACTCAAACCAATGGCTTCAAGTTGCAAGAAAGGAGATTCCAACTAAACATCAGAAATAACTTTCTGATAGTAACAGCTATTTGTCATTGGAACACTCACCCTCAGGAGGTTGTGGAGTCTCTTCATTAGAGGTTTTTAAGCAGAGGTTAGATGGCCATCTGTAATGGATGCATTAGCTGAGATTTCTGCGCTGCAAGAGGTTTGACTAGATGACCCTTGGGATCTCTTCCAGCTCAACAATTCTATGTTTCTATGATTCTTAAGGTTTGGGGTAGCACAACCTGTTTTAGCTTGTTAATGGGCTGCCTCTGAAAGTGTGTACACTTCTACACAATTATGAAAAAAGTGTGCCTGCTTAAGCACATATCTGTTCACTCATTCCAGTGTATTTACCCCAAGTAGCTGATGAGTGGCCCCATTATTTCCAGTCCACACTCAGCCACTGTATCTTTTTCTTTCAACTAGTTATTTGGGAAGGTGCTCATCAGCTGCTGAAGTTTGCTAAAGGTGCTGATCGTATTCATACAGCAGCTCTGACTCTTCCTCAGCAATTTTCTTGTTCTGCTTTACTAAGCAAACCAATTGCCAGGTCCTTGCTTTTCCTATCAGGAAACCCCTTGCTTCTGTTCCTACAAAATCCTAAACAGAGATAGGTGTAAAATAATTGTGGGCAGGGGCAAATTGCAAGGGTCTAATTAAGAAGTCTAAACCTATCCTCCACCATGTATTGAGTTTGACAGATGTTACATCTTGTGTGTTAATGAGCATATCACGCCCATTTTACAGCAGCTACACTTGTTTTCAGTTTGTTTCTGGGCAGGATTCAGGGGGCTGGTGACTATGCTTGAAGCCTGAGTCCAGGTAACCCAGAGAGCAGCCTCTTTGTGTACCATCCTGCTGCTCCCTTCTTCTCTTCATCCCAACTATGGCTGAAGCAAGACGTGAAATGTGTGAGAGAGCCTTCTCCCTGGCTATACCTAAATTGTGTTACTCTTTTCTATGGGAGGCCCAGTCGACCTTGTTACTGCCTGTCTCCTGGCATCTTGCTAAGATGCTTTTATTTAGACAGGCTTTTAATCTGCTTGTTTAGAAATTTGTAATGCTAACCCTGACCCTGCTGTTTTTAATATTTACTACTTGTCACAATTGTCTCTTTTCATTGATATTTATTAAGATGTGGTATGTTTTGTTTTCAAATTTGTAAGCCACCTTGCGTACTGTTTTTAACAGGGATATAAATTTTCTAAAATAAAAACAATGAACCCTAGGACTTACTTTGCAGGAAGTTAGACAAAGGCATCTTCAGTATCTTGACACTGTCAGGAGCAAAGGTTTGAAAGGGAAGCTGCTGTTAGCAAATAACTTCAGAACGAATGAATTTCAGTTGCAATTTTTCCCCCTATCTCTGTTTTCACAGAAAAGCAGGGTCCTGAAAGGAAGAGGATTAAAAAGGAGCCCGCAACTCGGAAGCCCAGCCTGCTGTTCGGAATGGGACTTCCAGGAATCCGTGCAGGTTATCCGCTCTCTGAGCGCCAGCAGGTTGCCCTTCTTATGCAGATGACAGCAGAAGAGTCTGCAAACAGTCCAGGTGTGGACAGTATAATTTGTGTTTAAGGTAGAATTAGGCCCTTATGGTTCTCCCTCAAAGTCTGCAGTTGCTGTCTTAGTGGGGATCTCAGAAACATCCAGTTAGGTGTTCAGCATACAAGGCTTGGAGAACTCCCCCGTTTGCAGCTAGTGAATCGACTTCACTTCTTCCCTTAGATCTCAGGCCCCTTCATTCCTGAGAGGAACCACAGCTGCTTTCTACAGTATTTGCTTAATCACAGTCTTCCATTAATGTCTCCATTGTGCCTGCAGAGGCATTCCTCTGCTTGGAAAGATTAACACTCCCATCCCCCAATCCCCCAGCCATTTCCTCTGCTTCAAGGCAAGATTGTAACTATATGGCAACAGCTCCCTCTAAAGGCTTTGGGGTTTTGGCTTTGAACTGAACTCCTCCTTCATGTGTGCTTTTCCCCACCTCTCCTGCCAGCAGTAGATACAACACCAAAGCATCCCTCTCAATCCACAGTTTGTCAGAAGGGAACTCCTAATTCTGCCTCCAAAACCAAAGATAAAGTAAACAAGAGAAATGAACGTGGAGAGACTCGGCTGCACCGGGCAGCTATCCGAGGAGATGCCCGACGCATCAAGGAACTCATTATTGAGGGTGCAGATGTCAATGTAAAAGATTTTGCAGGTAACCACTCTATTCATTCTGAATTGACTGCTGGAGTATGTTGGGGTGGGGGTGGGGTGGGGGTAGAAAAACAATACAATTGTTTCTTGGCTGAGACACTGAAGAAAACATTATACTAGAGCCCACATAGTTAAGTTGCCCAGCTTGAACTAGGATAGGACTAGATTCATCAGAGGAGTAAGTGAGCAACCTGTAGTGGAACATTCAGAGTAAGTTGCTGAACAGTGATCCAGCTTGGGGATGTGTTGTATTTTGTTCTGTTTTTTTGCTGTCAAGAACCTTGTGATGTTGTCAGTGTTTCAAAAACACCCCCCCCACACACACAAAAAAAAAACACACCCCAAAATGCGAGCAGTGCTGTGAGGAGGCCTAACAGATCCATTGCCTTGGATCAGGGATTCTATCTATGACTTTCTCTTGCCCATTTCATGTTGGTTGCATATTTCTAGCTGTGGCAGAGCTCAGTTACCTGTAAAGTTTTCACCTTCCATGCTGTATTCTCCCTCCTGATAGTTGCTGCTGTTCTGTCTTTTCTTTTTATTCTTTCCTCTTTTCAACTGCAGTGTTGTAGCCTCTGTTGTCCTAGCTTCAGCCACTGTGATACCTTCACATTCTAATGATTGTCGATCAGGTTTTCCCCCCTCATTCTTTAGGTAGTCCAAATTAATCTCTTATGTCCCATTATTTTGCCAAAAACTCCTGTTGTGCAAAATTTAACAGGTGCCAAATTGTGTTCATTGGGAGATCTAGGACTTGCTGCTTTGCTATCTTAGCATGCAATTCAGAAGCTACAATAGATGCTTATTTGAAATGACCTAGCACTGCCATGCAAAGGTTAAGGTTCACTGCACTTCTATAATGAGCAGCAAGTGCCTTATCCTGAGCCTTGTAATAGTTAGTACTGGTTTCTGATCAAGACACATACTAATTATAAGTCATTTATGCATCTAGATAACACTCATTCAGTAACTCAGACAGAGGCTTTCTAATAGTGAAGTTGTAGAAATAACTCTTTTGGGGAAACTTTTAAGGATTATTTTATTTGGAAAGCAACCTGTTAGCATCATTTATACATTACATTCTAGGAGGCTTCAGTTTTTTATTCATTGCATTTTGGTATTCTTGTTTCTGTGGCAGCATTCTCTACCTACTACCTGATGCTGCAAAGCCACCAGAAAGCCAAGCAGACCTGTTTGTGGCATTGCAGCTATTTGTTAATATTCCAGACACTAAGGTTCAGGTGAGAACAGGAATTCTGTGAAAAATAACATTGACCATCTTTCTACATCAAAAGATGGTCCCTCCCTCATGCCCCTTTATTAAACTTCTGTTCTTTCCTTATTTCTAGTGGGGAGCTGGATGTATATATTATGTTGCCAGACAAAAGAGCCTGGATGGGCTAAATACCAGGCAAGAGTCAAGCTTCTGATGTCTTTACACTAATGCAGGGCTGGCGGGTGGTTCTACAGGCAAGCCTCTGTGCTGCCAGCCAGCATAATCAATGGAGGCACTGCTGTGTGACATAGTTACTGATCTGAAATAGGCCATCCATGTTATGTGTATGTTTTGTATGTGCATTTGCAGGTTGGACGGCTTTGCATGAGGCATGCAACAGGGGTTACTATGACGTTGCAAAACAGTTGCTTGCTGCAGGCGCCGAGGTCAACACCAAGGGCTTGGATGATGACACTCCGCTGCATGATGCAGCCAGCAATGGGCACTACAAGGTCAGTTCTTGCCAGATTTGAATAGTCAGCTGTTACACAGGCCCAAATGATCTCTCCCTGTGGCCACCATCAGGCTCTTCAGCTCTTTACTGTGTACTTTTTAGTTTATTCTTCCCTTCTACTATTGAAAACTTGTGGTTGAGGATAAGTTGCAGCCTTTGCAAGTCTTCTATAATGTCTTTACCACCTTCCTGATGTGTCCAGTGTCCTTATTTCTAGGTGTTTGAAGTGTAGTTACCCTGTTCGGTCCCAGAGAAACAAGAGAGACAAACTGGGTAAGGTGATAATGTATGTAAGGGTATTCCCTTATACTGAGACAGGCCAATGTCTATGTCTAGCTGCTTATCACCTACCGTGAGTGACAAGGGCCTTCTACATGATCTCCTTTGCAATAAGGGAGGCAAGGAATTCAACTAAGGATCTTATACTTGTAGAGCATATTCCCTACCACTTAGCTTTAGCTCATATTTCTCTGATCAATGTGCTAGACTTTAAGCTACTTTATCACTAGCTGATAGTGAGCTGGTTTGTCAGCCTTTTGGATAATCTTCATTTCTGCTCCTTTGTCCATTATAGATGCAACTTAATGAGACTTTGTTTATGTCTAGGTGGTGAAACTGTTGTTACATTATGGAGGAAATCCTCACCAGCTTAACAGGAGGGGAGAGACACCATTAAAAGTAGCAAATTCCCCCACAATGGTCAATCTGCTCCTGGGGAAAGCCACATATCCTTCCAGTGAAGAGAGCTCCACAGGTAAGAGGTGGGAAGTGGCAGAAGGGTGTGGTGCAAATAACCTGTACCTCCATGCATAAGGAGACCTTCAGAGGGCTGTATTGTGCCAGGAGCACACCCTGAAACCTTTTGCTTAGTGCCTTCAGGGCCTTTAATAATGACCTCTGCTCCCTTGAGATTTGCATATTGTTCTTTATTGTTGCATGCCTGCAACAGCCCATCATTGGAAATCAAAGACTAGGCAGCTCCCTAACAAAGACTCCAGGAAATGCTCCAGGTTAATGTGGAACTGAATGCTTTGCTGTTCTACATCCTAAGGTTGGTGGAGCAGAGGCTGAATGTGATGGCATTACTTACCATCACTTTCTTGTGATCCTGAGGAAGATCAGATTTTAGTATTTTGCTATTTTGCTTTCACTAGAATTTATTTGCGAGGTTAAGCAATCAATTTGCCTCTCACCATTGCCTGTAGTAGAGTCAAGGCCTCCCAAACATCACATGAAAAGACAGAAGCAGGCCATTTGATACTTTGCTAGACAACTTTGCAGTGTGACGTATCCAGAAGTAGCACAGTTAATGCATATAATAAGTGGGGTCAGGAAGACTAAGTGTGTATCATGAATGGAGTAAGATACCCACATTTAGCATCCTCACTCAGCTGGTACCCTCTTCTGCCTATAACAAGCCTCAGCTATAAGATGCTCTATGATGCCTATTCGCTGCCTCCTCCCCAAGCCACATGTTCTATGCTGTAACATAATGATGCATTGTGCAGGTGGTTTTGAAGCTCAGCAGGGATGGGATTTTTAAGAAATTTGCTTGGCAAAGAGAGATGCAGAAAGGACTTGTGTCCAGCATTGCTTTGCAAGTAAAAGCTTGTAAAAGGTAGAGTTGTACTTTTTTGCGTAGGGATGAAGAGGTGAGCCTTTGAGAAAATGCAGTAAGAGGAAGTTTTTGCAGAGTGACGGGGAATCTGTGCAAAGAAGTGCTGATTAGCCAAGAGTGTGAGGTGTAAATACTTCATTCAGATCTCACCTTCACCTTGGACTTATCAAATGCCCTTACACAAATCACTGTTTATCCTAGTGTCATCCCTTCATCCGTAGCAAAAGGAAAACAGCTGGCCTTCCTTATAGGGGCATTGTAACAGTTAGTGGTGGAGTGCACACCAAATCCCCTTAAAGCACTATATAAATACTGTGTAGTAGCTTTGAGGCCTGTATGAGGGTGAAACACTTGGATGTGGTAGGGATGGGGCTGAGCATGACCAATGCTCCTGTGTTTTTTAAAAAAAGGCAGCACCTGAGATGAGGGGAATGGATGCACCATTTGCCTGATAATAAATTGGCACTGCAGATGTCTGGCTGTGCTGCAACTTATGGAAGCAGTCCCCTTTGAAACAAATGGATATTACACCCAGCAATCGCTCTTATTGGATTTGCACCCTTTCTGCCCAGATGCTCCAAATGGATTCCTGTCATTGACTCCCCTGCGCAGCTTTGGCCTTTTATTCCAGAGGACCCAGCAGACCACCGAGTAGGTAAAGCAGCCACAGCTATGCTTTGCACATGGAAGATAGATTGTCTGTTCAGGTATTGTGAGCAGGTTTCTGTGGAGAATGATGCTCCAGCTCCAGGTGAAAGTAGGTGTCGTACCTTACTCTTTATTTGTGCTCTTGTTTTTTCAGAGAGCTCAGAAGAGGAAGATGCTCCTTCGTTTGCACCATCCAGTTCCATTGATGGCAACAACACAGACTCTGAGTTTGAGAAGGGCCTGAAACACAAGGCCAAGAACCAGGAGCCTCCCAAAGCTGTCACACCCGTGAAGGATGAATATGAGTTTGATGAGGATGATGAGCAGGACAGGGTCCCACCAGTTGATGATAAACATCTTCTGAAAAAGGATTACAGGAAAGAGACTAAAGCAAATAGTTTTATTTCTATCCCCAAGATGGAAGTAAAAACTTATACTAAAAACAGCACAATCACACCAAAGAAAGCATCCCATCGTATCCTTTCAGACACATCTGATGAAGAGGAGACCAGCCTGCCTGTGGGGACTGGGGAAAAGCTGCGGCTGACAACCCATTCTATCCTCCCCAGCAGCAAGGCTCGAGAACCTTCTAATGCCAAACAGCAGAAAGAGAAAAGCAAAGTGAAGAAGAAGCGCAAGAAGGAAGCAAAGGGCAAAGAGGTTCGGTTTGGCAAAAAAAATGACAAGTTTTGTTCCTCTGAATCAGAGAGTGAAAACCTGGAGAGTGAGGAGGATGACAGAGACTCTGTACAAAGTGCTACCTGTGTAAAGGACTCCAGATTGGTGTTAAAGGAGTCATCCTTGTTTAATTCCCTTTCTGCTTCTTCTGCCTCTTCCCATGGGAGTTTGGGGTCTCAGAAGCATAATGCTACCCTTGCAGAACAGCACTCCAAGCACTGGAGGACGGACAACTGGAAAACAGTCTCTTCTCCAGCCTGGTCAGATGTCAGTTCTTTATCGGATTCAACAAGGACGAGGCTGACCAGTGAGTCTGATTACACGTCTGAGGACTCAAGCCTGGAATCATTGAAGCCTGTGAGGAAGAAGCAGGAGCCCAAGAAGCGCGCCCAACATGGAGCTGCTGTGATTGTGGAGAAGAAAAATTCATTCCATGCCAGTGTTGATGGAGCTATTCCAAAGCGAGACAAGGAGGGGAAAGTTGTAAAAAAGCATAAAACAAAACACAAACACAAAAACAAAGAGAGAGGCCAGTGTCCTGCCACCCAAGACATTAAAATAATCAAAGCCTTTTCTTTTGACTATGAGGACTCTAAGCAGAAGACCGATAAGGCTTTGATTGTGGAGACTGAATGCCCTGTTGAGAACAAGCTCAAAGTGCTTAAGCATGAGAGGGAGCACTTCAAGAAGGAAGACAAATTTCAGAAAACTAAATCTGAGGAGAAGGAGTGGCTGTTTAAAGACGATGCTGGAAAAACCTCCAAAGAGGAGAAATCCTTGAAAAAAGCCAAGGAGGCAAGTAAAGATCTCAGTAAAACTTTCAGAGAAGAAAAGAGCAGCAGATTGGAAAAAGAGAAGCCCATAAAGGAGAAATCTCCTAAAGAGGAAAAACCTCGAATACATAAGGAAGAGCGAAAGAAAAAATCTAAGGACAAGCAGTTCAAGACTGATAAGAAAAATGAACTGAAGGAGGAAAAACCAGCAAAACCAGAGAAGGAGAAAGCCCTGAAAGAGGAGAAAGAGAGATGTAAAAAAGACAAAGGTTACAGGGAGGAGCCCAACTTTGAAGAGTTTAGTAATAAAAACCAGTTTTTAGAAAGCGAGGACACAAAGTTCAGCCTCTCTGATGATCAGCAAGATCGGTGGTTTTCAGATTTGTCATCGGATTCTTCTTTTGATTTCAAAGGAGAGGATAGCTGGGATTCACCAGTGGCAGACTACAGGGAAATTCAAAATGACACTGTGACAAAACTCATCATAGAAACGGTGAAGGAGGAGATAAAAGACAAGAAGCGGGATAGTAAAGCAAAAGATAAGAGGGAGTACAGCGAGAAACGTAATGAAAAAGACACTTTTCTAAAAAAGAAAGAGAGGGAATATGTTGAGCGGAACTCTGAGAAGAAAAAGGACCAAGTTGAAAAGCATAAAAGTATTTCTAGTTATCTGCCTGAAAAGAAAAGAAAGGATTCTGCTGAAAGCTTTAAAGAGAGAAAGGAAAAGGAGGCTAGTGAAATTAACAGAGAGAGAAGAGATTTGCCTGATAGCTCTAAAGATAGAAAAGAAGTTAAAATTAAACAAGAAGAATCCTACAGAGATGAATTTAAAGACTATGGCTGTGAAACATTCTTCAAAGAAAAATCTGAACCCGAATTTAGTGGGAAAAATGTGGAGAACTGGGATAGGCATCATTCAGGAAAAGAGAAGAAAGATGTGCCAGAGAAGGACAAGAAAGAGAAATTAAAAACAGAAAAGTACAAGGAGAAATTCAAAGTAGAGGACAAAGAGAGAAATGAGAAAGCTTTGCCGGAAAAAAACCAGAAGGACAAAGAATTAGATAAAGGTTTTAAAGAGAAGAAAGATACAAAGGAGAAATATAAAGATCCCCACAATAAAGATAAAGAGAGAAAGGGTTCACTAGACCAAGTTAAAGAGAAGAAAGAGAAGAACTTTTCTGGAGATAGAGAGGATTTCCACGAGAGGAGGGATGAGAAAAAAGGCCGGGAGAGGACATGGTATAACATCTTAGATATCTTCACAGATGAAAGCGAAGATGAGAAGGATGATTACAGCCTAAGTGGGTTCAAACTTGGAGAGAGCCTTGGGAGCGAAATGCATCGTATGGATAGCATGCAAGACAAAGACGATAGCATGGTAGCTGAGAGAGACCTTTATGTCCCTGACAAGCACAGGAAATACTCCTCTGATCGGCAGCATTCCACTGAGAAACAGAAAGACAAAGAGTCAAAAGAGAAGAAGAAGGACAAAGGGTTACCAGAGGGTGGAAAGGAGAAAAAAGAGAAAAGCTCCTTTGAAAAACACAAAGAGAAGAAGGACAAAGACTCAGTAGAGAAGTATAAAGACAGGAAGGAGAGAAGCTCAGTGGACTCAGCCCAAGAAAGGAAGGCAAAGCAGAAATTCCCTGAAAAGGTGGAAAAGAAACATGCTGGGGAAGAGAAGGTTAAAAACAGACACAAGGAAAAGCTAGATAAAGAGTATACTAAGGAGAAACGGTCTTCGAAAAGCGGAGAAGCAGAAAAGAGCTTGCTGGAGAAACTGGAGGAAGAAGCCCTCAATGAATACAGAGATGACTCCAATGATAAAATCAGTGAGATTTCTTCTGATAGCTTCACAGACAGAGGGCAAGACCCCGTACTCACCAATATCTTTGAGTCTTCCAACCTTTCACTTGCAGATGCCAACGAAGAGAAATTTAAGGAGTCTCTGCCTTTGCCTTGCCTTCCAGATAAACTCAAGGAGAAAGAGAGGCACAGGCATTCTTCATCCTCGTCAAAAAAAAGCCATGAAAAGGAAAAAGCAAAGAAAGAGAAAGCTGAAAAGAAAGATAAAACAGATGAGTTTAAAGACTCCAGCAACAGGAAAGATTCTACTCAGTATGAGAAGGACTTTGCCATGGATGGAGAAGGCATTAGTATTTCTTATGGAACAAAAACAGAGGCTGAAGAAGAACTGGACAAAAACATGGAGTATTTGTTTCCTGAAAAAAAGGAAAAGAATGATGCTGAAAGAGAACTTCCAAAGAAGGCAGAGAAAGACAAAGCGTACAGCTCCAGCACAGTCAGCACAACCAAAGAGAAGAAGAAGAGGGACAGGCATAAAGAAAAGTGGAAAGAGGAGAGAGAGAAGCACAGAGACAAACACACTGATGGTTTCTTTAGGCACCACAAGGAGGAGCAGAAGTCTGCCAAAGACAAGGATAGCTCTCAAGTGATCACTGTTAAAGACAAATCAAAAGAGGAAACACCCAAATTTAATGACCTCAAAGTAAAGGAACGACTCAAGGAAAATCAAGAAAAGGACAAATCAGAGTGTCTTAAAATGAGCAACGGGAATGATAAAATAACCTTACCCAAAGAAGGCACCAAGAAGGACATCAGACCCAGGGAAAAGCTTTTGGGAGATGGTGACCTAATGATGACCAGCTTTGAGAGGATGTTGAGCCAAAAAGATCTTGAGATTGAAGAGCGCCACAAGAGACACAAAGAGAGAATGAAACAAATGGAGAAGATGAGGCATAGATCTGGAGACCCCAAATTAAAAGACAAAGTCAAGGCCAATGAGGATATGCGCAAAAGGAGTCTGGATTTGACTACAAAGAAACCACTAGCACCTGACACTCAGTTAAAGGACAAGAAACTCAAAGATCTAGGCCCACTGGCTCCAGTAGTATCCCCAGATAACAAGAACCAACCTGTTGTTGGGGTGGATTCCAAGGATTGGATAGCCGGCCCCCAAATGAAGGAAATCCTACCTGCGTCTCCAAGGCCAGATCAGAACCGGCCAACAGGGGTTCCAACACCAGCATCTGTTGTTTCTTGCCCAAGCTATGAAGAGGTGATGCAGACACCAAGGACTCCATCTTGCAGCAATGAAGATTACACAGATCTGATGTTTGACTGTGCTGACTCTCAGCATTCATTGCCCATATCCACCATGTCCATGAACGCTTGTTCTCCATCTTTCTTTGACAGATATTCCAACTCTTCAAGTGGATTCCCGGAGAACCCAAGTCAGACCCCAACAAGGACTATCCCCTCCACAAATCTTCACCGTTCAATGTCTGTAGATATCAGAAGAGCAGCAGAGGAAGAGTTCAATGTTGGGGACAAATTTTTCAGGCAGCAAAGTGTCCCAGCCACTTCTAATTATGATTCTCCAGTTCAGCACTTGATGGAGGAGAAAGTATCTCTCCCCTCCATTCCCATAGAAAAGTTCCCATGTTTGTCCCCAGAATATTATTCACCAGACTATGGAGTCCCATCCCCTAAAGCAGAGGCATTGCATTGTGCACCAGGAACTGTGGGCAATGTTGTTCAGTCCCCTGAAAGTGTATTTTCTGGATTGCAAGCCAAATCTTCCCCTTCTCATAGAGATGAACTGCTTGCCCCTTCTGTTGAAAGTGCTCTCCCTCCAGATCTTGGCCTGCCTTTGGATGCCACAGAAGAGCAACAAGCAACTGCTTCCATTATGCACCCAGAGTCCAGCTTTTTACCACCAATTGAAGACAATGAGTTTGGCTCTAGCATTCCGGAACAGAATAGTACTGAGTGGGAGACCACTTCAACAAGAAATCTGGATCCTCCTGTGCCTCAGAGTTTGATTGGCAATCCTTCTGATCATGCTGTCAGCTGGACAGTGGGATCAGAGCTGCTCATTAAATCTCCCCAACAGGGTCCTGATTCCCCAAAGCCTTTCTGTTCTCCAGACATCACGCATCCCACACCTGTGCCCTTCATTTCTGCAGATTCCCTACATCCCAGTTCCCCCGTTTCATACTCTCTCTCGGTGACTGAATCAAGGCTTGATACAGCAAAGGAAGATGCTGAAGAAGCAGTTCCAACAGAAATGGTGACTGCAGAACAGCAGGCTTCATATGCAGATTCCCCTGCTAGATTAGACACTTTCTTTATTAGTGGTAGTAAGCCTGTTCCAGAGGAAGCATCTGACACACCTTTGCAGCCAGCTAGCATGCCAGCAGAATTGAAAGTGGAGGCTGTTAATGCTCTGGAAAACTTGGAAGAGAGCGCCATTGCCCCTGTAAATCCTGAGGAACAAGCTGCATGGCCTGATCCATTTCCAAATTCAGAGGATGACTTAGACCTGGGTCCTTTCTCTTTACCAGGATTGCCACTTCAATCAAAAGATGTTCCAGAGGAAGAATTGGCAGAGTCAGCTGAAAACACTCATTCGGCAGATCAGGAAACCACCAGTGCAGACTTTGTGGATGTTGGGGTGTCTTTGGGGGCTACAAACAAGCAGGATGATCTAACTCTTAACCAAAAGAGCATCCTTCCTGAGGAGCCAGATCTACAAGCTGATGAGCAAAAGGCCAATGAGATTTCACTAGAAGTTGTGTCAGAAGCATCAAGTGCCCCAGAACAGAAAAATATAGAAGAAGCGGAGGCTCCCCAGAATATTCAGGAGGTGACACCAGCAGATCTTGCTCAGTCAGAGACCAAGGAGGAGGAAACCAATTGTGAAGAACTCTCCTCAGCTACTCTTGCATCAGACAGTGGTTCTCAAGTTAGTTTGAGCCAAGCAATCAGAACTGAGAGCACTGATGTTCAAGACGTAGTGGTACCCGGAAGCAACAGCCAGATCCCTTCCTCTCAGACAGAGGTGCTGCAAGGGAGTACCCAGTTAGAATCTACAGAGCCACCACCCAAACCAGTCCCTGAAACCCCAAAGCCCCCCAAAATCGAAGAGATCCCACAACGGATCACCAGAAACCGAGCCCAGATGCTTGCCAATCAAAACAAACAGAATGCTGCTGCTGCTACTACTGCTACTGCTACTGCTACTACTACTACTACTACTACAACTACTACTACTACTTCTGAAAAAGAGTTCCCCCCTGCTTCTGCCCCTTCAACACGAGCAAAAGGGCGTGTCTCAGAGGAGGAAGATGCCCAGGCACAACATCCGCGGAAGCGCAGGTTCCAGCGCTCCAATCAGCAGCTGCAGCAGCAAATCAACACCTCCACCCAGCAAACACGGGAAATGATCCAGCAGACACTGGCTGCAATTGTTGATGCCATCAAGTTGGAAGACATTGAACCTTACCACAGCGACAGGTCCAATCCCTATTTTGAGTACCTACAGATCAGGAAGAAAATTGAGGAGAAGCGGAAAATTCTCTGCTACATCACTCCCCAGGCACCCCAGTGTTACGCTGAATATGTCACCTACACAGGCTCATACCTGCTGGATGGCAAACCTTTGAGCAAGCTGCACATTCCAGTGGTGAGTAACCTTACACCGCTTGCTGTCTTTATAAACCATGCTAGCATGGAAAAATCCAATCCCACCAGCAATATCTACCCTTCCTGCATCACAAGTGCATGCTGTAGCCCTGGAGAAGGTATACCTGAACTCTGTTACCTTGGCAGAGGCCCCCTTAATCTATTTTAACCTTATCTTACCATAAAAGGCCCTAAAACTTAAAACTTAAAGCTTATTAATACCAAATTCTCTTAACCATGACATATTCTTACATAATTCTTTTTAACATTTCTGCTAAAGCCAAATAATTTCATTCCAACATTTTTCTAATACTCTTTACTTTTACAAAATTTTCCTAAATAAATTGTTTAAAACTTTCTTCCAATCTTCATCCAACATTTCTTTCTCCTGGCCTCGGGTTTTGTCAGTCCTTTCTATCCCATCCATCTAGTCCATCAACCTCATAACCTTATATCCGAGGCCCTTGGATCTCTTCCATGTCCCATCCGCAGATCTTCTTCATATTTATACCTGTGCTTTACTTTGTCTTCTGCTCCTTTCACTCGGGGAGACTCCAGCTTGACAATGTTTTTGTCCCTTCTCGACAGATCAGCCCCTTTTCCAAAGTCAACACTGAACTCCATATGGTATTTAAAAACATGTTTCAAAGTCCCTCCAAAGTTAAGGGCTTGCACAACCCCGGACGCCTCCCACCCCAAAGCCAGACTTGAAAGGTCAAAACATCCCTGCATAGGGGGGTCTATCCAGCCCCCCATCTCCAAACCAAACAGAACTCTGTCTCTCCAAATCTGGCTTTCTCCAGGTTCATTCATCAAGTCCAACAACTCATGTTCCTGCTGGGCCACAGTTCCCTCCATCTCTGCCTCACTAGGTCCAGCAACAGCCTCCTCCCTCATCTGATCTGTCAAAGCACACTCCTGAGTTAACTCCTGAGTGGGTTCTATATAAGTACCCACTGCCTGTCCAAACTTTCCGATCCCAACAGTCATCAAATCCATCTTCTCATGTAACTGTTCCAATAAAGCACTTGTCTTACAAAAGGTCAACACCAGAGCCTCCGAATACATTGTTGTTGAAGGTCAGAGTCTGTTCCCACGATCTTAATCTATTGCAGCTGCAAAGCTCCCCAGTTCGAATTTAATAAGTTTCACAAGCTCCCTCTAGGGCAAAAAACTTCTATTTGTATCCATCTCTCTCCTTTTTTTTTTTTAAAGCAAATCTAACAACAAAGTTTCCTTTTTCAGATATTTTGTCAATATTTTGTTCCTTTTAGATGCGAAGGGGAACAATGGAATCAATATGTTTAACTATCTGTCAAAAACGTTTGTCTATAGTCAATGAACTTCCCGAAGACGTCTGTCCTGACACCCCGCTCCCAGGTTTAGGACGGTGGAGAATTGCTTTTCTTTACTTGTCTTCTGCAAGTTTAATCAGTCCAGAAAAAGTTCCCCCCTCTTCTCCTGCTTCCAAGGGGGGTTCAGTAATTTTAAATGATGAAAATCGATCCTTTACAACGATTTTCTAAGCTCTAGCTTGCCGTGTCTTTGCTTCAATCTATTTACAAAAAGCGGAAGGCAGACTTCCTGTTTAGACCTTCCCGCTTCAGTGCCAAATTAAAAGAAATTTCTTATTCCAATTTTCCGTTCTACTCACGGACAGTTATTTAAGCTCCAATTGTCCACAGGAAAAAGTCAGCGCTCTCCGGCAACAGCAATGCGGCTTCACTCCGTGAAAGAAGCAGTCGATTCAAGGCACCGCGCCACTCACCCCACGTCGCTCCGGAACCCCGAAATCGTGTTTCCCCGCGAGTAGGGGGGGCGCAAAGGTGCCAGCCGAATCCCATGTCCACAGGCTTCTCCCGCCTGTGGTTTTTGATGGGTCTCCGCCTCGCCGTGGCAGTTCAGATCCTGTTTTCCACGGAGCGGATTCCTCCCGATCGGAGGAAATCCGCCATTGCCAGAGGCGCCAACCCGGAAGTTAAAGCAGGAGTATATCTGTCCCCATCTGCATTTTTCCATCGGGAGGAGCATAGAAAGATGACAATATTCTTCAGTTTGTTAAACCTCCTTCTCGTTTCTCTGGCAGACCCTCTAAACTTCCTGAAACCCAGGAACGCTGAGACCCACACACCTTATGTTTTCCAGACAGTCTCCTTATAAGCTACTCAAAATGTAAAGGCAGCCCACAGTCCCCAAGTTTCTCCCAGACCTCAGAAGAGTGTGCTCATCTCTTACAACTCTGATCCTAAGCTTGAAGTTTCACACACACTTACTTCAGTGGTCAGATTGGTCAAATTATGAAACTCTACTAAAAATTAAAAAAAAGCAGGCAAAAGGTCAAGGCAGTATACAAAATAAACCAGAGCACTGTGGCTCTGAAACTGGACCAACCAAAACCTATTCACTAAACTATAGTTGTTCTGATCGACTTACAAGTAAGCAGTGAGGATAGTCCGTTTCATAGAAACTCTCATCTGCATCCCTGATGGTGGGAAGGGAACTCAGCTGCAGAGCAGCTCAGCTTCTTAAGTCTTTCTCCCCAATGCTATCCAGAGACAGTTGCTCAGGTAGCCATCTTAAATACCCTTTTGCATTTGATTGACTTAGGCCCCAATCTGCCCCACCATTCTCTTTCTTGACAGCAGCTTCCTGTGATCCTATTTGAATCAGCCCTTTATTGAGAACCGTGTGAACTGGATTATTATTTTTAATACTTAAAAGAAAGATCACTACCCAGGTACAGCACATGCTGCCCATGCAAAACGGTCTTAGGTTCAATCCCCGCCTCTTAAACCCTGTCTGAAACCCTAGTGAGCCACCACTGCCAGTGTGGACAGTGCTGTGGCAGATAAACCCATGGACAGTGTCAATGACAAGGACCTTTCCTATTTATCTGAGTACAAGAAGGAGGAAATTAAAGCAATAGATGGAACAAAGCTCACAGTAGTAGGTTCTGCTTATCAGCTGACCTGTCTGAAAGAGGGACATAAACTTTGGTGCTAACAATGTTGTAGGTGCTTTGCTTCCAACTTGGCATTCTGCAGCCTCTTAGCACATTCCTTATGCTCTGCAACAAGGGGAATGTGCAGGTACAAAAGCATCCGTTGGGAAGGAATGGACTCCTAGGCTCTAAAGGAGCTGAACTCAGGCCTCAGTGCTGTGTTGGCCTGTATACCCTGTGGAAGCTAATAGACAAATACTGAACTACGACGTGCAGGGTAGAGCTGAATTCCTTACAAGTGTGCTTGTGGAAAGCATCACAATCAGCTGGTGAGTGGGCGGCAGCATTTGCTCCTTGCTTTACCATGCAGCAGTCAGTTTTCAGCTCACTGTTTTCTGTTTTTTGCAAAATCAGCATGGAGAGGGGCCCCTTTGTGGGGGGGACAGCTACAAGATGCGGGGGAAAAGAACCTCTCCGCTCTCACCTCTTATTGTGTAGCACAGGGGTTAGCAAAAGTTGGCATCCCAAAGCCAAGAAAATTATTGTCCAAGTCTTCAGAGTTAAAGAAGCAGTTGCAACAAGAGACCCCATGCGAGTTGGCTATTGATTTTAAGCAGGCTGTTGGTGGCAAACTATCAGAACTGCTCTCTATGCCTCCTTAGAGAGACTATATATTAACTTTGGGAGATGCTAGTGTAAAGGGGATCAAGGGCGGGAGGGGGGCTGTATGGAAATAAATTAGGTATGGATTGGAAAGTGTGTACTCCAAAGGCACATAAATGATTAACAGCCTCTTGGTTAGAGTATCAGAAAAAAACAGCATCCAGACTGAACCCTCAGGGGAGCCTGGCGATTCTCCTGCATGCAAGAGCAGGGTGTAAATTGCTGAATATGTTGTCTGCTGCAGGAGCGAGATGGCAATCACACTCCAAGCTGCATCTTGTTAGACTGGTTCAAAGAGCTGCGGCTTCCCTGCTTTCTACTCCACAGCATAAACAGCCAGACATTTGGTGTATTTGGGAGGAGGGGATGTCTCTGCCTGAAAGGTGAACAGGAAGAGTACATGAGAGTTCTAGCCCCAGCTGTGTCCTGCTGCGTAAACAAAGCTCTGTTTGGAGCAAGGATGCCTGTGGCTGGGTCTTGACCTCACTGCAGCAGCAGGAAACTTAAGACTGCTCCAGGCACTGCTTGAATGTGAACAGATCTGTTCATTGGAAACAGAAGTGGTGGCTGAAGGTGCTGCGGCTTTGTGACGTTTTTTCTGTTTTCTCTGCATTTCAGATTGCACCCCCTCCATCGTTGGCGGATCCCCTCAAGGAGCTATTCAAGCAGCAGGAAGCAGTCCGTGGCAAACTGCGCCTCCAGCATAGCATTGAGCGGGTAACAGCAAATGCTTAGGTGTCCAAAGGCTGCTGGGGGGCAGGCCTCCCCACTACCCTTCAGGAGCAGGGGTGCCTTTTGCTCCTTGGTAACTCTGTCCTCCTCTCTCCAGGAGAAGCTGATTGTGTCATGTGAACAGGAGATATTGAGGGTTCATTGCCGAGCAGCAAGGACAATAGCCAATCAAGCAGTGCCCTTCAGCGCATGCACCATGCTTCTGGATTCGGAGGTGTACAACATGCCTCTGGAAAATCAGGTCTGGGCCCGTCTTCTGATGGTGATAATGAGTGGGTGAGGCAGAGATGACGCTTTTCTCACCAAGGTGGCTCTGACTTCATCACTCGTGCATTGGGCCTGTGCCCAAAAGAATCTGCACTTTTTGTAGCTTTGGCTGGATCGAATAATTATTCAAAAGTGTGTGTGTGTGTGTGTGTGTGTGAGAGAGAGAGAGAGAGAGAGAGAGAGAGAGAGAGAGAGAGAACACGAGCAGGTATCTCCTGGTGAGCAACGCTAAATTTTCCACAGGGTGTTTGCTTTTGTAATTCCTTATGGCATCTTCTCATTAAGCTAATAATGTTGCTTCAGAGCTTTTACATTAAAAAAAGAAATGCTGGGCAACTCTGGGATTGTGGAAACTGAAGCTCTGTTCTCCACCTGCATTTTCTTCCCAACCCCAAAATAATTTTAGTACCAGCAAATACCAAAGATCTGGAGCTGTAAATGAGTCAGACTTGAGCACCCTGTGTTGCTTTGCAGCAAGAAAAGAATTTACAAGTGGCTGCAGCTGAACAGAGCAATGACACCAGCACCTCCTACTGGCCACGTGCTTTGCAGCTGCTTTGCTTGCTTGCCATAAAGCTGTCATTTCAGTGGGAAGCAAGTGCTGCATTGCAGACGGTCCCCATGCACTAGGCGGGATAAGGGAAATTTATTAGCTCTCCATCGTATTGATCTTTTTCATCTGATTTAGAGCTCAGCAGTTCCCAATACATACACTAAGAAAGGAAGATGCTTGGTGCCACATGGTTGGAGGGGTGAAAGTTTTGTTTAAAACAATGGTAGTCAGTATGGTGCCCTTTGGATATTGTTGGACTATAACTCCCATAAACCCCACCCAGTATGGTCAGGCATGATGGGATTTGTAGTCCAGAAACACCTGGAGGGCATCACATTGATTAACCCAGAAAGATCCAAGGGAGATCCTCTTTGAAAGGACCAGCTGAATGGTGTGGTGTACTCCTTAAATATTGCAAAAGTAGAAGGCCCTTCACCTGCATGCTTTAGACTCTTCTGTAGTTAGTCATATTTGTGTGAGAGAGAGAGAGCCGGGGGGGGGGGGGGAGGGAAGAGAAAACGAGCTCAGAACTTATTTTGGTCTGTGTTTGCGTCTCCTAAACTCCCCTTCATTCTATGTCTCAGGGAGATGAAAACAAATCCGTCAGAGATCGTTTCAATGCTCGTCAGTTCATTTCGTGGTTACAGGATGTGGATGACAAGTATGACCGGATGAAGGTGAGCAGTAAAGCCAAAGCATTGGCAGCACCAGGTCTATGGGGGACCCCCCCCACTTGCATTTTAGTAGAGAGGGTTGGAAATAGAGACTTCTTCTGAAGCAAGTTGGTTCTTACCACTTGCTGTTTCCTGCTTGGGAAGTAGGCCCTCTTGCCTGAAATGTGGAGTGATATCTGTCCAGAAGGGTGGGAGTGGGGCAATAATAATTGTCATCACAGAACATCTCCACAGCTTCCCAGTTGAAGGTGCTGTGGGTTTTGAGCGTGGTTACCTTGGACACAAACCAGCTGGCATCTGCTGGAATTAGAGAATTGTGGAGTTAGAAGGGACCCAAAAGCTTATCTAGTCCAACCCCCAACAATGCAGGAAAAAATTAAGGCAGCTTCAGGTGTTTATTTATTTATTTATTTATATCCCACATTTTACCCTGACTGGGACTGTAGGCAGCTTACAGATAAAATGGAAAAAATAGAAAATTTAAGTATTAAACACAAATAGAATTAAGACAATATATAAAAAGATTTATTAAAAATACAAATAACAACAATAAAAACATAACAGCACCAGTGCTTTCCTTAAAAACAGTCAGTTCCTAAAATCCTGTTGGAATAAAAAGGTCTTTACCTGCTAGCAGAAGGACAACAAGGAGGGAGCCAGTCTGACTGCTCCAGGACAGGAGTTCCAAAGTCTGGATGCAGCCACCAAGAAGGCTCTCTCCCACATCCCCACCAAGTGTGCCTATGAGGGAGGCAGACTGAGAAAAGGGCCTCTCAGAGCCCCAGCAGGTTTGTATAGGAGAATATGGTCTTTCAAATAGCCTGGACCTAATCCTTTCAGAGCTTTATAGGTCATAACTAGCACTTTGAATTGTGCCCAGAAACAGACCAGTAGCCTGTGGAGCTGTGTTAACAACCTTTGGGCCCTTCCGTGTCGGAAAAAGTATGATGCACTCAAGGTTTCCATATTTTCCAAGCAGAGCTTTCATGTGCTGTTCCAAAATGCAAAGATACTTTTCATCCAAGAAATAAAGAAGGTATTATTGCCACAGATGAAGAGTGGGTACACTTGAAATACATTATGATTCACATCTGACAGTCAGAATGCTTTTTTTCTTCAACATCTTTTGAGGTTTGCCTCTATTTCATGGTTTGGAGGTTGTGCCTCGGCATCACTCCCACTCCCAAGAACTGGTAACATTTGAGGTTAACCTTACAATAAGTCCACATCTCACTGTGCCGTACTCCAGGTAGACTGAGCATACTCATCCCCTATTTATTGTGTTTGTTTCCATTGCAGAGCAGGCTCACAGGGCCCCTTGCTCCAAATGCCCCTCTCATATGGTGGTGTTTCAGCTGGCTCTTCACTATCAATTCCTCTGTTCCCATCCTTTCTTCTCCCTTAAACTATTCTGTTGGGGTTGCCAAGTTCGCTTAGCTGCACATCGTCCACCTTCTCTGAGTCAGGAGGACTCTGTCTTGGTGCCTGACATGCACAACCCCAACGGTATCAATTCTGGGGGAGAGGGCACACCACAGTTCATGTTCCCTGCTCCCAGCCTTTCAAGTAAGCATTGCAAAAAGCAGGTCCAGTTGCAAATGGCATAACTCCTCCTTTGATTCCCTCCCATACAGTCAGCTGCTTTTTCCATTAGACTTTGAAATGTACAGAAAACGTACTAGGTTATAAGTGACTGAAAATGTTTACATTTCTGATAACAGTCTGTTCATGAAACTCAAAAACATTTGCTTTTCTTTAGTTCATTTCCCAGGTTTGCTAATGCCTCATTGCCTATTTATCAGTAATGTAAATGTTTTCAGCCAGTTGTACCCAAGCGTGTGTTCTCCATCACCAGCCACTTACTTTTTGCTGCCTTCTCCCTTTCTTCAGAACTTGAAAATTTGTCAAGGCTCTTGCCTGATTTAAAAAAGACATTCTAATAAATTAAACCTGCATATATACTTCATAGTTTTGAAGAAAGCAGCATTCTTTCCTTGTTTTTGGAGGAAGCACACACTCAGCACAGCAGGCACCATCTGTGATGAGACATCCCCTTCTGTGTGTGAGAGAAGAATGTATGTGTCTTCTGAGTTTATGTTTGCTGCCTGCTATCTTTTATAAGTACTTGCATTAACAATTAAAATTTAATAACCTGCTGTATTACTTTTAAAAATTGACTGAATGCCTTATGCCTGGCCCTTTCCTTATTTCATCCTTGATTGGCCCAAGAAGAGAGATCATATTGCCTGCTTAGAATCTCCTCACACAGCAGCTACTATCTGAGGACCTAGTTTCTCTCTGAAATGAGCTCCTTGGCCTTTGGATCCTATTTATGGTTAACATTCTGCTTTTACAAGAGTAAAATGAAACAATAGAAAAGCACAACTTACAACAAAACACTGATGAATAAAACAGTAAAAAGTAGCAGTCAGAAAAGCAGGAATTAACAGTGGAATAATTAAATGCCCAAACCCTAGTGAGATGGAAACATCTTTAACAACAGATAGCTAAAAACAGAAATTGGGGCCCCAGAAGATCTCTATCAAGAGGACAGTCCACAGGAATAGCCAACATAGTGCCCTCAGTATGTTGCTGGACTACACCTCCCACCACTCCTGACCCTTGAACATTTTGACTGATGGGAGGTGTAGTTCAACATCATCTGGAGGGCCCTCGATTGGCTATCCCTGCTCTATTGGTCCTGGGCTGTTCCCAGGCTAACATCATCATTTTAAATGCTCCACCCCCACCTAATTGTGTTTGATTTTCTTTTCTGGTCCAGACGTGCCTGTTGATGCGACAGCAACATGAAGCAGCGGCCTTAAATGCAGTGCAGCGAATGGAGTGGCAGCTGAAAGTGCAGGAGCTGGACCCTGCTGGGCACAAATCGCTCTGTGTGAACGAAGTGCCCTCGTTCTACGTGCCAATGGTGGACGTGAACGATGACTTTGTGCTCTTGCCGGCATGACAGTACCAAGCCTGGAGACATTCTCACTGCAAACTGGCATGGGTGGGTGCCCCCTGAGGATGGGTGCAGGCGCTCACACACACCCCAACCGCTTGCTGATGAATCCCAAGTCAGACAAGGAGGAAGCAGGAAAAAAAATCAATGAGAAAATAAATGGCACTTTCTTCACACTGTCTCCCTGCGCACCAGGCAGCAGGAGAAGGGGAAGGTGAGGTGCAGGCAGCTCCTTTCACACCGGTTGCTGTGACGGAAGGCAGGCAGCTTGCGCACGGCAGCATCTTACCAGACTGGAGGGAGGAAGGAGAGAGACCGATGGAAGCAGGGAGCAAGAGAAACCCTGAGACACCCCCCTCTGTGCTTCATCAGCTGCCAAACAGGGAAAGGAGGTGACCAGGGCCGTTGACACACTCACAATCACAGCAGTTGTTTCAAGCGCTTTGATTCCTCCCGCCCCCCATTTGCCTGTGGGTGGATCTTTCCTCAGATAAACTGCAGGGCGAAACTGTGGGGGGTAGGTGGGTTCTGGGGAGGGGGTGAGAGAGTTCTTTGGTTTCTTCTTGCATCCAGGCTACAGTAAAATAAGTTGATAAAAAAAGAAGAAGAGAGCACTCAGCCAGGCCCTGGAGGTGGCACAGACAAGGGCCAGGCCACTGGACTCGAGACCCAGGACATGCTCCAGGTATCCTTCAAAACCATGGGGAGGCAGCAGCCACCTGACCCTGTACAATAAGTGGCGCAGAGCAAGGACTTTGCAATTCAGTTTTTAAATGGAGTAAAATCCGTATGGTTTATATATATATATATATAAATATATATAAATATATATATTTTTCCTTTAATCTTGGGCATTTTGTTTCTCTTTCTGAGAACATAACTTGAAAAAAAAAGATAAAACACTACAAGAGCCAATACTCGTATAAAGATAAATTGTATCCCATAAAAGCTGTACAGTTTTTATATTCATTAACAATGTACTTTTGCTGCCTTCTAGATAATTTATTTTGCAACACATTACTGCACAGTTGTAAATAACTTATGTACTGTAACATCACTTTCAGTCATGTGTAAAGAAATAAATAAATTAATTAAAATTACCTTTGTATGTATAGTTCACCCTAGGCAGCACCCTCCCACCACCACCCCTTTCCCACTGCTCACCCCCAGGGAAGGGAAAAGCAACACACACCAATACAGAGGCCAAAGGGGTAAGGGATGTGGCCTTGTTGATCCTGTGGAACAGGTGGCCTGCAAAACAGGCAAGAGCAGAGCATGCCAAATGCTCATGTTTTTACGCTCATCCGGTTTCTTTCCTTCCCAGTTTTGAATTTTGAGCAAAGACCCGGTGCCCATTTTCTGTGCAGAATCTGCAGCTACATAACATATTTAAACAGGGTTGCCTTGGAAGGGTCTAAAGGGATGAGAAGGCAGGCCCTTGCACATTCAGACTTGTGAGAGTCCTGCCTCCTCATGATAGGATGGAGTGAACCAGGGCCCCTGTGGGCTGGGGAGGGTGAGGAGTGGATGAGAGGGAGAGAGAGCAGCCAAAGCCATTTCACAAACCAAAGCCTGAAGTTGTGACAAAAGGACACAGGTGCTTCAGAAGGATGTGCTTGGAAGCAGCCCCCAGCCTCAAATGCTGTTTGAGAAGGCAAACGTGCAAAGCAAGGGGCCCTGTAAGCCCCAACATCTCTTCCTCTTCACTGAAGAGGTTTCTGACCCAACATTTCTCAGGGTACGAGTTGCTGATAATATGCCAGAACTTCAATTTAGGGAAGTTCAGTGCAGACATTCTCCTTGTCCTGACGTGGCTCCCCCATTGTTAGTGTAGGCCTGCTGGATTGCTTGCTAATTTGGTGGTCAGCAGGCTGAAGTGTGGTTTGCAGTTTGATAGTTTGGGCTCTGCCACTCTTGCCTTGGAGCACAAGATGAGGCCAGAGTATTCCTGAGTTGAGCTAACAGAACTAAAAATACACCCCCTTCTCCTGAACTGCGTCAGAAGGTGTTATGTGGGCTTGTGTTGTTTCCTATTCCATGGTTGCCTTCTGATGTTGCCTTGGCTCTGTACTCTGAACAGTTGCAGAAAATCATGTTGAGCATCTGTGGCACACTATGTAGCCCCTTCCAGATGTGTAGCCACCAGTCAATCACATTCTGGGCAAGAGGATGGCTTAGAGAAGCAAAGATTATATTCCCCCAGAGGGAAATTTTTGTGGAGGCAGGCTGAAGAATTTGTGGTTCTGTAGCTTAAGAACTTGACCCTAAATCCTCACCATTCAGGAAAAGTGCATGTTGTGTTGCGGGGGGGGGGGGGGGGATGCCTTGCATTGTGTGGTTCCTGTGTTAGCAGAGAGCATCATTTCATTGGTCTTTTGGTTTAGCTAAGTTGAGCTCTAGGCCCACTTTCTGGCTGGTGTGTGACATTTTCTGAGAGACCTTGCTTCTTTGCATCTTCTGTGATTGAAGAGAACCCATTGCTCCCCAGTTTTCCATCAGTGTAAATCCCCTAGCTAAGGCAGGCAGCAAAAGTGTTGCAATGTGGGTTGCTTGATCATGCCCAGTCCTTGTTACACATTCTTAGGTGTGCAGACACTTGCCCCTGGTGACTATGTGAGAGGAAGCAAAGTGCTTGTTGATGTTAAAAGCCATTCTCTTCAGTGCCTGGTCAGTCTGCCCTCCTCTTCTTTGGCTGACCCACTTTGGTAGGAGTTCCTCCCACTCCTCCCAATTTTTTTAAAAATAATTTGTATCAGGCCAGGTGTTCCTTTGGCACTGCTTCTCTCTCTACTTTGAGTCATTGGGTGGGGTGGCAGCTTGATAATCTGTGAACCATTTTAGGAGACTGCAGGGAAGGGGCAGGCAGGCAGCTAACAAGCCATCAGTCCTACATCATGCCTTAGCAGCAAAGGTTCTTTTTGAAATACAGTTTAGTGGAGGAGAACCCATCTTCCTTTAAATCTTTTGGAGGAAAAACCATCTAGCAGATAGATGCCAGTTTGGCATTTTAAAAAAGAAGTAAAACCCAAAACCTATACACAGAACAGGCCAGGAAGACGATTTTATATTTTATTTTCACATGCATATGATATTTTAAAAGTATCACGACAGTTGCCTCCTCTGAATTGTTTGTTGCTGCTTTAAAGGCATGGCAGTAGCTGTGGCAGGTGCTGTGGAAGACATCTGTTAACCTAGTGATTCCCTTACCCTAAGCATGGAGGTCTTCCAAATGGCCTTCTCACTCACCATTGGTCAGAATTCTGGGGCTTTGAAAGCAGCCTCTAACATCAATGGGGTGATGACTTGACTTCCCAAAGATGGCATCCCCTGCCAATGCCACCTCAGCCACATATGTCTCCCTTGCTGATTGGCTCCCATATGCCCATCCTTCATACACAGGTTTTTCATGCCTACCTCTAGCTCCTTTGCTCTCACCCTAGAAAACTGCTTTTGTGCTGCTTACTGGACTGTTTGGGTCCTTCATGGTGGGTGTCTGTGTGCGAGAGACACATTACCTGTAAACGTTTGTGTTCCAATGCTTTAGCGCCTTGAGAGTGAACATTCTGTGCCCTGGAAGAAACGCCGGTCGCTTTTACCCTGTGTTTCCACAGGAACAACTTAAAAGCACTGTACTGTTCTCCATTCACAGCCAGGGTGGCTAAGGAAAGAAATGGCTGGTTTAGCTAGTCTGCCCTGTTCAGAAACTTCCTTTATAACCACACAAGGATATAGCCCTGAGTCACAGTGTAGGCCCTGACATTCCCCCCCCCATTATTATTTTTTATATCCGTGAATGGAAAGGCTTTCTAAAATCCTCAATTTTAAGACCAGGATACTAGCACGAGCATAACACCCTTCAACACATGCACTCGGTTGATTTGGACTTCAGTGTAAATTCCCCTCCTTGTTAAAAGGCTTCTACCAGACAGTGTATATACATGTAAATAACTCTCACAGGTCAATTCACAACCTTCTATTTGTACTAGTGTGACTTGCGTAGAATGTGGGGTTTAAAACAGCGGCGGGGTGCGTTGTCTGTAATGTAACAATGTACTTTACTCTTTTTTTACAATGTAGTTTGTGTACATATTGTTTGGTGGTGCTGGTGCTGCCGAGGCCCCTGTTCTGCCACCACACAACTGTCCTTTAGCTGTACAACTTCCTGCGGAAAGAGACAAAGCGAATACAGATGTTATTTTCTACAGTTGCATGTACAGAGAGAAGCGCAGAGATACTGTTGTCCCTCAAGAGATAATGTTCATAAATAAATTTTTATAAAAAAACAACAACTGGGCTCTTAATTTCTCCAGCTTTGCCGAGGTATTAGTGTTGCGTCCAGTTTAAGAGGTGAACACCATCTTCTTTGTGTACCCAGGCTTCAGTTTTAGCAACCTGGTGCCCACCAGATGTTTTGGACTACAATTCCCATCATCCCTGGGAGTTGGGACTGATAGGAATTGCATTCCAGAACACTTGGAGGGCACCAGGTTGGCGATGACTGATCCAGACTTTTTGGGCAAAGTGTTCCACATACTCTTGTACTACTAAGTCCTCATGCATGTCCGTTTTTACAGATACGACAGGGATAGAATCAGTCCATGTCTGGAGTGAGGTTTGAACCCAGATCCCCGAGATTCAACTCTCCCTCCTACAACATACCATCTTGGGCAGGCAAGGTAAAATCTCACCTGTGTCATTCTAGAAGATACCAAGGGTATTTGGGTGGGCAGCTGGGGTTCTCTTGCACTAGTTGCTCCGCACTGCAGAAGGTCCCAGGCTCATTCCCCAGGCAAGACTGTGAAATACTCCTACCTGCAACCCTGGAGAACTGCTGCTAATCAGTGTAGATTATTGTGCTAGTAGGATCAGGTATCTGACTGTAAAATGCAGTTTCCTTTGCCCTTTGGTGTAGCCCCAGCTGCAGGACAGGCTCATCACATCCAGTACATCCATCAGTCTTGACCCGAACAATATCCTGCCTGCCTTTTGTATTTATGCAAATTATGTGGGTTTAATCCATACTTCGCCCCACTGAAACCAAAGTTAGACAACTAACTTGCCACTTGATTTCATTGGGACTAAAGCATAACTAGCTTAGTCTGGATCCAACTCTGTTCTTCCCCCTGCCCCTTTTAATACCACATTAAATGCACAGCCTTGGATATATGCTGCCGCCTTGTGTGTTAATGTTGTAAAACCTTCCCTGAGTTTTCAAGAATAGAGCAATGCCAGATCTATACCACAAGCTTTTATTGAAAAATGCAAGCTTCAGCCATGAAGACGCCAGACATGGCTGGCCTGACTCACTCACCTTTCAAGGTCTTAATGCCGACTTCTCTGCTTAACTTCTAAAACCAAAAAATGGGAGTTGAGATCCAGGTGTACATCACCTGGAGCACCCCCTTTTTTGGTTCACTTAGTGGCCCCTCCTCTTAATTCAAAGGAACTGTGAGGACTGAACTGGGATTAGGCATTGGAGAAAATGCTCGTAAGTGGCCATAACACGCCAAAAGAACTAAGTTCTTCTCTTAAGGGAGAGCTCGGAGCATCTGTTCCTACTTTCTACCTCTAGCATTTTGCAACATCTCTCCACACAAGTACAGGTCCCATGCAAAGGTCATGAAGGAATAGACTGCATCCACACAGAATAATCCATTTTCTAACACACAGCATCAACAGATCTTGTAAATAACCCCTCTTCTTTCCCTTCACCGGGTGTGGTGAATTTTTGGCCCTTGAGACGCTGAGACGCAGCTCTTATTATTCCTAGCCACTGACCAGGCTTGTTGCGGCTGATGGGATTTGTAGTTCAACATCTAGACCATGGGTAGGCAAACTAAGGCCCGGGGGCCGGATCAGGCCTAATCACCTTCTAAATCCAGCCCGCAGACAGTCCGGGAATCAGCATGTTTATACATGAGTAGAATGTGTCCTTTTATTTAAAATGCATCCTTGGGTTATTTGTGGGGCCTGCCTGGTGTTTTTACATGAGTAGAATGTGTGCTTTTGTTTAAAATGCATTTCTGGGTTATTTGGGGGGCATAGGAATTCCTTCATTTTTTTTTCAAAATATAGTCCGGCGCCCACAAGGTCTGAGGGACAGTGGACCGCCCCCCTGCTGAAAAAGTTTGCTGGCCCCTGATCTAGACACTCAAAGGGTTACCCACACCTGGTTTACACACACAAATACATGTCCGAATATCTCTCTCTACAATACTACAAGGCCAGGCATGTTAGCATCCCACAGGTGTTTTCCTTCATATTTTGGTGAGGCTCTTCCATGAAGCTTGTCTTGACAAATGCCGAATTGTATGAGGGAGGGCAGGGATACTGTGTTCACCACCACACTCTCTGTGTGTGTGCACGCGCACATGCATTCACTACAATTGCTCTGTGTATCTAGTGCCACTGCCATTAGGTGCTGTCCAGTAGGGATGGAGAGCAGCAACTCTTGGCAGCTGTGACCACCATGGTCAATAGGTTTGGGATAATTGGCAGCTGAAATGCATCAACATTTGACTGCAGGTTGCGCGTCCCTGCCATACAGAATCACCAAAGTGATGCAATTCCAACCCCAGTGAGCATATCTTGGGAAAGAGGCATGAATAGAGTACAAAATTCCCAAACAGCACCGAAGCACACTGTACGACCTTGGACCAGTTGCTGCTGCTCAGCCTAACCTACCTCACAGGGTTGTTGTGAGGATAAAATGGGGGAAAGGGAAACCCTCATATGCCACCTGGAGCTTGGAGGGAAGGTGGGATGTAGATGCAATAAAATAAAGATGAGGTCTGGGGAGAGGGAGATGAACATTTACATGCCTATCTTATGCTGAGTTGGACCATCTATTCCAGCATTGTTTCTTGACTCGCAGGCATGTTTATTATGATTTTGTTGTTTTATCACTTTTTTTTGCCACCCTGGGCTTCTTTGGGAGGAAGGAATAAATTGAATAAATGAATGACTAATAAACCGGGATGTGCTGTGATTGAAGCTGGAACCTCTTCAGTCCAAGCCACAGATTCTGCTGCTGAGTTATAGCTTCACTCCAGGCTATGCCTATGAACATAAGAAGAACCCTGCTGGGTTGGGCCAAAGACTCCCCTCAAATTGGCATTCTTTTATGGGCAATTTGCAGAGTTGGAGGCATAAATAGGAGACAGCCATGCACAGCAATAAAGAGTGCAAGGCGAGAGTTCCCAGAGTCCCTGACAGCATCAGCTTTGTGGCTTCCAGATGTTTTGGGCTAGCTGGGACTGGTGGAAGAAGACAGGCTAGTCAAATTTGCTATATATACAAACAGGTGCACAGTGAACTTTTGTCTCGCACCACTAGGTGTCACCAGCAATTTGCGGAAACTTGCTCACCAGACAGAGGCTGATCAAAAGGGCTGAAATCCCAGCTGCTTGTCAAAGCACAGCCACAGTTTGCAGGGAGGTCATGGCAGGGAGCAGAAAAGATTAGCAGCAGCTGCAGCAGAGGTAACCTCCTGTTTTATTACATTTAGACTCTGCTTTTCCATGTAAAGTGACCAAGGCGGCTTAACAATTAAAAGCTACTTCTAGCCCCCTTGGGATCAGCTGGGGATCTGGAGAAAATATGTCGTCTTTTCTGCGTAGTGTGTGGACAGGGTCTTGCTATCCTGGAAATATTAATTACCAGGGTGAGAATGGATTGGGGCACTTTGTTTAACACCTTTGTGCCAATCCTTCCTCTTAAGATGCTCAGGGGGCTGTTTTAGCCATGCATCCTGAGGTTTGCTCACTTTGGCTTCTGCTGCAAAGATTGTGAAAGAGTTGTCACTTCCTCATTGCAAGGCTTCCATTTCTTCACTGGAAAGAGCGTTTCTGGCTCAAGGCACTCTGAATTTTGCAAGACCTGGAAACACAAGAAACGGCCTCACCTGGTGTCAGATCATTGATCCATCTAGCTCAGGGTGGTCTATTATTTATTTACTGCATTTATATTCCATTCTTTTCCTCCAAGGAGCTCAAGGTGGCAGAAACGCTCTGTTCCTTGCATCCCCCTGTCTGAATCCTTGCAGCAGAAGTTGGACACCCCACTGCCTCACACAAGCAGGTGCTGCTCCCTCTTCCCTTGTTAAATGATCAACCTGACAACCAGGAAGGTGACGGTTTGCATCCCCATCAAGGTGCTGTGCTTCTCCACTGCCACTCAAATGAGAGGTCTTGCAGAGAGGGAAAGCAAAAATTGCTTGGGGGCTGGATCAGGTGTATACAATACAGGGCTAGATAGACCCAAGAGGCTGATTCAATATAGAGCAGTGTTTCCTTCCCTTAAAAATAATTTTTAAAAGGAGTTCTCAGAACAGTCACAGTTGAGGTCGACCCCTGCCAACAATTATTTTGATGATGGCAGGCCAGTTCCTGCAGGTAACCCTGGGATTTGATGCACATGGACAAAGTTTCACAGGATCTGTTGCTACATGTTGCTTGCCATGTTCTAAAGATTTGTTTGGCTGGAATAATCAGCTGGTGAGACAAAAGCTGGCTGTGTTGTGTCCTCTCAGAGCACTTTGGAGCGATGAGATAGCATCCTGATTCACCTCTGCAAACAAGAATTTGAAGTGGGTCAAATTGCTGAACAGTCCGGAGATTTAAAGAGCAATTTTCAGGATGTTTAGCAATTTCTATCACCTGGGGGACGGAATATTTAAAGACAACGCTGACATGAATGAACGCAGTTGTTTTGCTGGAGGGAGATAACTTAAACGTAGGCTGAAAAAACACAGAACACATTTAAAGCACATTCGCTGCCCCTGCCCCCCCCCAAAAAAAAATCCTGGGAACTGTAGTTTGTTAAGGATGCTGGGAATTGTAGCTGTTCCTGGGATTGGTTTTTTTTGTTTGTTTGTGTGTAAGGGGGGAATGAGCATTAAATGAATAGTATGCATACAGCCAACGTATCCCAGTAGACAGAACCAGCCTTTGCCCTGCAATACTTGTGTTAAGATTCACCGTGACTTGTCTGATGGCCCCACAGTCCCCCAGTCTGTTGAGGTGCAGTGACAAGCTTCTCGCAGGGGTGGAGGCTGTTTGGAACAAGCACAGCAGCACTTGTCAAACACACTTGGCAGGCTTAAACCTGATATAGGATACAATCACTCAGAGGTAGTAGCTGAAAGAAAGCTGCTTGACCGGAATGTGCTTGCTCCTTCTCTGTCTCAGCTGCTAGAGTGCTAATAATCTTTCCTCCCTCTTCCCCAGATTCTCTCTCCCTGCCCAGATGAGTAAATTGATAAGAGCTACATTTACAGACAGGGAGGGGCCCTTAGAACAAAAGGCCTTTTTATCAGCAGCCATTCTGTCCCAGCAGTGCAACCTCAGCTGCTGTCTCTAAGCCTTCTCACTGGGCAAAGTTAAAAGCAAGGCCTCTTCTTGGCTGTGCACCCTGCCCCCCCACCACTTAGGAACAACATTTAGATCTGCATTGCAACATGGAGACATTTCCCCACCCCCACCCCACTACCTTGGGAAAGGTGAGTCTAAGAGGCAGGAAGCCAGGGAGGGAAAGCTGACCAGTCCCTGGAATCATGTGACTCTCAGGCAAGGTGTTTCTAGGACGTTAGGCAGCTGGGGAGTGATTTCAAACTCTGTGTCTGTTTTTATGCAATAACAGATGGGGAGGCCACTCCTCACTTCCCTAAAAGGCAACTGCAAAGCTCTACCACCAGCAGTTAGTTCTGCTATGGAGTAATATGTAAAACACTATTTAATTTTTTTGGGGAGGGCGGGGGAAGCATGGGGATTTTTAAAGACTAGAAATAGGGAGGGGTTGTAGCTCAGTGGTTGAGCATCTGCTTTGCACAGAGCAGGACCCAGGTTCAATCCATGATGTCTCCAGATAAGACTGTGGATGTGCCTTGTCTGAAACACAGACAAGAGAGCCACTATGTGTTAGCAGTGCTGAGCTAGATGGCCTGACTTGGTATAATAAGACAACCTCCTATTTTCCTAGAAACAAAAGGAAGTAGCTGTAAGCAGGTTGGAGTTTACATTTGGGTGCAGATCCTGGGTTTGGAAGGGGCTCTTTGCAGAAGAATATTGGGTCAAATTGCGGCACCTGTCTGTTCTAGTTTCTTATTACAAGGGTACACCAGGCTAAATGGTGCACTCGTTTGTCTAGGTAAAGGGCCTGTGTTTTCCAGGTCCTTTTTTCAAGTAGCCATAGCTAAGGGCCTATGTATGACCTCCTGCCATCTTTCCTGGGTCCTGCACAATCTTCCTTAATGTAGTGGGAGGGGCCATCCAATGAAGATGACATGGGCGTAGCCAGGATTTTTGTTAGGGGAGGGGCAAGCCTTTTGTTAGGGAGTGCAGGTCTCTTGTTGGGGAGAGGCAGAACCTCAGTTAGCTATGTTTTTATTGATTTTTATTGATTTGGGGGGGGAGCAGTTGCCCCTCCCTGCTCCCCCTTGGCTATGCTCATGGAAGCTGAATGCAGGAAAATTCAGGACAGACAAAAGGAAGCACTTCTTCACAAAGTGAAATTAAACTGCCAAACTGGCTCCTACAGTTTGTAATGATAATATAGCTGTAAAAGGCTTGGGTAAATTCATGGAGGACAAGGCTGTGTTCTGCCTCCACTGTAGGAGACAGTGATGCTTCTGAAAGCCAATGGCTAAAAACCACAGGAGGGAGGGAGATCCCTTGTGCTCACATCCTGCTTGCAGGCTTCCTGTGGGCATCTGGTTGGCCATCTGAAGAACAGGGGGGTGGGCTAGATGGGACTTTGGTCTGATCCAGCTTCAGGGCAGAAGCACAGCCAAGAGGCAGCTTTGGTCCCTATATGAGTCAGAAGCTGGTGGTGCCTAAGGAAACTTGGTTGAAGGGTGGTTTAAAAAGTGTATTATTATTACTCTCACAGGATCAATGACAACAAAGAGTCTTGTGGAATTGCCTTAAAGGCTACCTGTTTTGGCTTAAGCTTTAGTGGACTGCAGCCTGTTTTATCAGATGCAGCCCACTCTATCCTCCACAATGTCCAAAGGAAGAATGCTGAACACACACACACACAGTAATTTGCAAGGCTGGTGGGTGAGCTTTGCAGAGGAATCTGCCTGGCTTCTCCTTCTAGGATCCAGGACACAGTACTGGCCAGGATGGCTCGCCCCCAAAAGTCTGCTCCAGCCAGGCTCTTGATCTAAGGGGGTGGGACTTCTGCAATGATCCTCAGTCTCCCTCCTGCTTTTGAAGGAAGAAAAGGCTTTTATTTTGCCTACAGAACTCACACTTTGGAACTCCCTGCCTATCACAATCAGGCAGGTGTCTTCAATGACTCTTTTGGGCACCTGCTAAAATATTTTTGTTTAGGCAAATCTACCCAGGCATGCAGAATGTTGTAATGTGCTTTAATCTTGTGTTTTGTTTTGTTTTTGTTTTTAGTTTATCGTTTATTTTAATTATTTTTGAATAATATGGATAGTAATTTTAACTGCTTTTTTTTTTTTTACTGATAATTTTATTGTTTTATCCTTTTTGTAAACCGCTTTGAAATTTTATTGCTATCACGCGAATATATGTTGCCAACCCACCACCTTATTTTCTCACGTAAATCAATAGGCAAATCTTAGGGAAACGTGTCCGGAATCCTTTGAAGAATCCACCCGGTACGCCTGCTTGGTGTCCTTACGCGACGGGGCGGACGAGAACCAGTAGGCGGCGCTGAGGAGGAGGAAAGGCTTGTGTCTGCGTCGGCGAGCGGGCCGTCTAAAAAGCGGGAGCCGCAAGCAGCCCTCCTTATCCCGGCTGCTTTCCCTCGACGGCTCTCTTGGCGCAGTCAGGCCGAGAGGGAGGAAGCGAGCGGCGGCACCGGGGCGAGGACCGTCGAGGGTCGCTGCCTCGCCGTGCGCTCCCCAGTCCTTTCCTCCTTCCGTGCTCCCAGGGGGCGGCTCCCTCCGGCCGGCCTCCTTAAGCACCCGCCCCACCGCGGCCGTCGAACTAGCGAGCCAGCCAGGCGGCGCTGCTCTTTTGCTCCAGGTGACCGTCCTGCTCGCGGCGCATGGACTTCGACGGGCAGCTGCTGCGGCAGGTGGGCGGCTTCGGGCGGCGCGCCCGGCTCCTGGCTGCCGCCTCGTGGCTGCCCAACGTGCCGCTGGCGCTCGGCCTGGCCGCGGGGCTCCTGCTGGCCGCCACCCCGCAGCACCGCTGCCGCCCGGACCCGGCGCTGCTGCCGCCCGAGCTGCGCAACGCCAGCGGGCCCGAGCTGCTCAACGCCTCCACCCCGCCCGGCAGCCACTGCCTGCTCTACCGCTACCCGCCGCCCGGGGGCGGCCTCGAGCCCAACGGGACCGGCCCTTGCACCCGCGGCTGGGAGTACGTCCTGCCTGAGGCCGGCCTCCTCTCCACCGTCGTGACGCAGGTCCGTGGGTCAGAAGGGTGCCTCTGAGGATGTGCAGAGTGGCCCTGGGAAGGGGACGGAAGAGGGAGACCCAGGTCCACCTGCCCAAATGACGCCGTGGGTTCTGACCTAGGCAAAACCTCTCGCTGTTGCACATTTTGTAAAGAGAGGGGAGGGGCTTGGCCTGGGCCTCCAGATTAAAGTAGGCCTCAAATTTAGGGTTAATTTTAATTTTTAGGTTTTAAATTGTTACTTTTTCTGCATTTGATTTTTTTTGCAGCTTGTTTTTATGCGAGGGTGAGGGAGGCATTTAAACAAATAAGAGGTGCCATTTGGTAAAATCCACGATTTTTTTTGAACATGAACATGAAATTTATTACGGTCAGAGACCAGCTTGATGATTTTTGTTGTTAACTGATTTAGGTCATTTTGCTTTTGTGCGCCATTATTTTTAAATTTTATTATGGCTGGGGGCCTCAAAAGCTGGAAGTGGCCCCTGGGCATGTCTATATCTACGAGAAGGCCTAAAGGCAGGCAACACAACCAGCCTCCTGGTTCTGAAAAGTCTCCTCCCTTTTTCTTCTAGTGGGACTTGGTCTGTGCCAACCACTGGCAGGTGCCCCTGGAGCAAACCACCCACCTCCTGGGGTGGTTGATTGGTTACATGGCTTTTGGATCGGCCTGTGACAGGTAAAATATTTCCCCATCACAACGCTGCTTTGCCATCCCTTGAGCTTGTAGCAAGCCTTGCCTGCATGCTGTGAATCCTCAGTGAGGACTGGAAGCTTGTTGCCATGTTCTTAATTAGCGTCCCAGCGAACCCAGTACATCTTAGTGTACAGCTACTGTATGGTGTTGTGGTTCTGCAGTCTTGTTGAACCAGGATGTTCTTATCCCCAAGGGAAGCGAATGTAATGCTTAGTGGTAGAGCACTGGTTTTGCATGGAGTAGAGCCCAGGTTCAGTTCCAGTTGTTTTTGTTTTAATGATAAAATGGCAAGTGGCAGGGAAGATCCTTCTCTTGCTGAGACCCTGGAGAGAGTCTTGTCACTCAGAGTCAAGAGAAACAAAACAGCTTGACTTGGTATTGGAGCCAGTGTGGTGTAGTGGTTAGAGTCCAGTCCAGCATGCATCATGTTCAGCATCCTGTTTTCACTGTGGCCCCCCAGATGCTTGTGAGAAACCCTTAAACAGGACTTCAGAACAAGAGCACTCTCCCCTCCTGCGATTTCCAGCAACTGGCATTGAGAAGCATTATTTCCTCCGGCCATGGAGGCAGAGCACAGCCATTGTGGCTAGTAGCCACTGGTAGCTTTATTGCCCATGGATTTATCCAGTCCTCTTTAAAAGCCATTCATATTGGTGGCCCTCGCTGTGTCCTGTGGGAGTGAGTTCCACCGTTCCATAACGTTTGCAAAGGACTTTTCAAAAGTCCAAGTTTAAAAAGCCAGACTCTCTTGCTTGTACACCCGTGGACTGGTAACTGAACTGGCCACTTCTGCCCAGGGGGCTGGGGTTTTTGAGCAGAGATGCAGCCAGTGAGAGCTGTAGACTTCCTACTGGCGCATCTGGCTGAGGGCAGGATGCTGGACTAGATGGGCCTTTGGCTCTCCTGTAGAATCCCCCAATTTTGCATCCTTACTCACTGCCCTCCTTTGATTCTCTAGGTTTGGCCGCCGGGCCACTTTCATCTCCTCCTTGATGCTGTCCATCCCTCTGGGCATTGCCGTGGCGCTGGCTGTGAATTACGTTATGCTTGTACTTACCCGGCTGCTCTTTGGGGCACTGCTGGCTGGCACCTTCCTCTCCCTCTATGTTGCAAGTGAGTGGCCCTCTCTGCTACCCCACATCCTTGTTAGGTCCTCCACAGTTGCCTCTGCTTTCGGATAATGGGTTGGGAACTCTGGATCCTAGCCAAAGCAGACCCGTGTGTCTCCCAGGCTACCAGCAAACTCTGCCTGCCATGTGCACCTCTCCTCTACATTCTGCCCCCCGTCTCCATTTCTTGTGTTTCTCACTGGCTTTTCCTCCCCAGGGCTGGAGTTGTGTGACCCTCCGCACCGCCTGGCAGTCACCATGGGCGCTGGTTTCTTCTGGGTGGCTGGGGAGCTGCTCTTGCCAGGGCTGGCGGTGGCTTGCAAGGAGTGGCGGCTCCTCCAGGGGACAATAGTGCTGGGACTCACTCTCCTGGCTGCCTGCTGGTGGTAAGTCTGCCTCTCAGCCCTGAATACTAAGGGGGTGGGAAGCCTTACAATGGAGACACATGACTCCTTGAAATGAGAGGCACAACAAGCATTGCAGATCTCATGTCAATGAGGAGATCAGTGTGGTTCTCACGCTCCCACTGCACTTTGAGAAAACTCTTCTCAGGGTGGGAACTCCCTGTAATTCTCCTGGTGCCTTAAAATATGGGAAGGGAACCTTTTTCAGCCCAAGGGCCACATTATCTTCTAGACAACCTTCTGAGGGCCGCATTCCGTTAGGTAGAAGCAAAGGCAGGCAGAGCAACACACATTTTGTCCAGTAGACCAGTTTTGGCACCGACATCTCTCTCTTTCCTCCATCCAGGGAATCAAGAGGCATTATCAGAGTTCAGGGGCGCATTCCAGCCAGGCAAAAAACACTCAGGACCTGAAGTTGACCGAGTGAGGGGTGTGGCCTGGGGAGAGTTACGAGGGCCAAATGGAGGGTCATATTCAGTCCCTGAGCCTGAGGTTCCCCAGCCCTCCTTTCTCAGAATAAATCATCTACGCCTATCTGACAAAAGTCCTGCAGCATCCAAGAGTTGTGTTAAAGTTGCTCGATCCCCTAACCTGGTGCCCTAAAAAGCTTTCAGCTGACGCTATGCTGTGGCATTGCACACGTGTGCATTGTCAAATATTGCCCACTGAATGTAGCCAAAACACAGTGGTACAGCACACCCAAGGTGGGAAAGGAATGGGGGTGGCTCTACCCTTGCCCGATGGTGACGGGGTCAGAGGGCAGCGATTATCCTGTGGCTGCCTGCTGCCGCACATGCATCCCCACTCCTGCTCTGTACACGCTGCCTCCTTTGCACGATTTCCTTGCAACCCTTCCAGGCAGGAGAAGGTGGTGCTGCGAGCCACTCTGAAGCCTCAGCCCACTTGGCACTTCCTCAGCCTTGCAGAGGTCACTGCCTGAGTGTGTTTGGTGCTGAGCAAACCCTCTTCACTAGAGCACCCCCTTGGCAGAGCCCTTCAGTTCAAGGGCTGAAGGAACACACTTGATCCAGCTGCAACTTGGAGCAGCTTCCTTTAGGCTTGAGCAATGTGGGGTGTGTACTGCAGAGGAAGGAGTGGATGTTTAAACATTGCAGGGAAAGGGAGAGTCATGCTGGGACACTTAGGCATCCATACAAGAAAGTACTAGAAAGCACTCTTTCCCTTCTTTCTCTCTGCATAGCACAAAGGCAGTGTCCCGAGTTTGAAACCAGGAGAGGGTACGGGCCGCTCCAGACAAAGGTGGTATTGTGGGTGTCTTCCGCAACATGTTTTTGACATAATAGTAGTGCATCAGTGGCAGGTTTGTTCTACTTAATTTTGCTCTGCCATCCTGCCCCAATGCTGCCACATTATTGCTCTCCAGAGAAGCTATAGCACAGCAAAAGCAGGACAAAAAATAAACCAGAATGCTTGCGGTATAAGACATTCCAGGGCTATGCACTGCTTGGAAATGAAGCAGTGTGACTGTTCCAAAACACCTTCAGGCACAAACAGTATTGAGTGTGGGATCTGGTGTGATGGTCCTGTTAGCATGATGAGCACAAATCCTCATGAACACCCAATAAAATGGATGTCCAGAAGGGGGGACCCCAAGTTGCTGTTATGTAATACAAATGACCCCCCACCCTTTCCTCTCTCTCCTCCTTCTGGATTTTAAAACACTTTCTGGTTGGCGGGCAGAGGCCATTAGTATGGCTCACTGACCTAGCAGCAAAAGGCTGCACAGTTCGGATGTTTCTCGCTACTTGAGATGCGGCAAGTTGACTGTTCTTCTGAAAAGCCCCCGTCTTACCACACAAGCCGCACTTCCTTAAACACCACCTAAGGAGAGTTTTCAGTGTCATATGCACTCAAGGCTCCCTGCCCCCATAGTTCTTCTGAACTGGTTCATGCTTGGGAACATAACAACCATCAGCTTTACCCCCCACACCAAAATTATTATTATTATTATTATTTAATAATTATTAATAAATAATAATAATAATACATGTTTTAGATTTTTAATAAACTTTTGGTTGTATTCTCCCTCCCTCTTCTCCCCTGAAAGTTTTGCCTTGTTCATTTTTGCACAGTGTGGTTGTGGTTACTCCTGTTTGTGCAGGCTGTAGCCAAGAGGCTGGGTTTCCCAAGAATATCCAGCAAGCTTTGGGTAGTTGCTCTCCATGTGGGGATACACTGTCCAGAATGAAGGAGCAGCTACGCTCCAGCTTTGCCTGCCAGGATTCCACCAGTCATGCCAGCGGTGCTTGTTCTTCTTTTTTGGGAGCAGGTGTCCTGCCCTCTCCCCTGAGTCGGGCCGCTGGCTCTTGGCCACTCAGCAGCTTGAGGAAGGCAAGCAGGTTCTGCGGGATTTAGCCGAGGGCAATGGAATCCGCCTGGAGGATGACTCCTACACTTGGGAGCACCTGTTTGCAGGTGAGGTCTGAAGGGCTAGGCTTGACCCTCACTCTAAGCCTTGCTGCTTTGTCAGTTTCTGGCTTGGAGCAATGGGATGCTGGGTTGGTGGGAGGTCAGGTTGGTGGGGCTGGTGAATATCTGCCCTGCCAGGTTACTTTGGGTGTAAGGTACGCCATCCCCATGCAATTGGAGGCTGGAAAAAGCACCAATTGCCTTTTCAGGATCAATGCCTCTTGACCCACTGTGAGAAGCAGGTGTGCAAGCCGCAACATGGGTGGATGTGTTTCTCTGATGTGGGTGGAGTTTTTTGGTCCCCTAGAGTAGGGGATGGGGAGCCTGTCACCTTCCAGTTGAAGATAGACTTCTATCCCCCATGAGTGTTAGTCATACTGGATGGGGCTGATTGGAGTCCAACACTGCCTAGAGCACAGCTAGAGAAACTTTTCCCCTACCTCATCAAGCAGGCCAGATCTCTGCAACTGCCCTCTCAGGCCAAATTTGACAGGAAGCAGGGCTGTCTATCAGTTACCTGACATCACAGTGGCTTCTCTTTGAAGGTGTACTCTCAGCACCCCTTCCAAGGGGCTTGCTCCAGGGGCAGGCAGCACTTTCCACTGAAGCCACTGTGAAAACTTGAGAGTCTCTTTCTTTCCCATTTTAGCAGCAGTTTCAGCGCAAGCTTTCTCCTGCTGAGGAACAAGGTGCACTGATGGGTAGTGGGAACCCACCTTCCTCTGGCAGAGGAACAATCAGGAGCTCCTGTTAAGCTCCCATTTGTTCCTTGGAAGTTGCATATGTGGTGTCATACAATGTCAGTTGTGGGGCAAGTAGGTAAACAGGAACAGCCTCCTGGGCCACATTTGGCACATGGGCCACAGGTTCCCCATCTCTGCCCAAGAGGATAAGCATTACTTGTGAATAACTCAGGTCAGATAGCAAAGAGGATCCACGCATATGTCTGTGAAATGATGGAAGAGGACCTTTTTGGCTTTGGCACACCCAAGGATTCTTGGCTGCCCTTTAGGCACCTGCCACTGACCTTGAAAATGCAAATAAATCTCAAGACTTCTTAATTCTTACTTCTGCCATTTTTATTTGCTGTTTGGTCTGTGGTTTTTCCCTCATTGTTGAGAGATTATTTCATTGTGTTAACTTTTTGCTGTTAGTTGCCCGGAGAATATAATTGAATGCCAGCATGTACATTCTTCATGTCAATTAATTTTAAAAAATATATGCTGCGGGTTTCCTGGATTAGTGGTGCTGGTTGTCTCACAATATGTTTTTAATTCCATCTCCAGAGCTGGACAACCTGTCTGGAGGAGCCTCTCTGCCACAGTACCACAGCATCTGCAAGATCTTCCGCACCCGGGTCATTTGGAAGAACAGCCTTATCCTGGGTTTCACTGCGTAAGAGCCTGATGTGTTGTGGGTTCTCTGCGAACTGGTTGTGGGAGCTGGGAGCTGTGCTGGGAAGTGTTGACAGCCACTCTGAAGTTGCTGTGGTGGTGAAATCTCCCAGCAGTGACAATTAGTTGTAATGTCTTCCTGGAACCTCCACGTCCAGAGGCAGCCTACCTTTGCATACTGTAGCAATTGCTAGTGAGCAACAGTGGGAAGAGGGCTGCTGCCTCCCCCCCCCCTTGCGGCTTCCCAGGGGCATCCAGTTGGTCTCTTCACAGACTTATACATTGATCCTCTTTGCTATCTGTCCTGAGTTACTCACAAGTAATGCTTCTCTTGGGCAGGGATGGGGAACTTCTGGCCCATGTGCCACCCTCTTTATTTGGCCCACGGGACCCATATCCCTGCTCATACTGTCAAACTCTAACCCCTGGTCCATCCTCCTAGAGTTACTGCAGAGCATTTTATCATCTCTCTGCCCCCGCCTCCTGTCTCCCCTACCGTCCAGGTTCATTGGGAGTGGGATCCGCCACAGCTTCACCCGCAACCTGACCTCTTACGCACCAGGCTTCTACTTCCCCTACTTCCTGCTGGTGGCGAGTGAGGCGGTTGCGCTCCTCTTCCTGTGCCTGACCGTGGACCACTTTGGACGCCGCGCTGCCCTCCTGCTCAGCACCATCTTGACGGGCGTTTCTTCGCTGCTGCTACTGGCCTTGACTCAGTGTAAGCAGACAGTGATATGGGGGGGGTGTACCACAAGTTCCCAGAAGAGACCCCCACCCCTCCCAGGCTCTCTTCTCCTGGCTGGCTTTAGCAGCCACGAGCTATCCTCATTCTGTGCACATGCACTTGCGTGAGTTACCTGCTAAGGCAGGGGTTGGGAGCCTTGGGCCTGGAGCTGTGTCCCTCCAAGCCTGTGTACCTGGCCCTGTTGTGACCCCTCCCCGCTCCCCAGTGTGCTTGCTTGGCTGGAACAGTTCCTTGACCTCTGACATGGCCTCTTGCTTGCCTGGTTGGAGGACAGAGAGGGGTGTGGCAAGTGTGTGGGGAAGTCAGCCTACTGCACCAAAGGGGGAAATGTGCATGTGTCACTCCACCTACTCTGGCCCACCCAGCACTGGCATGTGGCCCCTGGAAAGCAGCCCAGAAGGGATTGTGGTTTTGGACTGCCATGGGTTCCTCTCCTGTGCTAAGGTTTGCTCTAGGAAGGCCTCTCTGGGCCATCCACTTTGGTTAGCAGCTGGGCAGACCTCCTGCTTAGCCTGCCTGCCTCTCTATTCTTCCTCCCTTAGACCTGATGTCCTGGCTCATTGTGCTGCTCTCTGTCCTGGGGATCCTCACGTCACAAGCTGTTTCCGCCCTCAGCGTCCTGTTTGCTGGCGAGGTGCTTCCCACCGTGGTCAGGTGAGGCGTCTCTCCTCTCCCTGCATGTGCTGTGCAGGCACACGAGGCCTAGACTGTATACTGTAAGCCGCCCTGTGTTCCACTGATGAAGGGCGGTATAGAAATGTAATTATAATGATGAGGATGATAATAGACTGGCAGCCCAGAACCCAGAGTGGGAGGGTGACTGCTGCATTATCTCGGCTGGGGGTTGGGATGGGAGGAACAGGAGAGGCCCAATTTGTGCAGGTCTACCCAAGGTCCTACCCAAGTGACCAGTCCTGTGAACATTTAAATCCCTGGTTTCCACTGAGGAAGAAGTAGGTCTGTGGTAGAGCATCTGCTTTGCATGCAGGAGGTCATATACAGGACTCTGTCTTCTATTGAGTCCGACCATTAGTCCACCTGGCTTAGCATTGTTTCAAGGGGCTTGTACCCCTGCTTGCTTTGCTTGCCAACCATGCAAATCCTCCCAACAGGAGCAGTGTGATGACAACATTACATTTTTATGTATATAGGAAGATATACTGGCAGCGGTAGCTCTCTAATTAAGATGTCATTGGGGTGGAATGTGGGAACTTCTGGATGCAAAGCAGCTGCTCTCTAGCACTGGGTGGGCCCCCTCCTGAAGCTCCAGTCATATTCTCTGATACTGGGTTGCAGGCCTGGTAAAAGCCTTCCTGGGCATGAGGTCAGCCCCGGGAAGAGGCTGCCAGCCAGAGTTTGACACTGATCTGACCTGGCCAAAGGCAGCTCCTTTGTGTGTTTCTCACAGAGCCGCACTAGCCATTAAAAGGAGGAGTGGGCATCTGTTTTGTAACACAAAAAAATCCTTAGTAGAAACTACATTTTTTTTTAAAAAAGGGGGAGTGGGCTTGGGGGAGGGAGGAAGACCTTGGACGTGGCCCACAGGGTTAATCTGGTGGGGAGCCCCACTCTATTCTTAGCTGCTGAGCTTGTGCCTCATGTAGCCAGGCGGGACTTCCTCTCTTCTACCCCCACACCCTGCCCAGCACTTCTTGTTCCCGACACTGCTGCCCTTTTCTCTTCTGCAGGGGTGCTGGGCTGGGCCTCATCCTGGCCGCTGGCTTGGTGGGCCAGGCCACCACTCCACTCATGGAGATCCACAACAGCCATGGCTTCTTCCTCCACCATGTGATCTTCGCCTCCTTCGCCATCCTGTCAGTGCTTAGCATCATGCTGCTCCCGGAGAGCACCAGCAGGCCCCTGCCGGACTCTCTGCGGGACGGGGAGAGTCAGCACCGGCCCCCGCTCTTCCGCTCCAGTCAGCGCCAGCGCCACAAGGACCACCTGCCGCTGCTCTCCACCTGCTCCACAGCTGGCCCCTACGACCCCGACAGCTACGCCCGCCTCGTCTCAGCCACCAAGAAGATGCTGGGCTCCCACCGTGGAGCCAGCTCTGGGCAAACAAGACCGCTGCTCCCGGCACGCTCCCGGCACAACAGCACTCTGGAAGGGATGTAGAGGCCTGCTGGCCACTGGACTACATGCCTTGGGGCAGTGAGGAGGGTGTTTAAGTCCCCCCCCCCCCCGGGTTGAAGGACTGCACCATGTTCCTAAAAACAGGAGTGAGGCTGTGAGCACAGAGGGCGGCTGGCCGTCACACAGGATCATCTGCCTCTTGCCCCCCAGACGTTTGGGGCTACTATGGCTGATGGGAGTTGTAGTCCAAAACACCTGGAGGGCGCCAACACCTGCTTTTTGGACTCACCTCTCTCCGTCTCACAGGGAAAGAGCCACTGCAGCCCTACCCTTGGTGCCTTATAGGCTCTGGTGCCCCCAAGCAGTTCTAATAAAAAACTGTGTGACACCTTTGTAGCTCCATCTTCAACTGCTTTATTTCCAGCTGCCCTCCCTTGCTCCCCAGCCCCCTGGATCTCTCTCTCTCTTAAGCGGTGCAGCTGGGGCCTAGCAAAGTATCTTGAGTCTTCTGCCTTAGCCTGCTCAGGAAGGGGGGGGTCCAGAGCCCCCATCTAGCCCAGTGGAGGTCCCTTCATGTGGGGGGCTCCTCCTCCCTACCCAATTTTCTTAAGCTAGGTTGTCATCATCTGGCTCCACCCACTTGCCTGCTGGGTGCTCAGAGCCTTGGGTGAGAATGGCCAGTGGGCCTATAGCAAAGGGCCCTCATCCCTATCTATGCCTGGGACTCTGGGACTGGCATTGCCTTCCCTCCCTGCTTTGGGTTGGCTCTTCCCAGGAAATGGTGCTGACTTCCTGGAGCACCTGAGTTTAAGGGTCGCTGATACCCTCCTTCCCCACAGTGGGCAGTGGTTATCATCTGCAAGATGGCTGCCTGGGGAAGTAGGTGGCATAACAGGAAGTGACCCCATAACTACTGCAGCAGCAGCTGCTGAGAGGAGGGGGGTTTGCTGGCAGTGGGGCCAGCCAAAGACCAAGAGGGTAACTGGGCTGCGTGGTCTCTGTCCACAGCTGGCAGAGTCCAGCACATACTTGGCTGCTGGAATGGCCTCTCTCCCCTTCCCGCCCCCCATCTTCCCCCAACCCCCGCTATTGACCGTACAGCTCTGCCAAGCGCCGGAATCGTGGGCCCCATTCGTTGAGATAGTCGTAATCCTGGTCTTCGTCGGCCAAGCTGGAGAGGATGGAGCTGAGCGAGCCGCCGGCCGAGCCTTCGCCCTCGTAGTCGTAGATGAGAGCCGTGTCGTACGGCGGCACACTGGGGTCACTGTCGGCCGCCTCCAGGCCCTGCAGGGGGAGGAGAGCCAGGGGAGCTCAGCAGAGGACCACCAAGACAAACCACATCCTAAGGACCCTCTCCTCTTAACTGAGACTTGGGTTAGACTTAACTGTGACAAGCGGGATATACAATTTTTAAATGAACAAAATAAGATTTAAGTGTTCTAGTTGCAGCCCCCATGGAGCCAAAAGGGCAAGCCTGCATTAAGGGCTAGCTACTTGCCAGGGTGGCGCTGTGGGTTAAACCACAGAGCCTAGGACTAGCCGATCAGAAGGTCAGTGGTTCGAATCCCCGCGACAGGGTGAGCTCCCGTTGCTCAGTCCCAGCTCCTGCCCACCTAGCAGTTCGAAAGCACGTCAAAGTGCAAGTAGATAAATAGGTACCACTCCAGCGGGAAGGTAAATGGTGTTTCCGTGCGCTGCTCTGGCTTGCCAGAAGCGGCTTAGTAATGCTGGCTACATGACCCGGAAGCTGTACGCTGGCTCCCTCGGCCAATAAAGCGAGATGAGCACCGCAACCCCAGAGTCGGTCACGGCTGGACCTAATGGTCAGGGGTCCCTTTACCTTTACCTTAATTGCCAGGCCTCCTTTTTCCTAGCCATGACCTCTTGCACCCCAAGGGTGGGATGCCTACAGCTCTGCGGCAATCGCTGGACTCCCAATTCCCAGCACAGCCAGAGGTCAAGCATGATGGGAGCCAGGAATTCGGCAACATCTACCATTTGCCAGGTTCCCCACTCCTGCTGTATTGGCTGCTAGGCCCTGCAGCTTCTTAATAACTTGTGCCAGCACCAAACTGAGAAGGGGGTAGCTCCGTGTGGCCAAAATCGGGGAGGGTTCCCCCCCCCCACTTCCCGCTCTGTCCCAATTGGCCTCTCCCATCCTCAGCAGTTCCTCTCCCCACGCTGCCATCCTCCTAGCCCCTGATGTGTCCCTTCAGTACCTCGTTGATGAAGTCCTCTATGTCGGAAGGACAGGCAGGCAGCCGCCGGGGGTACTGAGGCAGGCCGTAGCTGTAGGGGGCGTCCCTCCGGTGCGGCGGCTTGCTCCGAAGAGATGGTGGGGGGAAGAGGTCGGGGTTGCGCAGCTGGTTGAGGTCGTAGGCATCCTGAAAGGCAGGAAGAGGGACCTTACAACCACGATATGTGTGAGAGAGACACAAGGCTTCCTGGCCCTGCTGGGGCCTGGCAGATGAGGCTTAGAAGTAGGGGAGGATTCAAGTTGGGAGACCCCCAATTGAAAATGCATACAAAATCCTGTTCTCACCATGGCCAATGGGAAACCTGTAAGGAGGACCCGAGTGTGACATCACCTCTCCCCACCCATAATTCTTGGCCACTGGCATTCAGAGCCCTCCTGCCTCCAACAGTGGAGTTACTACCAGCCATTGTGGCTAGCAGTCATTGGCAGTCTCATTTTCCATGAATTTGTCTAGTCCAAGCCAAACCCAGCTGGCGATCACTGTCTCTTGCGGAAGGGAGTTCCATAGTTCTTTAAGTCCATCATAGATTGTTCAGGCTGCCTTCTCTGCCGTGCTCTCCCACCCCACCCCCCATATAATTTGGGGTCTCACCTGGTCCTCTTCTCCGCCTCCTTGTTCATTGTAGTTGACGATGTTGTCCCTCAAGTCATCCTGAGAGCACCCCAGGAGACCCTTGTGGAAGGCCTGACGGCGGGAATGCTCCAGCGCAGCCACCAGCAACGCCAGGACTGCAAGCAGAGAGGGAGAGGTTAAAAGCTGTGTGTGTGTTTTTGTGTGTGTGTGTGTTGCAGAGCATCAAAACATCTTTTTCCCAGCCTCCTGCAAGTAGGAATGACCAAATATGTCAATTCTGGTTTCTCACAGTTTTTCATTTTTGTCCAATCCTAAATTTAATTCTCCATATTAGTTTGCTTATTATTATTTTTTAAGTCCTCATGGAATTTTTTCAGCAGTTTTGCGAGAATTTCTCCTCATATGCACACCATTATGCATTTTTTCCTAATATGGGGGGTGGGGGGTTGCACAGCAATTTTCCTTAATATATTACATTTTCGGATGGATGGATTACAGCAGAAAATTGATGCAGTGTGAGAAAAGTAATAATTAGTACTCAAAAGGCCAGTGGAAGCAGAAACGATTCTGCCCATTTTTGCAGGAGCAGCAGGGAGGACTTGATGAAAAGTTCCAGAGCAGGGGCCCAAGTTGCTTCCAAAAAGGCCTTGCTATATGTGGTGGCTGCCCAGGCCTCTGCACAGCATGACACACAGCTGTTGTTTGGCAGCTCCTACTCATGAGCAAGTAAGAGACGCAAGAAGCCTGCTCTGACATTGTACCTCGGGTCCCACGGGACAGGCTGGCCCTACCATTAGGTTGAGGGACTGAACCACATCAGACATGCCCCAGCAAAATGCCCTTTTAGGAACAGGCCCTGAATCTCATGCCAGAAGGCACGTCGCACTTACGCAGGAGCAGGATGGTGCAGCTCAGGATGATCATCAAGGCCCCGAAACTCAGGCCTGCCACAGCACCCACCACGGCAGCAACGTGAGCCTGGCAGGAGCCCCACTTGTCACAGGCGCACACAGAGACATTCAGGAGCTGCTCTCGCACCTGCGGCGGCGTCCCTGAGTCACTGATGAGCAGCGGCAGGACGTGGAGCCCTATGTCCACTTCTCCTTCAGTCTGCAGCAGCGCATGGGTGTCTGTAAGAGATGGGGGAGTTTCAGGGAGGAGGATGGAGCAAGCAGGAGCCTGACTGTTTCTATTCTTCTGCACCCCCCTTCCAAAATGCTTTCTGTTACCTTTGCAGGAAGACCAATCCAAGTGGGTCTGAGGGGTCCCGGGACAAGGTGCCCACCGGCTGGCTTGCTTGGGGGCAGCAGCAATGGCAGAAACAGCTGTGTTGAGTGACAGGCAGTGCCAGGAAGCTGAGCCTAGCTGCCATTTTAATTTCCCACAATACCTTGGATGATATTGAAGGAAATTAAAATGGTGGCTGGACTTTGTGGTCCAGCCTTGCTCAGAGAGCCAGGTCAATGTATTTTTTTTAAGGTGGAGTGCTCAGGCCCCTTGGAATTGACTGGGAATGCCAAACGCTGATGCCATCCCTGGTTGAATCTCTTTCCCACCCTCTGCTAAATGTAGGGGTGCTGACGCCCACCAGGTCAAGGTTACCATTGATGTGTCCGAGAGTCCAATTCTGAGCCATGTCAGGGCTGAGGCGAAAGTGGAAGGGCTCAGCGTGGGGAGCCAGGTCGTCATCAGTGGCGCTCAGCACCAGGCGTCCGCCCTGGCTGCATAGCTCGCTAGTCACCGGAAGCAGAAGAGGAGCATGGTCGTTGACTTCCAGCACCTCAATGGACAGGGTCCCCGTAGCTGTCAGGGATGGGTTTCCTAAACAAAAAGCAGGAGAACATAGATGCATTGCTAAGGGATAGCTTTATTCTGCTGTATTTTAATATTCTGTTGGAAGCCGCCCAGAGTAGCTGGGGAAACCCAGCCAGATGGGCGGGGTATAAATAATATATCATCATCATCATCATCATTTAATTGTGACTAGGGCCGGCCCTAACAATAAGCAGTGTGAGGAAGCTGTGGTTGCAGGCTATTCTGCCTGAGCCCCTGGGAATTCCCTCTGCTTGGAGGCTAGAGCTCTGTGTTCCTTGTGGCTTGTCCGAAAGTTACTTGTCCCACAGTCCCTAAACTAGCTGGCTGCCTTTAGATGTGTACAATGCTACCCTGTTGGCAGCAGATCCAACTACCAGCCCAGTCACCTCCTGTGCATGGAAAAGCAGAGGAGACATCTTGGCCACCTCCATCAGCAAAATGTCTTGGCTTTGCCCTGTTACTGACTATTACCTTGGAAAGAATAGAACTTCCATGTGGAGGGGAAATCTATATCTGATTACCAGAGGCTTTGTGGCAAATAAGGGATAGATACTTTTCTTGCAAACTCTCCCAAGGGCATCTTCTGGCTACTAGTGGAGCCAGACTTTTTCCTATGATCCAATATACCCTTCTGAGACTCTCTAAAGGCAGCTTCAGACCCAGTATTTTGCAGGGGGGATTCAAGCACCTATCATAACATTTGTGCACCTAAAGTGGATTAAAGGCCTCTGCTCCCCCGGTGTAACAAAACCTCCACTATAAAGAACAGCCCTCGGCTCTGCTGCTTGAAAAGCGACGAGGAAATGCATTGAAAAGTGTGGGAACGAATGAGTGACACTAACTGAAAGATGTGTAGATGCTCTGCAAGTGACATGATCAAGTGTCTTGCATCTCCATGCCGGCTGTTTTGCAGTGATTCCCTGCCCCTGTTACAGTGAACTTCTAGCCATGGGCCTGCTCCTGTCCTCTCCCACACTCTGCCTGACCTTCTCACCATTATCACTGGCCAGGATCTGCAAGGTGTACCAGCCGCCTGGGAATGTTGAGCGTGGGGGAACCGTCTGTCGTGTCTGCACCAGGCTGGAGTCAGGGTCCACTTGCAGCCAGCTGGCCAGGTCAGAGGCCTGGAAGTACCTGAGGATGCAGGTCAGAGAAAGAGATGCTAATATTCTCTCTGTGTGTGTGTTCATGAACAGCATTTGCTTTCCTAGAGGCAAAGTCACACTCGCCAGGATGTCACACACATCTGGGAGGCAAATTGGGCTTGTGTGGTGGAGGAGGCACCTTGCAGAGGCTTATACAAAACACTGTCATGACAACTATGCTCTCCCCTGACTGCTGGAGGCTGTATGCCTTTGAATACCAGTCGCTGGGAATCACAATGGGGAAGAATGCTGTTGCACTCAGGTTTTGCTTGTGGGTATCCTCAGACATCTAGTTGGCCACTGTGAGAACAAGATGCTGGACTAAATAAGCATTTGACCTGATCCAGCAGGACTTTTCTTCTGTTTCTGCAAGTTGGTATGTTTTTCTTCTAGGCCATAAAGGCTAGAGACTTATTTAAAACAAAAAGGGGAACAGGAGCTGCAGTTCTTGCGGCACTGAATTTTATGCCAGGCACCAAGCCATGCCTTTGGTCTGCAGCTCTGGAAGGGCAGAATTCCACCAAGCCCTGGAGGCCAACCCTGCCAGGGCGTTTTCTGCTCCCTTCCTCCTTAAAATCACCCACCTGCTCCCAATGCAGGCTAACTTGGAGTATCTCCTTGGACGGTAGCCTGAAGCCCTCTGGCCCAGCTCACCTGAGTTGCTGCCCTTGCTGGGTGTCTGGGTCACTGGCACGGTAGAGGGTTATCTCTGTGCCAGGGGGCGCACCTTCATTCACGCTTCCCCTCCAGGGATTTTCCCGGAAGAAGGGGGCTTCATTGGCATCAAGCACATTCACTTGCACTGTGGTCAAGGCCCTGGCAGCCTTTGGGGCAGACAGCTCCAGGGGACTTTGGTTCTGGACAGAGACAAGCAGTTCAAACCGGTCCCGTTCTTCGTGGTTGAGGGCCTGATGATAGGGAAAGAGATTTGGTGAAGCCGTGGTTAGTGGCGTGGGACCCTTTTGCTCCCATCGTTGCAAATCCCTCAAATAGGGCCAGCATTCCTGCTTCCCAGCCTTTTCTCTGTCTGCTCTGTTTTGAGCTTCAACCAGGTATTGATAGCTAAAGCAAGAGTTGCAAGAACTCAAATCCACTTTGCGTATTGTGGCTTCTGGCCCCAGAATCCTGCTCCCTTCATCCAGGAGGACTGGCGACTGGTTGTGGCTACCCTGTGCTGATGGACCTGCCCTTAGCGCATGGTGAGAGGTGCTCTGGTTATCATTATCTTGCTTGCTTAAAGTTTGGGATTGTGTGCCTTTATTTAAACTCTACAAAGACAGCTAGTCTGTAAATCCCTCTCCCCTCAAAGTCCACACCCCAGGCCTCATATTTAGGGAATGGGGGAGGCCATGGCTACTCCATGGTGAGCAGAACGCACTCTGTGCATGCTCATTAGCACCCAGTGCTTTGGCCATTGTTCCCAGGCTGAACCCGGTGCTCTAAACAGGCTCCAGGGATGGATCCAGCTGAATGTCATTCCTTACCTTCACCAGGGAGATGACGCCATCGTTGGTGAGGGGGTCAGTGTGGATGGCAAAAGCTCCGTTGGGGTCCCCCTCCAGAATGGTGAACTTAGCCAACCAGTTGGGAGAACCAGGGAGGTCCTTGTCTTGGACCAGCACTCGCCCAATGACCACGCCTTGCTTGTTCTCAGGGGCCTCCATGGAGAACTGCAAGAGAAGGGGGGGGGGGGAGTTATTCAGTATTTTGGCCTGGCTAGATCTGCCAGTGCACACTTTGCAGGGCACAGTCTTCCCCTTCTTTCTGGTTTTTGAGGGAGAACTGGAGAAGGGGCAGAACTATGTGTAACATCTTGAACTCATTGTGGGGGAAGCGTTGGGAATAAACAACAATGATAAATAGCAATTGGATGCTGCCAAGGGGCTTGGAAGGAGCAGCCTGTGCGCTATGGCCCGCACTTGATGCGTTTTGTGAGCTGCACTGATTCATCGGCGTGGATCACCTCCTGATTCACAACTGGAGTGGGTTTCGTTGCTGTTGGTATTACGCAGGAGATATTGGAGAGGCCAAACAAAGCCCTGCTCCACTGCACTCTGAAGCCCCTAACTCCATTCAAACGGAGCAGAAGGAACTTCCAGCCACACCAACTGGATAAAGAACCCAGCCAGGGTCCTTTATAGTCTCCTCTCCCAGCAGTTCTGCCTCCTCAGTGGGTGGTGGGTGGGCTCCCCACCTCTTTCTCCGTGAACTCAGGCGGGTTATCATTTATGTCATCCACGTAGATAACGGCTGTGGCGGTGGTGGCCAGACCCTCTCCGGACATATCTGCCACTTGGAGCGTCAGGTTGTAAATGCCGATGGCCTGCGTGGAGAGGAGCAGAGGTAGGTGACGGTGTGGGGAAGAGGGTACAAGCCAGAGAGGGAAGCATACCATTCACACGGTTCTAGGATCTGCCTATTCCTCCCTGGGTTCCATACCTACAATGCCTTTCGGAAAGTTGTTTGCAGTTCTCTATACGTTTGGACACCTCTTAAGATGCTGTAACCAAATTGCATGACGGTTCCTGAGCTTGAGTAGCATATTTTTAAAAAATCTATATTTGGATACATCTGGGCATCATTCTGAATCAAGATGGTGGAGCGAAACTTTAAAAATTGCACCGATTGAAACCCCGATTTTAAAACTGCACTGATTTTTGCTGTTGTTTCTTAGAATTATTCAGCAATGCTGGGTGTGAGGCTACTAGTGTCAGATAAGTTTAAAAACCTGGTTTTCTGTCCCACCTTTCTTTCCAAAAGACGGTAGGTCAAAGCTTATTTGTACTGTACTGGATTTTTGCAAATAAAATAAAGTAAAATTTTGGTGTATTTTTAGAATACTGCAAATCATTTCCTGACATTTCACTCTTTCAAGTATAGTTTTGAGACGTTGTGTGTGTGTGTGTGTGTGTGTGTGTGAGAGAGAGAGAGAGAGAGAGAGAGAGAGAGAGACTATTAAAAATAATTCAGGGCAATAATGTTACAGCATTAATGTGCTGCATTCAAAATGATTGCCCCCGTTTTTTCAAAAACATCTCAGCCCAAGAGCTTTCGAAATTGGGAATGTCGTAACAAAATAGACCCTAAGGATACAAATGATCAAAGTTTGTGTGCAGATTCAAATGATAAATAATGTTTCATCCCAGATTTCCACTGGTTTCATTCTTTGGTGCAGCGTACAGTCCACTCTGCTCTCTGGCGCCTCCTGACTGGTCACCCATGACTGCACTCCACCCTCAAGCTCTGAGATAAACATTGACAGGCTTGTACCTCCCGGTCAAACCCAGCTCGGGCTGTTTGAATTTCCCCTGATAGCTCGTCAATTGTGAAGACGTCTCCCATCTCTGGTCCCAGGATGGAATATCTCAACGCGGCATTGTCTGTCTCAGGGTCGTCTGCGTCTGTGGCTTCTACCGTCATCACGTAGGTACCTGAGAAGGAACAGAGATGCCTTATTCCACCAGGACAATCTATTTTCCCATCTAGCCCAGTGGTGTCAACACTGACTGGCAGAACTCTTGAAGGTCTTTTTTATATATATAAATATTTTTATTGTTTTTAATTATAACAAACATCATATACTGTAGACATTAAAAATGTTTATACCATCAATACAGTATTGAAATGTGGGATTTCTCCAATCCCTTGACTTCCCTCTACCATCTCCATGGTTCCATTATTGTTAATTCATGCATGTCCAAATAATATTTTCCATCTGTATGTATCTAGTTTGATCTGTTATCATAATACTGCAAACGTTTTTTAGAATCCTGCTGATGTATCAACTTGTATACAATGCTTTGACATATATGCAATAAAAATTTCCCACTCATTTTTTAATTTGTTGTTGTCTTGATTTCTGAGTCTTCCTGTTAATTTAGCCATCTCAGCATATTCAATTAACTTAATTTGCCAATCTTTTTCCTTGGGAGTTTTTTTCCTCTTTCCAGTTTTGGGCTATCAATATTTGTGCAGCCATTGTCGCATACAAACTCTCGAAGGTCTAAGGCAGGGGACGATCATTCCTATCAGCTGCTACTTGTTTCTCACAGTTCCCCACCCTCAGCTTCCAGTTCAACCCACCTTGGTGGGCTCAGAGAACTGGCCCATCCGTATTAAACAAGAACCATGCGAGGGTCTGGCACACCCACCTGGAGGAGCTTCTTCCACCACGTGCCCAATAAACACAGCCTGCCGGAAGAGGGGCCGGTTGTCATTCTGGTCCATGACCAGAATCTCCAGGTCTGTGGGATCCTCCAGTGGAACTCCACTCAGGTCTAGTGCAAAGGCCCTGAGCTGGGCATGGGTAAAGCAAGAGGTGTTGAGTTATTATCATCATCAAGATAAGCCTAGTTCTGTCTTATAAGATCCACACATAACCAGGGAGACTGTCCCCTTCAAGATCCACAATAAGTATCTTTCATCAAAAGCACTATTTTTGTGCAACATTCACAAATGCATGCATGATGACCCCAAATTAGGAACTGGGGATGTTGATCCCATATTAAGCTTTGGGCCACCCAAAATGACGCCCCACAGCTCCAGAAGAGTGTCCTCTATGAAATGACATTGCTATTGGGCCCAGCCTAATGCTTTGGTCAAAGGACACCATCAGGCATGGCACCCCAGTAGGTAGAATTTTTTTTGGGAGAATCTTGGAGGTGACCATTTCCTGAGAGAGATAATATGGGGCAGCCTCAAGTTTATTTTGGAGCTCTGAGAACTTTAGTTTCTTTTTCAGTTTTCTGACTGAGCAGGGTTTCAAACTTTTGGCCAAATAAGGAACTGGCAACCAGCCACCAACTTCACTTCAGTTGGTCTACCTGTTGGCTTGCAGCACAGACTTGTTCCTCACCTCCTGTCCCCTCCATCTGCCATGACCCTGCCCCTCCCCCCACTTTGGAACAAGGCACTCACTTGTCTGTTTCCACTCACAGTCTGTGTCCTGCCCTCCTTGCTAACAGGGGTGTGATTTGCCTTCTGCTTGGGAGGTGAGAGAGAACTGCTTGATGGCCAAACTTATCTGCCCTTTGGCTTATCTGTTCTTGGGTCAGATTTTACATTTAGCTGTGATTCCTGCATTGCAGGGGTTGGACTTGTTGACCCTTGGGGTCTCTTCCAACTCTACAGTTCTATGATTCTTCCATCCTTAAAATATTCTGGGTCTGGAAACTCTCATCAACTCCAGCCAGCTTGGCCTCTGGCAACCCAACATTTCGGACATCTCAGGGTTGGCAGAGTCTACTCAGGGAAATACATTTTGCACATGCTCAGAAGTACCTTATCATCATCATCACCACCATTTGCATGTGTTCCGGAGCTCAGTCCTGACATTTAAAACACCCTCCGGAGCTGCAATGAACCACGAAGCAAGTTGGGCTTTCCTTACCCGAAAGCGGTCATTCTTTTCCCGGTCCAGCACAGTGTTGAGGTAGACTTTCCCGTTGCGTTTATCAATGGAGAACACACCCTTGGGATCTTCATCCACTCCTGGACCCTTGATGCTGTAGATCACACCTCCGGGCTGCTGCTTGTCTGATTTAATCTACAAAAGGGAGATTAGCCCTGTGTGCTGGGAGAGGGCTGGCACTTCTCCTGCTCCTGCCCACAGGTGCTGCCCTTCCCCCTCTCTGTACCCAGATGTGACTTAAATCCCAACCAGGCTCAGGGACATAGAAGGCTGCCTGATTCCATCTAGCATGATATTATCTCTACACTAACTGGCAGTGGCTCTCCAGGGGGATTCAGGCAGGGAGTCTTTCTAAGCCCTGCTTGGAGATGCCGCTGGGGTTTGAACCTGGGAGGACTTTCTGCACACAAAGCAGATGCTCTGCCACTGAGCCAGGATCCTTTCTCGATGCATGGCGCAATGAAAGGCTTGATGCACAGTGCAACGTCCTTGGAAGGCGAGGGCCACTTTTCTTGTGAATGCATGTGCTGTTGTGCAAGGAGGGGCTGCCACGTGGGTGCCTGCAAGCCGAGGGTGTGGGGGAGCCTGGCATGGCAAATGCAGCTGCGCCTTCACCATAACCAAGGCCACACACACACATTCAGTGCTTACGGTCAACATTCATGGTATAATGAACCGGTGTGGCTGTAGGTGAGCACTGCATGTATTGAAGGATGTGTGCCATTGCCAGACTGTATTTTTAACCTGCCTTCAGAGGCAGAGTGGGAGGGAGAGGAGCAGCCACAACCTGGTTGATTGTGATGGGGCTGTAAGGAAGGGTGGCGACCCCTGCACTGGATCTAGCAATGAGCACAATGAGCAAGTGGGTGTGTTTCTGCAGGGTGCTGTGCTATTGGCAGATGACAACACAGCATCTCAATGAAGGTCTCAGGGCTGGCTCAGTCCAGCCATTTCCTTCCAAGGCACGATCCTGGGTCAGAAGCCTAAATGCAGACCTTGGTGGGATGCAAGCAGAGAGCAGGAGCAGCCATGGAAACATCACACCAGGGTGGGGAAGAGAAGGGCATTTCTTTGCTTCCCAAGCCTTCTCCTGAACCAACACTTTCCACCACTGTTGAATACCAAGCTGCCCATTCTCCTCCTTACCTGCACCAAAACATGGGGGAGCCGCTTATGGTTCTCTGACACGCTGATGGGAGGGATCACCCAAGCCCTCTTCACCCTTCCTGCCCCATCCTTCTGCTGCTTTAGATGCAGTACTGGGGGGCTGCTATGGACCTCTTCTTCAGAGCAACAGACATCCTGCCAGGGGGGAAAAAAGGTGTTATATCAGTCTCTGACATATTGAAGACTTCAGAGGCTTATTATTGTGTCTGCTACACCCCCCCCCTTTTTATGCCTTCTGTTCTGACTTTTAATTTCATGGCGGTTCTGTGTTCTGCACAAGCTGCTTTGGCTTTCAGCTGAAAAAGCAGGCTATAAGTTTTGTAAAATGAAGATCTGGCAGAAATAAAACTCCTTTGTCCTCCAGGGGCAACAGTCCCTGTCTGGCCACCTTCCTCACTCCCTGCCACTACACAGCTCCAGCATCTGATTCAACTAGGTTGAGAACTTGGGTGTACAATCAGTCATGAGTAGATTTAAAAGATTGATAAATAGCTTTATGTTCCGTGAATTTCTCTATGTCTCCTAGTCACTGTTCTCCCTCCATGTTGGAGGCAGCATGTCTCTGAATACCAGTTGCTGGAACTCACAAGCAAGGAAAATTCTGTTGCACTCAGGGGCTGCTTAGGGGCTTCTTCCAAGAGACACTGAGGGCTCATCCACACTGCTGCTGGTCCTGTGCCTAGAAAGCATGGGCTGGAGTGGTCTCCCACTTGACCTGCACTTTCTAGGCATGAGTTGGAGTGGTTTTCTCCTTGCCCCACTCCTTTCCCAGAGAAAATGTGCTCTTTAGTGCTAACTCGGAGCAAACGTCAATCCAGAGAAAACCTGAATTGCCGTTTGCTCTGATTGAGTGCCAAAGAACAGTTTTCTCCGGGGGAAAGAGCAGGACGAGAGGAAGTGTGGATGAGCCCTTATAGCTGGCCACCGTGAGAACAGGATAACCCCATATTAGGAGGATGAATCCTAGGTTGCTGTCCCACCAAAAGTAGCCCAGGCTCTTATCCCAAGCCCTGGTTGTGCATTTGGGCTTCCCAGAAGCATTTGGTCAGCCACTGCGAGAACAGGGTGCTGGACTAGATGGGCCCCCTCTGGCCTGAACCAGCAGGGCCCTTCTTATATTCTCCTCCAGGCCAGACAGGGCTCATCTAGTCCAGCACATGGCTAGTAGCCACTGATATCCCTCTCCTCCATGAATTTGCCCAATCTTCTTTCAAAGCCATCCAAGTTGGTGGCCATCGCTATCTCCCTGCAAGAATGAAGTTCCATAGTTTAACTATGTGCTGCATGAAGAAGCACTTTCACCTGTCCTCCAACTCTTCCAACATTCAGCTCTGCTGGATGTTCAAAAGTTTCTAGTGTCATAAGAGAGGGAGAAAAAGCTTTTATCTGCTGCCTGTCTCCATGCCATCACAGTGTGGATACTAGCAGAACCTGTTGGCTATAAAAAGCAAGGGGACTGTGGGGGCCGGCTGAGAATGTGCTGCTGCTCCCTGCTCCCTCCACATCTCCCCTCCCTCAAGCAGCTGCATGGAGACGGCTGGACTTCTTACAGAGGAAGCTGCCTTAGATTGACTCAGGCCCATCAGTCCCTCCTAGCTTAGTATCGCTTGCACTGACTGGCAACCTCTCTAGAGGTTCAGGCAGGGGTCTCTCCCAGCCCTACCTGGAGACAGAAGCCGGGACATTCTGCATGCAGAGCAGATGTTCTAGCACTGTTCTGCTTTGGCCTTCCTCGTGAGCCAGCCAAGATCCCAGCCCAGATTTTGGCACAGTGCAGGCTACGCTACTGAGTTTCTGACCCAAGGGAGGTGATGGCTGCTTCCTGCCTCTCATTCCTTCCCTGTGAGATCTATTTTTGTTTCTATTTTGAATGACTGGACCCTCCTTCAGCTCCTTTCCCACGTTATTCCCATCTTGCTTTGGCAGACTTCCCTGGCACCCAGCTTCTAAGGAAAGACCCGCTTGCCCTACTGCTGCGGCTGGGAGCCTTGCAGAGAAGAGACTGAGCTGAGCTTCTGCACCGCCTTCACACAAGCCCCATCCCGACAGCCGCTTCAGGGGTCGGGCAAAGACAAGGCTGCAGCGCAAACTTTGGTAAAATCTCTCCAGAGACCGGTTGCCTTGTTCAATTTTTATGCTAGTGCATTTATTACATTTACGTCCCCCCTTTCCTCCGCGGAGCTCAAGGTGCAATATATGGCTCTCCCCGTCCCAATTTTATCCTCACAACAACCTTGTAGGTGAGGCTGAGAGACAGGGACTAGCCCAAGGTCATCCAATGAGCTTCATGGCCAAGCAGTAGATTTGAACCCTGGAGTTCCTTTGAATGACCTATTTATTGAGCATTCATCCTGATTTGCTTGTGGGGTATCCATATGTCTTCCTGACGGTCATTTCTTCATCCCACACTGCGAAAGTCTGATTCTTTCTTAAGGAGTGGATTTGTTTCAGTAGGGAGACAAGAGCATTTTTTATACACAAACCTAAAGCTCCAATATGCACCTGAACCGCCCCCCCCCGGCCACAAAATGGTGACAGTATGGAGGCGCCCCTGGTCTCCTGGTGTCACAGGCCAACACTCTAACAGCAACACCACACTGGCCAGGAGAGATGCTTTCGTAACTGCTGTGAATTTAACTTCACATTCCCATGCAGCATTTCTGCCAGTTGTGACCCCCCCATCCCTTCTCTCCTGCTCCCGACTTGCCCTGAAATGTAACCCAGCTCCCAGCCCTGGATTCCATAGCAGCAGGTGGCCAAGGGGGGATGCACACACACATGCGAACCTCCTGGAGCGCCACAAAGAACGCCACATCCCCCTGTCCTCCGCTGTAAGGGGATCCTTTCACTCTGCCCTGCTCACGCAAGCTGTGAGGGGCCCCTTCGGTGGAAAGGCTTAGGATTTGGGTCAGGGCCTTACAGATCTGCAACTGCATGGAAGGACATCTTCTATTTGGAACAGGGTGCAGTATAAAGTTGGGGGATGCAGGACAGGTGTATATGCACATCAGTGTATACAGTGGTAACCTCGGGTTACATACGCTTCAGGTTACATACGCTTCAGGTTACAGACTCCGCTAACCCAGAAATAGTACCTTGGGTTAAGAACTTTGCTTCAGGATGAGAACAGAAATCATGCTCCGGTGGCGCGGCGGCAGCAGGAGGCCCCATTAGCTAAAGTGGTGCTTCAGGTTAAGAACAGTTTCAGGTTAAGAACGGACCTCCGGAACGAATTAAGTACTTAACCCGAGGTACCACTGTAGTGCCCACCTTCCAACTTGTTGAAGGGGGTGTACATAGAATCATAGAGTTGGAAGAGACCCTGAGGATTATGTAGTCCAACCCCTGGCAATGCAGGAATATGCAGCTGTCCCATATGGGGATCGAACTTCCAGCCTTGGCATTATCAGCACCATGCTCTAACCAACTGAGCTATCCAGGCTGATGTGCGTTCTCTCTCTCTCTCTCTCTCTCTCTCTCTCTCTCTCTCCTTCCCAAGCAAGAAGCTGACTTCACAAAACAGAGCATGGGGGCTCATCTCTCTGCAAGTAGGCAAGAACCCAGAAATTCAGCATAGAAGGGAGGTTTTGTGGAAGCACCCAGCAGTCAAGCAGAGGAGCGGGATGGTGGGTCACACCTCAGGATTTTGTATGGGACTTTCCTTCCCTGCCCCGCCACTTCCCTCCCTGGCCATCATTCCAGGAAGAGCTCTGCTGCAGGGTGTCACTAATGCAAGCCACATGGAATTCCAGCTTCTTTGCTCTCGGTCACTGGGGTGGGTTGCATTTTTATGCTCCCAGCTGCCGGCATGGACATTTCACGCTTGTTGTTGACTCAGGGGGCAGCTGGCAGAAAGGGGGAGGGATGCCTCCTTCACTGCTGCAGAGCTGCAGGATATCCAGGAGCTGGCTCTCCAAAGTTTGAATGGCTTTGCTCTCCTCCACATCTACACCACCCTGCCCCCATGAAGAACCCTAGAACTTCCCTTCCTTTTATCTCTGAAGCTTCATAGCCTTTAATGTTCATTGAAAGGAAGTTTCCCATTCCAAATAGGTGGTTGTTGAAGGGAGTAGGGGTCCGGTGCCCTCCCAGGAGTCAAGAGTCTCTGCGTCTTTCTATGCAAAGCAGCTGATCCCATCCAGCTCTTTGGAGGGGGAGGTCCAAGGGCCAAAGTGCCATAAGGGAAAAGCGGCTTCCAAGGTGCAAGGGGGTGGGATGGAGAGGACATTCCAGTTGCACAAGCCCTCCGTGAGGAAAGCAAAGGCTTGGGAATCTGTAGGGCGGCCTGATGCAAAGGAAGAGGAGAAGGGCTTTCCTTTGCAGGAGTCAGAAAAGCTGCAGCAGCTGAAAGACATGCCTATGAGACTCATTGCTGGTGGGCTGGGGGCATCCTTCTTTACATGTCTTCTCGCCCTAACAATTGAGGATTGTGAAATGAGAGTGTGGACAGGATCCCTCTCTCTGTGCGGCTAAAATGAAGGCAGGCTCCTTTGGGACCTGGAGACCTTTTTCTCGCAGGGCACAACAGCCCACATTTGCAGAAGGCCTGTCTCTCCCTGAAAACACATTATAGTTTTCTAAGCAGTCTGTTGGGACTTCCTCATGAAGCCACCCTGTAAACTGTATTTCCCCCCAGGCATTGAAAAGTTCTGTTGGAGAGAGTTCTAAAGCCCCCTGATAAAGCGTATTTTTTTCTTCAGTTATGACGGAATAGAGCGGAGAGATCCCAGGACATTTACGTGAAGGTTGGAAGTTAAAGGAACAAGCCAACATCTCCATCTGAAGAGGCGGGGGCATTTCCCGAGAGTGGTGAACTGCCACAGGGTTACCAACTTGCACTCCAAACAGAGCACCACCACCCTTTCGACATAGGTGCTCTCCCTATTGCAGAAATCAGAAAATGGCCTGTAATGGCAGAACTTCATTACTTCTCCCCCGACCCAAGCCAGATGTTTCCAGGCTAAGTATTCTCCAGGGACTTGGAGTTTCGTTTCTGAAGTGGGGTGAGACTTGTTCAACTTAACTCCCAATAACTTTCCCTCCTTCAGAACACAGGTGCTGGACTTACAGTGGATTTGCTGTGGATTCAGTGCCACAACTTGGTAATTTCACACCCTGGACTTAAAGGGTCTTATGGGGAACACTTTAGAGGGCCAGGTGTAATTATGTCAGTTGTGGAGCACACCACGGGCATTCCTTTTCTCCCCACCCCCATCCCATTTGGTGCTATCCTCCTCCTCCAATCCACAGTTTGCCAACCCAGATTGAAAGAAAAGAAGCTACAAGTGCAGTTTTGCATTTGGAACACATGTAAACGGCAGCACCGTTGTGACTATGGGAATAAAATGAAATTTGCTCTTGCTGCCCTGATGCCAAATGAATTTACTGGGATGGGGGATGTTATAGAAAAGGGAAAAATATATTTTCAAAGTAAAAATAATAACATAAGCATCTGCATTGCAGGGGGTTGGACTAGATGACCCTTGAGGTCCTATGTCTCTACAATTCTATGATTCTGTGAATTGTGTACATGCCTGCCCAGCACCCCCTGACTATGAAAATGTGGGTTGTTGTTTTTTCTAAGTTCAAGAAGCTTTAAAAAAGAAAGAAAGAGGGATGGTGTGGGGTCTGGCGTGCCAATGCCGGTCTCAGTTTTCAGAACTTTCTAAGAAGGGACAGAATGATGTGTAAGAATTTAATGTTTAATTAGGAGATTTGTTTGATTAGGTGAAAGGATTTTGATCTGGAAACTCCTACAAACTTTCTTATTATTATCTGGTCCACCAAGTGCATTCACCTGAGTTCCAGACACTTGTTGGGTTATGGTTTAAGTAAAGCTTTATTAGAGAAACACACACACACACACACACACACACACACACACACACACAGAGTTTTGCACAAGCATTCAAAGAGAAAATTAAATCAGAGCTTGGAAAATTCATTTTGAAAAGGAACAAGTTCTCACTCACGTTCAACATGCCCAAAAAGGAACGAATTCCAGTTCTCGTTTGTCCCTATACAAAACCAACTAGTTTGGTTCACATTCAGTTCAGCTGAATTCAAGTTTATCCAAATGATCCTCAGCAATTTTTCTTTCCCAGCACTCAAACTGTTACAAGCTGCCTGTTACAAAACACACTTAAGAAGACTAAGAAAACATCCAAGAGCACACACAGTGGCATGTGAATGGTTTAATTTACTTTTCCAAACAATGATCATCTTGAAGCTTAAAGACCCAAAGAGGAGAAAAAAAAACCACACAGAGTTGAACTAGAGAAATTGTCTCAATGTCTACCCCCATAATGAACAATATCTGCTCGGTTCACCTGGCAATTACGGGAGCCGCTTTGAATTGTGCTCCAGACATTTCTGAACTAATTCAGTGAACTTCGTTAAGCCAAACCAGCTCATTCCAAGCATGGAACAAAATACAATCGCACAGGTGTATACAGAAAAAGCACAGATTAATCTCTTAAATTTCCAAGGCAGTAGAGATCACAGGTAGAAAAAACGACCTGTCATCCAGGATCCCATACAACACATACAAAAGACTGAATTCCTATATTATAAGGAGCAGACTGCTGGGTAAGATGTGTTTTTTTGGGAGTGGGCTATTGGGTCGTTGTTTTTATTTTTATTATGCATTGTGTGGTTTTATATCTTGATACTATTCTCTGAGCCACCATGAGACCCCCGGGTATAGGGCGGTATATAAATTCAATAAATAATAATCATTATCTGCAGGAAGCCCTCACCTTCAGAGCTCAGTGACTGATTGGCTAGATAAGGGGGGAGACGATGCTTCAGATATCCTGGTCTCTAGTTGTATATACACCCAAACCAACACCTTGAATGTAGCTCAGCAGCTAGCTGGAAGCTTGGACGTGTATATTCCACTACATGCTCTGTCTACTGTCCTTGGCACAGCATAAGCCTTGTCTAGGACAGAGAGGCTGGCAAAATTCCTCCTGGCTGCAAATCAGTCAATCAAATGGACCCTGGTGGCGAGGGAAACCCCCTGATTGGTTCTCCAGGTGGAAATGCCTTTGGGATGGGACTCAATTGTACGCAGGACCCTCCACCTAACTGAAGTCCCTGATGCCCTGGAGTGCAGAGAAGGATCTTCACCGCCCCATTGCTCTCTGCTCCAGGCTGACACACCTGCCCTCTCCGGTGCTTACCTGAGCCCACAACATGGCCAGCAGGAAGGAGATGAGCCAGAAAGGGGTGGCCATAATGGCTTGCTAGTGGTTGTGCCTCAGGCAGAGCGCAGAGCCGGACAGCCTCCGTCCCCTTCCTTCTCTCTCTCACACAGAGGGAGCGCCTCTGCTATGAGCAGAGCTAAAATAACCGAGACCAGGCTCTGACAGACAGCACATGTGCTGGGGCCTGGGAGAGGAACGCCGGATGGTGGCGGGGAGGGGGGGGGAGATGGCCTGGGAGCTGCATGGCCTGCATATCTCCCCTGCCCCCACACACCCTGAGAAAGGAGTGTGTGTAGAGTGTGTGTGTGTAGAATTGACACTTGCTATCCCACCCACCCCTCGCTAGAAGTTTGTAGAATTAACTTTTTGAAAGAAATATTAAATCCCAGATACTAAAGCCAAGTCACAGCGAGGATCAAGAATGGCCTGAAAAGAGGATGTGTCCTCTCTTTGGCCCTTTCCTCCACAGTGGGTCAAACTGGACTGGTTACATGGCAAGAGAAAAAGAATAACTATAAGGAACCATGGAGAGTTGATGCTTACTAGGAGTGGGCCCCTAGAAATTCCATCCCTTCCTCTCCTTCTTTAAAAAAGCAATAGCTTTGGGCCCCTCCAGATGCCCCATTTATGAAGTACCTGATCTGATTTGCTCGGACAAAACCTACACAGAGGTTAGGCTCTGTCCAGCCTTTATCCAGGATTCGTTCTGATATGTTTGCAGGGAAGTTACACAACAAGGAGCATTCATCCTGATTTGCTTGCAGTGTGTTTACAAAGCTTCCTGCTCGTCACCCATTCATCTCACGCATTTCAATGCATTTCCCCATTGCTTTCCAAACCACAAAAGTCTGTTTTTGTTTTTAAGTGGATTTGTTGTGCTAAGCTGACAGAGCACCTGACTCCACTTTAATTATGCAAATTCCCAGCATGTGATCAAATCAACCCTGCAAAACAGCGAGAGTCCGGAGGCATCCTTTGCAGTGAGACCTCACCCATGCAACATCACTCAGAGACCTGGATCTGCATCTATTCCTTTTATGCAGATTCTGTACCAGGGGCCTACGCTCTGGGTTTTTTAAGCACTAAGAAGTGCCCTAATGCAGAAGTTATTTGTAGCCCACCTTTCCTCCAAGGAACTCGGAGCAGCATTCAGAGTTCCTAGGCTGTTTCCCACTCAGGTGCTCCCAAGCCCAAGTTTAGCTCCCAAATTTGGTTTCAGAGGAGCTCTTTCCCTGGACTACTTGGGTGGAATAACAAGGCCTGACAAGCACTGCCAAATGGTCAGGATTGGGTGGTCAGGAGGTTGGCCACTGGCTGGAAAAAACTCAGACAGAGCTGTTTCCCCCTGTTAGTTTGTCCTATGTAATTTACTTATATTTTATTGATTTATATACCGTATTTGGAAGGCTATGTATTTTTCTTTTTTAAAAAGGTATTTGAGAATATAAGAGAAAGGAGAAGAATAAATTATTATTGATAACAATAAAAAATAAAAGTATGTAAGATATGCATTCTACCAAATTTAAGGCTAATATACCTCTCCTGAATGTGAATGAACTTAACCAGAGAAGGAGCAATTTTTTAAAAAGTCATAATTGTAGTACATAGGAAATTATTTCTCTGCTTTGCTGTTTCAGCTAGTGTGCACTTCTTTATTAGTTTAAATTTGCTGCATAATGTTATCAGCAATTAAAAGAAGCACCCTGAGTTTGCCAGAGATATTTCAGACAATATGGAGAAAAGCATAATTAAATATACTTTATATGAAAAAACCAGCAATAATTATGCCCCACCCTTCCACTGTATTGACATCACTCACGAGGGCTTACAGCCATTTAAATCAGGAATGGGGAATTTGTGGCCCTCCAGATGTTGCTGGACTCCGACTCCCATCAGCCCCAGTCAGCATGGACCAATGGTCAGGGAGGATGGGAGTTGTAGTCCAGGAACATCTGGAGAGCACCAGGTTCCTCATTTCTATTTACAACAACAACATCAAGCCTGCCCCCCCCAAAGCAATACAGAAAATCAGAAACAACAACAATAAAAACAGTGGTGTAGGAAACAAAGCTAGGGGCCTGAGCAACCTTATTCAATAATTACATGGAGTGACAGTAGAGAAGATGTACCTCTGCTATGATGGCCAAAGCCTACACATCTAGGGAGGGAATTTTTTTTCAGACTGAGGATTGCAATCCCCTTTTGGGAGAGGCAAGTGGGGGAAGCAATGGATGGGTATTGTTTCTGCACACACACACACACCCTCCAGATAAGCAAACATGATCAGAATTCAAGGACCCATTGTAGCTGGGCAGAACCCCCCCCCAGGAGAATGGAAGCAACGCTGTGGCCTGGGGAGAGTCCTGAGATTCCTCACCCTCCAGACATAATTGAAATAGATCTTACAAACAGTCACAGTCAGCCTCCCGTATGGACAAATCCTATGTAAAAAAGGGTAGGTTGGGAGAGAGCAGAGTCTGGGGTTGAGCTTTCCTGGCAGAACCATGGAAAGTTGGTTCAGGGGCAGAAGGGAGAAAAGATGTGAGGAGGTGGCAAGGAGCCAAGGGCCTGGAAAGAGTTGGGGGGGGGGGAAGACACAAGACTTACCTACACTGGAGGAAAGGCAGATGAAATTGATGGACTACATGGAATTGGCAGAAATGACTGGCAGAATCCGAGACCAGGGAGAAGAGTCGGTGGAAGAAGATTGGAAGAAATTTAAAGACTATTTACAGAAATATTGCAAAATTAATGAATGTTAGAATGATGTTGGATTGAAGTTAAGTGGTTTCTAGCTGTACTGGTATAAAAGAATATGGAAAAATTGGTTTTTAATACGTAAAAATTTAATGTTATAATATATCAAGAGTAAAGATCAGGATTAAAAAGGAGGGAAAGGAATTGCTGGACTAACAAATTGAATTGGAATACAAAAGAGGGAGGTATGAGGAGGTCCGGGAAACAAGTAAACGTAAGAGAAGCGATGAAAAGATGGAATTGTTTTTAACTGTTTTTTCTTTTTTGTACTTTGTATTTTTCTTTCTTTATTGTTATTTTTCTTATTAATGTAATCTTTTTCTTCTGAAATTTTAATAAATATTATTAAAAAAAAGAAAAGAAAGAGTTGTGGGGGAGACAGGGCAGAAGATTGCTGGAGGCATTTGACTGCATTTTTGGTTAGCTGTCGGGGGCTGATTAACCATGACCGCCTCTCCCTCCTTGCAAGCCCAGGTCTGCTAGCTGGGATGTTTCTGAACAGCTGCTGCAGGAATTCCAAATGCTTACATGAGAGGGAGTGTTGCCCAGGGTGGTGGTCACAATGGGGGAGGGGGGGCAAGCAGAAAACAAGAGCTGAGACTTTTTTGCTGCTCCCTACCAGGCTCTGCTTGTGTCTCAGAGGTCCATGTTTCCTGCTTGCAACAGGTCGCAATGTGAAAATCAAAGCGGGGAGGGGAGGGTTTTTCATCCTACCAAGTTCCCACTCATCTTTCTCAGTTCCTTAAGTCTGCATTCCCACCCCCAGCCACCAGCAACCTTGAGCTGCATTGAAGGTGAAGCCCGATCAAGTTTGTAAAGAAAGAAGGGGTGAGGGTCAAGTAGGGAGGATGAATATTTAAAGTATTGAACGAAATTATTTAATTTGCATTTCAGGCCAACAGCTTTCCTAAATATGTGGCAAATGCAAAACCGCCAAGGCATCTGATCACACTCTGTGGTTAAGGGCACACAGTACAGCACACAATGCACAACCCATCTGCAGAACTTACTCCCACACAAGGGTGGGGTATAATATTTTAAAAACAAAATAGTGATGGCCAATAACTTAGATGTCTTTAAAAATGAATTAGGCAAATTTGTGGAAGTGGGAAGGTATGCCAGTGGCTCTAAGGAACCTCCAGATACAGAGGCAGTCTACCCCTCTGAATACCATTTGCTGGAAGTGGGGTCTTTCCTTCATGCCCTGCATATGGGCTTTGCAGAGGCACTGAGAAAGAGGATGGTGGGCTAGGCAAACCTTTGGTCTGATCCAGTAGAGCTGCTCTTGTTTTTAAGCAAAAAGGAAGCCACAGGGTACATTTTAGAAATGAGTTCACTCAATAACCCCAGGAAATACAGTTGTGACCTCTAAACATCATTTGATGGCTGTTTGGTTTCCATTTATAATTTTTATGAATGGTGCACTACAAGGTGGAAGTCCTGTGGAGCTGCACCTTTCATTCTGGATGGACCTCCTGAAACCGAAATGTTCATGCCACCTGCTTATTGCACTGGTTGCCTAGATCTGTGCTTTCAAGTCACATATAAGAAGAATGCCAGAGGATTTTCACTCTGCTTGCTTCTTAGGATAAAAGAAATACAAATACTTTTTAAAAACCAAAAAACCCAAGCTCACTCAATGCAATCCTATAAAATAAAGTGGTATGGACTTTCCAAAATAGGTTCTGGGACTGGGGATGCCCAGCTCAAATCAATTCCCAGGGGGTGGTCTGAAGGCACGTGATGCAGCAGCCTTGCTGAAAACAAGCCTCTTTGCATCAAGTCGGCACCAGGAGGGATGCTGGTCTGGGACAACCTGCCCCGTGTCCCACCTGGAGTTCCATCGTGAATGGAAGATGGGAGCGAATAGAACAAACCTATCCTCAGGGGCAAACTTAGCTAGAGAGCTATCTGGATGAATAGTTGCCATTAAGAGGGTGGTTATCCAATCAACAGAGCCTCCAGTGCCTGGGAGTGAGGGTAGCCAATGTGGTGTTGAATCGGGGGCCAGTAGGGACTACTAGAAAAAGCTGTGCCTTGAGGAACTGTTGGGTTCCTCTTCTGAGAACTAAGGATACTGGCTGGTCAGCAGGATGCCACAGGCCAGCCAATAATCAAGCTAAGTGCCTGCAGGATGTCCCAGTCAGAGAGGAATGTCACAGTTGTTCATTTCCTGGGGTCCCAATGCCAGGAATGAGCCCTTCCAGCTCTGCAGGCATCTTCTTGTCTAGCTAACACTGCAGCCAGCAGGTTTCTCTGGGAGTGGAAACTCTCTCTCTCTCCTCGCCCCTCTGGTGACACCCAGAGGGGAAGAAAATTGGCTCAGTTCAGTGTAATATGTGCTTATGAAACTGGCACTCCCCCAAAACAACACACAAATTGCAAAGCAGCTATCCTTCAAAATGCACACTTCTCCAGATTTTGAAACGGAACTTTCCAATGAAAAGAATGTGCAGGAATTTGTACATTAGGGGAAAGTGTACATTACAACCCATATATTAGGGGGAACACTATACCAACATGCACATATATTGGGGGGAATTGCTCACGTATAAAGTTGTATTGAGGCAAAATTGTATACAAAACAGTGTTTGCGCCCACTAAAATGCTGTCAGTCGCTTCCCAAAGTGTGTGCAATATGCACACTGACTTCAAAAGAGATCCGCAAACCGATACAGAGATGTGGCGAACTGAACTTAAGAGTGGAAAAATGAGAAACAGAGAGAATGATAGAACCGCGGAAATGCAGTTTGAAGAATCATCTAGTCCAACCACCACTAAAGAATCTCTGAGCAATGGGTATCCAATCCAACCTCCAATGAGAGTCTGCTACCTTGCGAGGGAGTCTGTTCGACAGCCAAACAGCTCTTACTGTAAGAAAGTTCTCCCTAATCTTCAGCCAGACTGTCCTTTCTTGTAATTTGATTCCATTGTTTTGGGTCCTATCATCTGGAGCAGCAGAAACCAAGCTTCTGTCTGACAGCTCTTCATATATTTGAAGATGGCTATCATACCCCACCCCCATCTTGTTTCCTTCAGGTTAAACATACCCAACTGTTCAACCCAGGTGTCCCCTATCCTATATTTAAAAATGGAAAGCGTAATGCTGGTGGTCTACAAAAGAGGTTAAAAGACTCTCTCAAAGGCAAATCTTAAAAAATGTAGTATAAACACTGACAACTGGGAAACACTGGCCTGTGAGTGCTCCAATTGGAGAACTGCCTTTACCAAAGGTGTCATGGGCTTTGGAGATGCTCAAACTCAGGACGAAAGGGAGACACGCACTAAGAGGAAGGCATGCTTGGCAAATCCACACCGTGATCAACTCCCGTCCAGAAACCTATGTCCCCACTGTGGAAGGACGTGTGGTTCCAGAATTGGCCTTCACAGTCACTTACAGAATCACTGTTAAGACCGTGTTTATGGAAGACAATCTTACTCGGCTACGAGTGATCACCAAAGAAGAAGATTTGCACATCTGATTTCTCCTGCCCAAGCATAAAACCAAAAACCAAAATGGGCACAGATTCATTCATCCCTAATGGCTCCTTCTTGGCTTTGTCTGCCCTTCTTGCCCTTTGGTACCCTCTGGATGATGCAAAGGCATTTAGAGTGCAACACAGGGCACGCTGCTGCCCCATGGGCTGAGTATCAGTGGTCTGCGGGGTCATGCAGCATGTCCTACTTTCCCCCTACAATGCCCCCCCTCTTTGTGCGCGCGTGCACACACACTGCACAAATGCACATTGCGAGGTTGTGCCAGCAATTTCCCATTCTCACCTAGCCAGAAGGTCCTCACTCAAGGATAATCTATCTTTGGGCAGTGCAAGGCCTCCCCTCAATTGATGCTTGGCCCACTCTGCTGCCTCTGCCTCCCCTCCAGACTGCAGCTTTGATGCCCAGGTGCCGGGACCATCTGGCTTCCTGCAAGGCCTGGGTGAAGTCCAAAGACAGCGTAGCAGCACCAGCACAAATATGACACACTTGGCTGCTATGCACGAGTGTGAGCAAGAGAATGCAGCGCTTCTGCCCCTTCTCTGCTAGGCCTGGGCAGCACCCCCTCCCATCAGCACGCCAGCTGGTATCTGTACTGGGGAGGACAGTGGCAGAGGCGGCAGGAGGAGCTGTTTTCATCTCCATTTGGTGGGCATCGCATCCTCTGACCTGGGAGGGAGGGAGGAAGCCACAGTCACCTCTGCTGGCTCCGAGGCTGAAGCAGATGGCTATTTTGAGAATCCAGGAGACGACAGAGGAGCAGCAGGCGCCAGCTGCGCATGGTGCTCTCTTGTGCCCTTCCCAGGTATGGCCGTGGTACAAAGAGGCTGCTCCCAGTGCAGCAAGTCACATGCACTTGCAGTTTGTGCCAGCCAAGGCAATTAATTTGCTAGCAGATGGCACAGCTCTTGGCAAAGGGCTCTCTCTGCTGTGAGCGAGGTGCTGGAGGAAGCCCCTCTCCTTGCTCTCCGCTGGGCGTTTAAAAGTGTGGAGGAGCAGAGGTTGGTCCACAGACGCCATGGCCAGCTTTCTCTTTCCCTCTCTGTGCTGATTTTCAGAGTGGAGCACATAGCGTCATATTAATTTTGGAAAGGCCATTCTGCTCATGTGCAATCGGCCTCACAAATCAGTGAATGGATATGACTGTGTGGAGTGAATGGATACGACTGTGTGGAGCTTGGCAGGATAACGCAGAGGAGCTGAAAGATATATTGGGGGGGGGGGAGGCTGCTGTTATGGATGGGAGAGAAAGTCACACTTTTTGAAACAGTACACAAACCGAAACACAGCCCTTTGAAATCTACACTTCTCCGAATTTGGCAATGCAGTTCTCCAGCCAGGTAATGTGTACCAATATGCTTATACTAAGCGAAATAGCTGTGAAAATAGATTCCTCATCCCTTTGCAGTGTATATAACAGATGTCCTCAGTATTGCACCTTGCTCCAACATTGCTGTTCTTTTTTTTAAAAAGTGTTGCAATACTTTTATTGATTTTAACCTTCATACATTGCCTTATTGAACTTTTTATTTATTTATTTATGTATGTATGTATGTATGTATGTATGTATGTAAAAAGCACAATCAACTTAAAAAGCATCGCAGAACTGCTTTGGGGATGTGGGAATAAAGGAGTGTGTATGACACACAGGTTATAAGCAATTGGTGCTGGGCACAGCTGGTTTCTGCAGAAATGGTGCAGAACCACTTTCCCTTCCTGAGTTGGACCCTGAAGAGAGAAGTGCACCCTCTTCCAACAAAACACAATGAGCTCGCTTCCAGAGTGATGAGGGCCCACACATATCCTAACTATGTTTGTACTGTATGTACATAACGCTGTGAGTAAACTACAGGCTAACAAGTGACTGGAAATATCTGCACTATTGGAAAATGACTTCTTCCAAAGCATAAACCATTTTTTAATTCCTCTTTGAAGCTTGCAAACGTGTCTATTCCTGCGCCAACCTATGCTGGTCCAAAGAGCTGATTTTACCCTGGCACCGCTGAGGTTACTATTTGCTGAACTCAAGATCAGCCTGGTCACAAATATTCCCCTGCAATGGATGTCAACCACATCTCCTGCCCTGGTTGCCTTTACACCTGCAATCTTTAACACCACTGGAGGCAGTAAAAGGGGAACGTTCCAAGCTCACCTTGTCCTGGTAGTGCAAAATACTCTCTGTGGTTAAGGATAGGATGAGCTGCTCTTTTTAAGCAGGGCCGGCAGGGGGAGCTCAAGCACCAGCAAACAAAGCCTGGAAAATACAGCCATGCATTCCTGCTGTGTCCAGGCGATGGGTTGGAGGGGCAGCTATGGCCCATCATGGCACAACCAGCCAAGGGAAGCCTGGCTGCAGTTTGACTCAAATGGAGTCCAGCTTCTCTCTTCTGGTAGAGATCCTGCTCCCACCTGCGGTCTTTCCCACTTTGCAATTGGGCTGCGCCTTCTCCTGTGACAAGCACCTAGTCTTGTGATGGGGGTGGGGCGGCGGCTGCTGCTGCCACATGGCAAGGAGGAAAATGTGTGCGTGCACGCTCTTGCATTTTCAAGGTAGGTTAGCTCTCAAGGTTATGTATTTGGAAGATACAATCCATGCATCTGATGAAGTGGGCTGCGCTCCAGGGATGCTTGGGCCATAAAAAAAAGTGCTAGTCTTTAAGGTGCCACAAGACTCTTCGTTGCTCTTGCTGCAAGAGATGGAGGCTGTGCATACCCACCACACCTTTGAAAGTGCATTCAAAGCACCTTCCTTCCCCTCAAAGAATTCAGGGTACTATAGTTTGCTAAGAGTCGCTGTAGCGGTAAACTACAGGGCCCAGAATTCTTTGAGGGAAATAAGGCGCTTTGCGTGTGCTTTAAAGCAGGCTGTATACACACCATACATTTAAAGCTTTTCAACATACTTTTCAACATTTTTATGCGCCCCCTCGCCCAGCTTGTCCGGAGTTTTGGGCTGGGTTGCCATCAGTATGCTGATGACACCCAACTCTATCTGTTGATGGATGGCCATCCTGACTCGACCCCAGACACACTGACCAGATGTTTGGAAGCTGTGGCTGGATGGTTACGTGGGAGCCGGTTGAAGCTAAATCCTTCAAAGACCGAGGTCCTGTGGCTGGGACGGGACGATATGGGATTGGGGGGGGGCAACTCCCATCTCTTGCGGGGGTGCAATTAGTGCCAGCACCGTCCGTTAAGAGTTTGGGTGTAATCTTCGACACCTCCCTTTCCATGGAGGTGCAGATTGCAGCTATAACAAAGGCGGCATTTTTCCATCTCCGCCAAGCTAAGTAGTTGGCTCCTTACCTCTCTTGCCCTGACCTAGCCACTGTGATCTACGCGACGGTCACCTCCAGACTGGATTATTGTAACTCGCTCTACGGGGGCTGCCCTTGAGACTGACCCAGAAACTCCAGCGGGTGCAGAATGCTGCAGCGAGACTCCTTACGGGGTCCTCGCTGCGAGATCACATTCACCCGGTACTATACCAGCTGCACTGGCTCCCGGTGGAGTACAGGATCAGGTTTAAGGTGCTGGTTTTAACCTTTAAAGCCCTATACAGCCTAGGACCCTCGTACCTACGGGACCCCCTCTCCTGGAATGTCCCACAGAGAAACTTATGGTCTTCAAATAAAAACATCTTGATTTTCAAAACCTTTATGCACTCATTTCTTTTCGTACCATAAATACGCGTGCCAACCGAATCTATTATCATATCCTTCCAAATCTAACAAATCTGTATTTTCTAATTTCATCCATTCTTTCAACCAACATATACATGATGCTTCATAATATAACCTCAAATCTGGCAGGGCAAAGCAAAGTTATATTATATAATATAATATAACCTCAAATCTGGCAGGGCAAAGCCTCCCCTCTCTTTTAAATCTGTTAACAGCATAAATTTTATTCTCGGCTTTTTGCCCTGCCAGATATATCTTGAAATTACTTTTTGCCATTCTTTAAATATTGCTACTCCTTTAATTATTGGAATTGCTCTGGTTTCTCTTCAGATCGTATAAATCTTTCGCCTTTTACTAAAAATTTGGGGTTTTTTTGGGGGGGATACATCAGGATATTTAAGGATCGTGGCTAACGTTGCGTGCACACTGTTTCCCAAATGAGCAAAAGGAGTACACTGGATGCAAAGTGAAACAGGAGTGTGTACACAGCCTAATATAGCTACCCCTCTGGAATTTGTAGGGTATATTTCAACAACACATATACTCCTTTCAAGCCTTGCTGATGAATTTTAAGACAACAGCTGTGTTAAAAAAAAAAAGTGGTTTAAAATCCACTTGGAAAAGTGGTTCTTTATTTTTATGGTGCTGTTGGTTTGCCTATTTATACTTTACAGAATGTAAGAGGACGGGTCCCTGCCCCAAAGAGCTTGCAGTCTAACATTTGACCTGGAGGTGGATGGGAACAAGAGAGGAAGGAACGGGAATTGGAGGCGGGGTAAACAGGGGAACATTATCAAGCCGCATGGCTATCTACCTCCATGGGTCAGAGGTAGGATGCTTCTGAACACCAGTTGCTGGGAACTGCACAAGGGGAGAGAGCTGCTCTTGTGCTCAGGTCCTGCTTGAGGATTTCCCACAGGCCCCCGGATGCTGAACTAGATGGGCCTGGTCCAGCAAGGCTGTTCTTATGCTCTTAATAGGCCATTGTTCCACCTGCTGAATGCACCAGTGGCCATAAACCAAAACAGTTAAAATACTTTTAGGCAGAGTATGACTTTAGATATTGGCAGTAATGTCTTGCTGAACTGAAACGGTTTGAAATCCTGCCTCCCTCCAGCATTTCTCAAGCAATAGGGACCATCTTCTTGTTCCGACTCCCTCCAAGAACTTCCAGTGAAGCCCTGGGGGTGGGGGCAGGGGTCAGAAGAGACATTTCCAAGTGGGCTATGGGGCACTGGACCTTTTTTCCTCCACTGAAGATGCAAAATCTGAGCCTGACCTCATGGCTGGAATGATGGCAGAGGACATTCTGAGGAGAACGGAGAGCGATGGGTTTTAGGAGAGGCAAAGGCCAGACTACCTTCCATGTGGAAAGATGACAGGGACAGTTCATACCATGCCCTGGAGGATTTGGAGGGGATCAAGCAGCTCCTCCGATACAACCCCCCCTCTCCCCCCCCGTGTGTGAATGTGTGCAGCGTGTGCATTTGAAGGAGGAGAGATGGGCGGGCGAGGGAGGTGTCGCCTAAGGGCCTGAGTCGAGGCAAAGAATCGCATTGAAAGGCCATTGGCTGTACTGTAGTTGTCACATCTGATGTTGTCGAGCGGAGCCACTGATCTGTGCAGGGTGGCTAGTGGCGATGCCACCTTGTCAGCCCACATATGCCCATCGCCTGTGATCCGAGGGTGACGTGCGACAAAGAGGCCACAATGCCAGCTGAACGGGAGGCATATGGGAAGGGCCCCCCAGGTGGAGACATCCCTGCAAGGCCTCCCTTCTCATACAGAGACTGTCAGGCTTGCTAAAGTGATGGGGGTTATTTATTTTTGTTTTTTTTGAGGCTTGGGTTGAAAAAAGTGAGTGGAGGGGAAAGCTTCGCAAGACAAAACGGCTAAGTGCAGAAACATCTTTCTCGCTTTCGTGCTCAATCTCTTTTTTGACCATCGTCCAAGGAAAGGAAGAGCCCTGTTTGATTTGAAAGCTTGCACCATGAATGTGAAAGGCAAGTTGAACTATAAGAAAATAAGAGTCTGGCTGCTGGATCAGGCCAAAAGGCCCATCTAGTCCAGCATCCTGTTCCCCATCACAGTAAACTAAACCTCTCTGAGTAGTTGGCAACTAGGGGTGCAACAGTGGCACTCTTACCATTTGATTGCAGCTGATGTTCAGAGTCACCGCGTCTCTGATAGCGGAGGCAGAACACTGCCCACATGGCTAGCAGCTGAAATAAAGAAAGGCTAAAGAAAGTGTTTGCCTCACATGCGCTGCATTTTGGGCTGTCAGATCAACGAGGCTACTGGGTTGGAGCCTTTTCCTCATAAGGAACATATCCCAACTTCCCGATCATTTTGGTTGCTGTTTTCTGCAACCACTTCCAGCCCCAGAAAACCCTCCAGAGTGATGTGCTCAGCCTATCTCCCTAGCTGCCTTTGGACTTGGAAAGATGTACTGGCTGTTCTATAAGAAGAAAAAGTCAGCTCTTCCTGGTCTGCCCTAGTACAGTGTCACCAGTATGCATTGAATTCTCATTCAATGTACATCCAAACATTGGCATTCCCAGCACTCATAGTGAACCACAGTACCCAGGATTCTCTGGGGCAAACCATGTGCTATAAACGTCTGGTGTGGATCTGCTCATAACACATTTGGTGACACCCTTCCTGAGAGCCAGAGCAGGGACACCTTTCAATGCTCTCAGACCCTTGCACTGAGCAAGGCAACAGTGGCAGCATATCCAGGCCTGGTAGTTTCCAGGCATGAAGCTCAGAAGGATGGGACTGGCTGAAGTTAGATTAGGCAACAATTATCACAAAACCTGCCCCTGGACTCCTCCAACCTTGCTGGACAGCTCAGCTCCACCCAGTTGTGGGTCTTACTAGCCTTTGCCAAACAATCTGGGGAGGGCATTCCACCCACCTCATGCTCCCCTGCCATTTGTCTTGTCTTTAATGCATGGAAACACACAGAGAGACTTTTCATTTCCTGGCAGTGGGCAGAATAAGTGTTTTGACTTTGCTGCTTTGGGTCCCCGGTGGCCTCTGGCCGAAAGAGGCCTCTCTCCTCCCTGCGGGGGCCCTTGATTAGCTGGCTCCAGCCTGACCCTAATGCGCTCTGGCAGGAGGGCAGTCTAGCAGATGGTCCCTGCCACTGGCACCCTGGAACTCTGGTGAAGTGGGTCAGGCTGGGGTTGGCATGTCAGGAGACGGAGAGGGAGATTATGTCAGATCATCTTTGACGAAGGAGGAAGAGGGGTGTGCGCAGTGCCATGGCATGGTGGGGACGGGCGCAAGAAAAGCATATTGTCTCTATCTTGGCCTCTGGCTCCCTCACGTGTGCATGCATGTGTGCAGCTGGGTTCGTAATTCAGAACCTTGGGTGGTTGTGAGACTGGTGGCCTTCAGGGCTGAGTGGGGACTTGAACCCTGCTCTCCCAGGTCCCCATCCAACACTCCAACCACTACGCCACACTGGCTCCCAAATACACCGGCTGGCAGGAGCTGTTTGGGGCTTCAGACCATGGACATCTCCAGTCCAACCTGGAAGTGCCAGGGATCGAACCTGGGACCTTCTGCATGCAAAACAGATGTTCTACCACTGAGCTACAGTCCTGCTTGTCAGACACTGAAACTGATTGCTTTTAGAAGGCTTCCCTCTCCATCACCTCACCTCATCCTGCACTCCTTTCCTTTCATCTGCATGAAAGTTGGCCTTTGGTCCACCCGTTTCCCACCCTTTCCTTACAGAGTTCAAACAAATGGTTGCCACGCAAGTCCTTTATGGCAGAAAAGCCCCACCAGAAAAATACAAAAAGTTGGCCGCTCATCTGATTCTCCAGAGAAATCACTGTGGGCGGGTTGGAAAGCAAAGACTTCCTCGACCTATATTGGCACCAGGAAGAGAATAAGCCCTTCTTGACACTCCCCCTCCCAGTTTCGAGCTGCGCAGGGTGTGATTGGACACATTCATTATATTGCACCCCGCAGCAAATACAAATACTGCTGATTTGGTTCCAGCAAAAACAAACTGGTTGCATTTTGCATTCAAGCAAAGAGGAGCGGGGAGCCAACACGGATTGTAAATGGGAATCATGTTGCTTCACTGTTCTTCGCAGCACTTAGCACTCCATTGGCACTGCATAAATACAAAGGCAACCCTCCTGCATTCCTCTGGGTTACAAGGGCCTTGGATTTTTGGTTGTGATCCACATAGGACACACTCACAGAAATAAGCTCTGTTACAAATTACAAGAGCTCTCTGATGCTTGCATTGGGAATGGAAAGTTCCTTATGTTAGACTTTCCCCAGCTGCAAAAGCATGCATCTCTTGCTGTAGCTGTCATTGCATTCACACTGGGCCGGCAATGTACACAATGCTTTACATAGATAGGCCTCTGCTTGAAGGATCTCACAATCCTGAAAGTCTGAAAGGTGGCAGAGAAAAGGGAGAGAGAAACAGCCACAGTGACAGTTCTATGACAATGTTACCTGGGAATTTGGAAGGCCAGCTCACCAACTGGTAAGATTTGAGATGAGGTTGTCATGCCCAACATCCCCTCCAGACAGCCTTTTGATTTTGCATTCATAAAAGATTTGTGCTCATGATGGTGCCGGGGCAGTTATCCTGCTTTCAATACCAAGAGTTTCAGGGCCAACATTCATTTCCAATCGGTGCTTGTATTGGAAGACTTCAGGCCAATTACTGATTGGAGCTCTTTGGTATGTCGAATGAGCAGTGTATGGCTTGTTAATTTTTGGTTAGAGAGCAGACTTCACGCATTGCAGTCACATACAGAGAATGCTTGTAGAGTAAGAAAATAACGAAGCAGGAGGAGAAGGAAGTTGTAAACAGGATGCAACCTAAAATATATCAGTCTAGCTTCAAACAAATAGGGATGTCAGCTAAAAGGTCAAAAGTGCAGGGATAGTGTGGGAATCTGGAGGCACCTTCCTCCATCTGTCTCAAGCCCAAGCAAATCCCTTTTCTACAAGCTGAGTTGCACCTGAAACTTCCAACAGCATGTCCCATAACTTCCTGCTATAATCCTGGAACTTTCCATACTACAAATGTTCTGGGTTTTTTGTTTTGTCCCACTTTTGTGGCACTACAACACAGGAGTGTCCCTGTGCACAGCAACAGTGCAATAACACAGACCTGATAAAGTAGAATGATGTGTGAATGGCCTGCTAGAAATCCACCACTAACACAGCACAGTTGCATCAATGGTATGTTGCAGAATACACCCACAACCAACCAACCAGTCTGGAGGGGTTTAAAGAGCATCTTTCCCAAGAAAGCTATGGCCCCCCTCTCTCCCCACACCCATCTTTGCAAGCTGTTCTCTGAACTCAAGATCCAAGAACTAAACCACATAGGCTTAGTTACAGTAGGGTACCAGGATGAAGGGGCTGTGCCAAAGGCTTCAAGGGAAAAGGTGGGTTTTGAGGAAGGATTTGGATGAGATAAGGACAGTGGAATTGCGTAGGTGTTCTTCAAGGCAATTTCAAGCATAAGGGGGCAACAAGGGAAATGGGCAGAGTAATTTCAAGGTGTGCAGGAGACCTTTGGGTCATGAACTGGCAGGACAACAGGGAGGAGGAAGAGATGGGTGTGGCCGGGACGGACACACCGGGGCAAGCAGGGAATGGGGAAGAAAGTACTCACGGCATGGCAGAGAATGGTGAAGGGTGGAGGTCAGTGCACAGGAACCAGAGCAGTAGGACCCATCATCAGAGCCAGAGGGGCCCCTGTCTCCATGAATATGACGGGCTCTGAGGCATAGAGAGCAGCAGGAAGAGCTCTCTAAAAGGCTGAGGCAGGCAAGGGCCCACAGCCCAGCTTGCTGGCTGGCCAGGTGGGGCTCACTAGCTCTGGGAGGAGGTGTGTGATTTCTCAGCTGGAGTAGGCTCAGGACAGGTGAGGGTCATGTGCCTCATCAAGCCCAGATGCTGCAGTCAGCAGGCAAAGCAGGAAAGGGAAGCAGGTCTGCTCAACTGCCCATGTTGATGGACCTCAGCTTGGATGCTCCAGGATCTCTGTGGGACACTGCTTTGGTTTGGACACTGAACACTTGACATAAATCCCCAGGTAGGGCTGGGAGAGAGTGCCTGCCTGAAATCCTAGTGGACATCCCCTGCCAGTCAAGGCAGACCTCATTCATGGTTTACATGCAGAAGGTCCCAGGTTCAATCCCTCAAGTTTCCCAAAGCTGGAAAACAGCTGCTGCCTAAAATCCTGCAGAGCTATTGCCAGTTAGCATCAACAATACTAATTTCGAGGGGGCCAATGGTCTGAGTCAGGATAAGGAAGCTTCTTATGTTCCTGTAGTTTGGGGAGGGGCAGAGAAGAAATAAGTGGTTGGGTGAGGGAGTAAGTTCATAGAGGATTTGGAATGTAAGGACCTGGAGGTTATGTTAAATGTGGGAGCAGATTGGGAACCAGTGCAGGGGTTGAAGGAGAGGCATCACCACCACATACTGTCGGTGCAATGAGAGACATGAATGGTTTTGGCATCGCACACACAGGTGGAGAACTTGACCTTCTGCTTGCTGAGTGAGGCGTCAGACCCCCGAATGAACAAAGGCAGCCTGCAAAAGAGGGTGTGTGTGTGTGCGATTGGCTTGCACACAGGCGTGCACACACATAGCAGGGAGATGCACCACCAGGGAGAGGGAGATGCAGCAGCCCGTCTCTGCATCCCCCACTGCACAAGATGAGATGTGCCATTCTTGGCAGACAGCAGCCCTGCCACTGAATGCCGAAGCAGCAGCAATAAAGGCACCCGAGCCTAGGATTTTATATGGCAATAAAAGATAATGTCAGCTATAAAGAGCGCAGGCAGTTCCCAGCTCTGGAGGGGTGGGGTGGTGGTTGGGGAGAGATGCTGGCTTCCCTTTCCACACGCAGGCAGAGGAGCCAGGAGTAAGCTGAGGGAGAAAGGGGTTAGGGTGTGCATTTGGGGAGGGGGGCTGCTGTGTGTGTATGTGTGGCAGGGAAGAGTTTCCTTTCGGCCTTAGGCAGGGGCACAGTGGGGCCTTGCTGTGCCCCCTTGCCACCTGGATGAATGCCCCTGAGAGTACACACCACCCTCAAAGGCCAGAAGCCGGTTCCTCTAAACTGCGTCTCAGTGTCCATGCTGATTTCAAGCCTAGCTGTAGAGCTGTAAAAGGTGCAGAAAGGGAGCCAAGGAAAAGGTCATGGGGCTGGAACAACTGCCCCAAAAGGAAAGGCTACATTGTTGAGGATTTTTAGTTTGTGGGGGAAAGTGAGAGAGAAGGGATAGGACAGAGGTGTGTGGAAAGAGGGTTTCTCTCTTCCCCTTTCAAAACGCTAGAAGCCCACAAGGTCATGCAATGAAGCTGATTGTTGGAAGATTGAGGACAGACAAAAAGAAGCATTTATTCAGAGAGAATTCTCTCCCCCAAAAGAGGGAGTGAGGGCTAACTTGGATGGCTTTAAAATCAGTTTAGAGAAAGGGCTAATCCACACTTACCTTTTGCTCTGCTCTTTCCAGGGGGAGGTCTGCACTTTAAAGCTCTGTGTCCAGTTCTTTTTTTACGCCCCCCAAGAGCTCCCCCCCCCCGAGAAAGCCCACTCTTTAAAGTTGAAGTGCAACGAATGGCAATTGGGGTTTTCTGCAGATTGTCGTTGGTTCAGATTTAGCTTTAAAGAGCGGGTTTTCATGGGGAAAGCTCTCGAGAGGGAGAAAAAAGCAGACTTTAAAGTGCGGACCGTGCCTAGAAAGCACAGAGGGAAGGTGAGTGTGAATAAGCCCAATTCCCAGGACAGGTTATCAAGGATTACTAGCTATGATGGCTATGTTCACTGCTACAAGCAGTATGCCTCTGAGAAACACCAGTTGCTGGGAATCACAAATGGGGAGAACACTGCTTCACTCTGGCCCTGCTTGTGGACTTTCCGTAGATGCTGGACTATGCTGAGTCTTTCATCTGATCCAGCACAGCTCTTAACTTATTAGCTCCTCCCATACCAGCTCCTTGTTCTGCTCACTTGGGACCTCGAAAGTTTTTGTGTCAATGAGAAAATTTGCCAGGTTCCTTGCAGCGCACGCCCACTTCTTTCCCACAAGAGCTGTTCACACTGGGGTTCCTCTGCAGCATAGGAGCTGTGTTGCTTCAGACTGCAGAGAATGAGCATCGCTGAAAACCTCTGACTGGATGTGTGTTAGATTTCACAGAAGGTACCGTGCGATTCACGAGGCTGCCAAGATTTGAGGGGTAATATGCCAAGTAGTGAGAACCCCAGAGTTTGACCATTTGACTTACCCAGCTGTCATTCCATTGATACTTCACTGAATCTTTGCAATTCAGATGTTCTTTAAAATACAACTCACTTTTTTTACATGAGCACATACTGCAGCATGGGGAAGAGGTGTGTGGTGCAAAAAGATGGCGATCCAGTGACCCCCACCCCACTGAAAAGACTGCCCCAAACCAGCCAGTGGAGCTGAAGTCCAGAGATGGTGCACTAACTTAAGATAGAGATAAAGCTCCCTGGGG